TTAGATTTAGATTAGATTCAGATTAGATCCAGATTGGCTTCAGATTGGCTTCAGATTAGCTTCAAATTAGATCCAGATTGGATTCAGATTAGAGTTAGATTAGCTTCAGATTAGCTTCAGATTGGATTCAAATTAGATTAAAATTAGCTACAGATTAGATTCAGATTAGATTCAGATTAGATTTAGATTAGATTTAGATTAGATTTAGATTAGATTCTCTAGATCCAGATTAGCTTCAAATTAGATTCAGATTAGATTCAGATTTAGCATCAATTTTAGACCTTTTTTTTTAGCCAAATCTACATTTTTTTCCACTTTCAGATCTCAATTTAGAATTTGCAAAGGGTTTCGGAAATGAAAACGAATATTTGCTGAGAAAAAGAGTCTCTTCTTTGCCATGTCAAGCATAAACATTTCGAGAGAATTTCGAGGGAATTTCGCGAAAAAACTCACTAAACCAGGCAAGCTTTTGAGGAAACGTCTTTTTAAGTGAAATACATTGAAATAAAATTGCTCTACGTATCTTTACGAGTTTTTAAAAGATCAAATAAACGCTCAGTGAAGTTTTCCGGTCTAGATAAGGCACTTGTCAAATTTGCAGATCAAAATTTGCATATTTAATACTATTTAGAGATTTTTATTCACAAAATAGAATCTGGTGTTTGCATTAGCCTGAAATCTCAGCCCCAGTTTGGATCATAGCCTTGGATGACAAGATCATATCATCTTGTCTGGCCTTGGATGGCCTTTGCTGGCCTTGCTTGGCCTTGCCTGGCCTTGGCTGGCCTTGTTTGGCCTTGGCTGGCCTTGTTTGGCCTTGCCTGGCCTTGCTTGGCCTTGGCTGACCTTGTCTGGCCTTGTCTGGCATTGGCTGACCCTGATTGGCCTTGTCTGGCCTTGTCTGGCCTTGCTTGGCCTTGTTTGGCCTTGCCTGGCCTTGGCTCGGGTCCAGACTTTGCTAGATCTAGCAAAATTTACTAGTTTCTCAAAATTCGCAATCTTGAGCAAATATCTTGAGCAATATTCTCTAAAAATGAAAATTTTTGCTAGTTTTTTGGTTTTTAGAAGCTAGATTCCATTCTGCGTTTGCAACTATGAAATTATTTTGACTTAATGACTTACTTTGACTAAATGACAAACCAGTACCAATCCTAACCATTAACCAATCCTAAACATTAACCAATCCTAAACATTAACCACATTAATCCTAAACACTCAGCTTTTCTGAGTCCTTTTCTGAGATCTTTTGTCCAATCCAATGACCTTGAATCATATTGCTTTTAAAATCTCCTAAATATTTACATCTAATTTTCAAACCTGGCTTTGTCAAGTTCTCCGGTGATCGCAGAAATCCTTGATAGAAATTCGCGATCCCAGCCTCTTCAGCAATGACATAGTGAACAAATAAACACAATAAAAGAAACATTCTCAAAAAAAAAACTTCACATTGTTTAGAAATAAAAATGACCTCGATCTCTTCTTGGATTCTTCTCCTACTTAGCAATTCTCACTTCAGCGCCCCGGGAGAATACCCTGTGTATTCTGCCGGCCCGCCCCTTTTCCCGAAAAAAAAATCTTGGTCTTGGCTTTTCATATTGAGGCATTGAAAAGGGGAAACTGGCTATTCCCCATTGCATCTCTAGGGACATTTCGAACACATCGAACACCTCTTTTCTTCACTTTTCTTCTTCGACAATCGAATCTTGTCCAAAGAAAACATTTGAAAGATTTTCGACTTTTGACTTGACCTCTTTTATAAGTAACTAAATTTTCAAGTTTTATTTTATGAGATTCAGTGAATACAGAAGTAAGCAATTGAGCTGACTTGTCTGGAGCTGACTTGTCTGGAGCGTGTTCTTTTAGGGATGATATTTGATTTGATAATGTCACTAGATCAAAAAAAAAGACCAAAAAAAAACCAAAAAAACTAGATCTTTGAACACTTACATTTTGTGAATCAAACCGGACTCTTTGAAGATAAACAATAGAATTTTAATGGCGCCAGCAATTACAAAACTTATTGTATCGTAAATAGTATCGTATCGTATCGTAGTATCGTAAATATCATGCAAAATATTGACAGCGCCTTGCCTAACAACTAAAAACATCCTTTTTCACAGAATCTTACTCAAAAAGCTCAAGAATGTTTAAAGATCTCTGGCACGATCTCTGGCGCGAGCTATGCGGTAGCTTAAATTGCCAAGAGAAAGAAGGAAAGACAAGGGGAAGAAGAAAGAAAGAAGAAAGAAAGAAGAAAAAAGAAAGAAAGAAGAAAGAAGAAGAAAGAAAAGTAAACTAGAAAAAAAGCATGGCCAAAAAGAATGAACCAGATAGGATACATTTACAGATTTGAGTCAGATTCACACAATCTCAACATTCCAAATTTTGCACTAATGTTCTACTGATGTTAATAAAGATATTATCTGCTAGTGAGAACATTCCCAGTGCATTTCAATTTGGGAAATTTAATTAGAGAAACCCGGACATGATTCACGCAGAGGCTTTTTAAAAATCGTTTTTGGAAGTAGTTTTTTTAAAAATGAAAATCAAACTAGAACTATTTCTAAGGTTTTTAAAGAAAAAAACTGACAAACCTTGTCGTTATTTTGAAAGTCCACTTCTAGCTTCTTGTGTCGCACTTAGTTCTCGATGTGAAAATCACAATTGCACAAAATTTTTCAATCAAGCACAAACGGATTGATTGGTTACAAAATAAATAATAATATGCCAAATAAAATAAAAGAAACAAAAATAAACAACCAAAAAAAACAAAAACAAACAAAAAACAAACAAAAAAACAAACAAAAACAAGCAAAAAACAAACAAAAAACAAACAAAAACAAACAAAACAAACAAAAAACAAACAAAAACAAACAAAAACAAACAAAACAAACAAAAAACAAACAAAAATAACCAAAAACAAGCAAAAACAAACAAAAACCAGAAAAATAAAAATATCAAACAAAAAAAAACAAATTTGCAGCAAAGATGAGCCATGTACAGTCATCTCTTTTAGATTGACTGCTTAAATCTTGATCTCAAGCTCTCATTTTTGTAGAGTGGACTCTACACGCTGCTAGAGTGTGTTCCTCGCGAGAAATGCGTTTTTTAAAACGCACAATTGCGAAAAAATTACCCCTACTTTTAGCAAAAATTATTGCAAAAAAAATGACGCAAAAATGACGAGCCTCGCATTATATAAGACACTTTTTAAAGATACTCAGCCGCTTAACTGATTTGGTGGGAAATTCCCTTCCAATGTAAAAACTGATTTTTTTTTTGAAAAACCTGCGCAAAAATTGCTTTTATTTTTTTTTCGCGCAGGCGCACTTTTTAGAAAACGCATTACTCGACAATTACTCGAGTAAAACATTACTCATGCAAATTTACTCGATTACTCACTAATTACTTACTCGCGAGCAACACACTCTACGTTTTTGTACTCTTAGACTCTAAAATTTGGTTTTGAATTGAAAACTTTTGAACTTTGAACTTTTAAACCTAGGTGTTACAGTCATGTGCAAAAGTCTTTTAACACTTAAAAAATTTTTTGATTATTTTCGTTCGCTTCTTGTTTACTGGTACTAATTTATTTTTTTTAGATGCCAGGAGCGTATTTGTCAACTCCGGGTAAAGAAATGATCGTCAAGGCAAGGAAACAAGGGATGCCAGGACAAATTTCATTTTTTGAAAATGTAATTTGTTTTAGTGTCGTTTTGAATAAACAATTCTTCGGGTAACTGCACACTGTAACTGTAAAAGACTCGAAAAATCGCTCGAAACTTTTTTTTTTGCTAGTATTCAATCAAAAGCACCTTTTAGCCTTGATTATAGTAATTGGAACATGATTTAGAAATGACAAATTAAGTAAGGATTACTGTAGAGACAAGATACTCGACAGTAAGGGTTACTGCAGAGTTTCCTCTTCTCAAAACAAAGCAATAAACAACTTTTTCTAAAACATCTCCCTTTCTTTTCTTTTCTCTACAGATTTGGTTCCATTTCTCTAAAGATTTGGCTCCTTTCTGGTACAGATTTGGTTCCTTTCCGGTACAGACTTGATTCCTTTTCTCTACAGATTTGGTTCCTTTTCTCTACAGATCTGTAGTAGAGAAAAGGAAAAAAGAAAAAATCTGTAGAGAAAAGGAACCAAAACTATCGTCATCTCATCTCTATTTTTATCCAATCTATTCACTTTTTATATCTTTCGATATCTTTTGTAAACCCTTACAGAATCAGCTAAAAGTGAATAGATTGGATAAAAATAGAGATAAGATGACGATAGTTTAAAGAAAGGGACATGTTTTAGAAAAGATTTCAAAGTTTGATGTTTCAAAGTTCAAACTTTAAGCTTCATTTTGATGATTAGCTCAATGATGATATTAATCTTGTGAACTTTTATGCGTTTTAAGGCAATAAATAAAAACTTACATATTATTTTAGCAGGCATAAATAGGAAAAGCTTTAAAATTGCTGGGGGAAAGAGCAAATGGTGAGGTTGGTGAGGGTTTTTGATCTAAATACATCCTTCTCTCTTCAAGTACCATTGAAAAGTAATGACTTTTCGAGAAAACCCTTGTAATCTACGAAAATCTAGTTTTGATAACAAAATCTCATCACATTTGTAAGGTTTAAAAAAATTTAATTACAAAATTGCATATTAATGTAAAATTAACATGAATCAAGGAAAAATTAGCACTTATACGAGTTTAATTGGCTTATTTAAAAAGAAATGAGTCTAATATTTCCTCATTTTTTTTCTACGCTTCTTGAGAAGGTCTGTTTTTAAAGTTTTATTGATTTTTTAAAATCTATTTATTGATTTGTTCATAGTTTTATGAATTTTGAGATTGTTAAAGTGTTTTAAAAGAAATTGAGCTTTTAATTTTTGTTGAAATATGAAATTTTTGTTTGTAAATATCTCGATTTTTAGATTTTTAGCATAAAATTTTTGCAATAACATGATTTATAAGGGATTTTTTTAGATATCAGCACTGTCAATGTCGATTGCCTCCACACAGAACTCTACCCAGGGACCATCAACTGGTACGTTGTTTTTGCGATTTTAAAGTAGTGATTTACTTAGAGCTATTTACAGCTATTTACTTAGAGCTATTGCTTACAGCTATTTACATACAGCTATTTATTTAGAGCTATTGCTTACAGCTATTTACTTACAGCTATTTACTTAGAGCTATTGCTTACAGCTATTTATTTAGAGCTATTTACAGCTATCTATTTAGAGCTATTGCTTACAGCTATTTACTTACAGCTATTTACTTACAGCTATTTACTTACAGCTATTTACTTACAGCTATTTACTTGCCGTAGTACCTATCTTAGGTATCTTAGGATACTTAGGTGCTAAATTTCTAGTAACATTTAAAGTTTCTTTTCTTTTAGAGCTGAAAACAATGCGAACAACGACCCCATCGCAGTCGATGACGAAAGCTCTTCACAAATCGACCTCACGAGAGTTGGTTTCTTTCTTGAAATTTATAAAGCATTTGCTTCAAATGATTTCAATTCAACTAGCCAATATACAGTAAAACCTCGATAACAAAAAACTAAAGGGATTTTCAAAAACCTTTTTGTTATCGAGGTTTTTTGTTATTGGGGTTTTGCTAATAATGGTTTGTTTTAATAATGCTAAGAAATGCTCTAAAAACAGTAAAAAATGTAGAAAACGGTGCTCTTTGGTACTAACAATGTTTTCAATTACACAATTAAGATTGTTTTTATTATTAATGCAATAAACAAGGGTAGCTTCTTTGCACAACTTTTGCTGATACCAATACAGAACACAAAACATTCAATCAAATTCAATCAAACAAGTTGCACAAAAAGGCTAGACAATAAATAGAAATAAAACTGGAATAAAAATACTGAAACTTCGCGTATTACAATTCAGAAAGAAGTGCAAATTATCAAATTGGGTGAAAAACTAATTCCTTTTTTTACGTTCATTTCGAAAAAGTACTCGGCTACAGACTGAATAGCTGCGCTTTGGGGCGCATTTTAGAATTCAGCTACTTAGTGAAGTGTGGAAAGGCGTAATGTTTGTTATCGAGGCTAAAATTATACTAATTTTACTCGTCGAGATACGGAAATATCTGTTTGTTATCGAGGTTTGACTGTATTTACTTGTGCTATCATTGAAATCTTCACTTTTGTGTTAATTTTTTAATTTCAGTACTCGTTTCACGGTGTGTGTGCTGATGGTGTGCGCAGTTAGCTTTGGGGTGTTGATGTGTCAAACAGCGGTCTCTGTTCATTTACCTGGTTTCGCGCTTCTTTTGCAACTCGCCATTCTCGTTCTTGGTGGATACATGTATGAGGTAAATCTAAAGTTTTTAAAGCAGTAGAGCATAAAGTACCTAATCTACAAGCTCTACTTTAAGCAAAATTTGACTGACATGTGATTGTTTAGCTGTTTAGCTACTGTTTTTAATAAAAAAAGCTAAATTTCGAACTTTTAGTGGACCTGGGTTCATTCGCGTGGGTTGACACGTGTTCGCCGTGCCTATTTCGATGAGACAAACGTCCTCGAAACCTATAAACCAAGGGATCGCACACATGGACATCTATTTATTGTAAGTTTTTTATCTTAAAATAGAGACTTCTGAGAAAGTTTGCTATTTAAGCTAACCAATAAATATATAATTTCAGCCTGATCCACCAACACCAGGCCCCACACAACCAGCCGAAAAGAGAGTCACTTTTGGAGAAGGCACCGAGGAACACAATATCGGTCATTCGTCGTTCAACGTTCAACGTGATGTGGTTTGCTTTTAGATCATTATTTGTCAGTTTGAATCGGTCGGTCTTTACCAAATTTTTCTATTCAGCACTATGCAAACGAATATCAACGGGCTCTACAAATGGCAAAAGAACTTGAGAATCACACGATGAGTTCGGCCGCCGCTCAGGATGCTGCCCCGAGTGCAAAACCTCAAGCTGTCGTACGGTTTCTAATTTGCCTTTTACATCTTTTATTAGAACTAGAATGATTAAAAACAAACTTTTATATACGGTTACAAACTTATTTTTTAGTCGATGAGCGCATCGACAAGAAGTGGAGCCGAGAAAGATCAAAAGAGAAATAACGGACAAGAAGAAAAACAATATCTCGTTTAACTTTTATTTCTCGTATTGTGCTTGCATGAAATTTCTGTGATTTGTGGTGACAATAAAGCGATAAAGATGTTCACAAGACTATTATGCTGAAGCACAAACAAACTTTAAATATGTCGAACTCCGAGGTTTAGCTTTTTAAAAGAACACGGAAACGGAACTGTTAGAGATCCAAGTTTTTGTCGCCAGAAAATTAAGAGATACCGTATTTCTTCGAATAGAAGACCGGGTAAAGAGTATCATAGCGTACTCCTGCGTAGCAGCCCTTTTTAAAATTTCTTTTCTGCATAAAAGCTTTCAATGAAGTGCTATAGGGCTGGAGAATGACTCAAAAATACCACATGAGCTAACAGACTTTTGAGCCATTTTCCAGCTCTATAGCACTTGATTGAAAGCTTTTATGCAGAAAAGAAATTTTAAAAAGGGCTGCTACGCAGGAGTGCGCGGTGATACTCTTTACCCGGTCTTCTATTCGAAGAAATACGGTATTCAGTGATTAAGCTGAAAAGGTGTTTTTCAAAGAGATTTTGTCGGGAAAATTGAGAGAATCTTTCATTTCTTCTTTCGCGCACTTCCTGTCATTCGGAAATTGAATTTCTTGTGTTTATTACACGTTTTCTTTCTTGATTCGATCTTTTGTCTAATGTTTTATTTTAGGGCAAGACGCAGATGCCGGAGCTGGAAGAAAAAGATGAGCTAAGAGCGACGCCATTTGTTTTCAATGATTCACTCGAAATTCCCAGGGACAATTCATCGAATAAGGAAACCACGATTATCAAGACACTAAACGACTCAATCGAAAATCTCAAAAGCAGCATCATCCTAACGAATCACACCGACGTCCCATTTCAAAAGGTAGTTTTACATTTAGTGTGTACAAGTTTAGATCCATTTGGACCAATTTTCCTAAAGGGTATACATTTGGCATTTGCGCGATTAATGTAGGGTATACTACGCAACACAGTCTGCAAGTGTCCAAGAAAAAAAAAATGAAGCGCATTGAGTTTTATTTTCTTGTGCCCAAAGGAAGCAACTAAATTCTTGATGTAAATAATGTGATAAACAATTAAAATTTTATCTTTAGACAATCCCCGATGACGATGAAGAGCTTTTCGTTTATATGGTGGAAAGTGGCGACTACTCGAACGCCTCCAAGATCAAGTCGATTGTCGTTCGGGTGGACGTAACGAACAAGGTTTTATTGCTTACCTAAAAGCTGTACAGTGCTTTTTAGATTGATCAAACGGTACTCAACACGTCTATCCAACACATGATCGAACATCTCGCAGGTAAAGATTCTTGTGAGGTTTTATTCTAAGCGGTTTTTTAGATCGCCCTAGAAATTGCCATATTTGGCTGAAGACGCTGCAAGCCAACAAATTGATTGAGTTTATTCGGGTGAAAAACGCATTTAAAAAATTATAATGCTTTTGTTTTAGGACATGCTGATAAAGCCTGACGTGCAAGCCATCAGCCGATCGCTTTTCAGGCTCGAGACGCGAGATGTGTACACCAATATGGGCACCTTCCTCAAAGATCTAATGGCGATACGCGAACATGGAATTAGGGTAACGGGAGGGATGCGTGTATGGTTCATACCGCGACGCAAAAAACCCTCGCAAATTGGTAACGTTTTTTCATATTCTCTTTTAGCTTTAAATTTAGATGAAAGCGCAGGGCCATATTGCATCGTTCGTCAAAAATGAAGCAACATTGAAGAAGATACGGGGCGACTACTTGGTCAACTTCCATCTCACTACACCAAGAAATTCAAGATTGTACGTAGTGATCAGCTATCTCGACAAGACGGTCATCAAAACCAAATCTACACAAGCACGCCATCAGGTTTCAATTTTTACGGAGCTGCGAAGTCGATTTTCTTTAGTACATAACGGTCGACCAACTGGTACAGGCTGAACATGTGGTGGAATTTGCCGACGAGGGCCAAATGTTCGAATTTGAAGTCGACGCCGAACCAGAAGACCTCAACCCCGTCACAATGGCTTACGATCCGATTCTCTCGTTCAGCGAGTTCTACTCAGTCCTATCAAAGAAATTTCCAAATTCGTGTGATGCATGATGCATTATCCTCATTTCTTGCACGAAGTATTCTTCGATGTATATGTTGCATATTAACTTTCATTTTGCTTTTAATAATTGTGAATTTTGCTAAAACGTGTGCATTTTAATTTAACCTTTGTGTAGCAGTTTATTTTGCTTTCTGTAGATTGTGAGTTTTGTGTCATTCATCAAAATATAAAGTTTAATACGATTTAAAGTTTCTACTTTTTGGTCAGACAACCGTCGATTTCTTTGAATGTTGATTCGTGAGAATATTTTTGATCTTGTTATTTTGTTCTCAAGGAGTCGTCGCAAGAAAGGGAAACCGAATGGTTGATGGGAATGCTGCGCAGTGGGATGCGTTTCGGTCACAAAAGCGGTCGGCCGTCTACACGCCACCGTTTGCACCATGGATGATCACAGCCCTACAACTCGCCAAATTCTCCATTTTCGTCGCTCTTCACTCAATCATGTTATTTGGAGCGGCTATTTCAAAGGGAATCATCATTTTCTTGGCGACCAACTTGAGTAAACCTTCGCACAGTCCATTGGAGACAAAGTTTAGCAAGGAATGCCCACGAGCAGGTGCACTTTTCATTTATGTCTTTTAATGAAACTCTTGTTTAGTGAATCGCGATGATAACCTACATGCCGGTGTACACATTTCACTTTTGTTGGTACACATAGTTCCTGATGTGGTTTCAATAGTACAATGCTTTTATCGTTTAACTACAATTGGAAGGGGTCAAGGTGGAATTAATATCCCGGTTAGTGATTGAACGACGATTTGAAAAGCCAATCGTGTTTAGGTGATATTTCTTGAGACGTGCCGTACCATGGGTTTCTTATTGATGTTCTTCCATGTTTTTCCGCAATTGGACATGCTGAGGGCGTTATTAATCACTTCGTGTCTACCGATTATCCCAATTGTAAAAGAATTTGTACTTTTCTCTATTTTTTATAATTAGGCTCAAAAACTGCTTATGGACGTGTCACGTACCATGAAAGACGAGCATTCGTTAATGAAACGATTTGGAATGACTTTGGCTACTTTTCCCTCATTTATCGTCTTCCTTGTGTTGACGGCTGGATGTTATTTATGGACCGTGCTCGATACTCAATTTGATGTAAGGAAAAATATCGACTTATCGTTGGTTGTTAAACTTCTGTTTAGCGATACATTATTTTGCCGTTGGCGATAATGCTTGCATCACTTGGATTTTGGGAATCGTGGGTTGGAGTGGGCCATGCGGGAACATTCTTTCATCATCTTCATCAGGTATTAACTCTTTTTCAATCGCGTACAAATTCCAATTTAGATGAAGTATGGTATTCGAAAAATGAACGCACCTACTCGATTGTTGACTTCGACTATCCGCATCTTTATTACGCTAACGGTTTTTGTAGTGACTGCTGCTAATGGGAAGGTGACGATGAAAGGAATGACCGGCGTGTTGTTCCATTGGAGATCCACCGAGAAACATTGGTATTTGATAAATTAGGATAATGATTTTATGTTTTAAATTTAGGCCTCTACTCATAGTCGCGCTTTGTTTATGTGTGCTTCATATCATTTTACGGATATCTTCTCGCCTGCTAGCTGGATTGGAGCTTCGTGTCTTGTCGGGCTTTCATCCAATCTTCCTCACCTCTCCACTTCTGCTTACGGCACTCGTGATACATTGTCATATTTCGCCAGACTGTTGGATTGCTAGCAAAGTTGCAGCGTTCGTTTTGTGACTTTTAAATTGGTTTATTTGTTTTACAGGGTCGGACTCACCTTCCGATGCTCCCAGTGGATTGCAGCTCCAATACCTTTCAACGACATTTACTTGGCTCTGATGTGGTTGCTGATCTCAATGTACAAGGGATATCAGTTTGCGAGTCAGCCCAACTTTGATAAACACGACGAAATGTTAGTTGCAAATAACATTTTGTTTCTATATTTTTTTAGTATTCGTGCAACTCCGGTGGTTATGAATCCTTTTGCATCGAACAAAGTCTTCTGGTGTTTGAGTTTGCAATCAGTCGTGATGTTGGCTTTTTTAAAAGTTTTACTCTAATTGTAAATTTAGGAATCGAAGTTACTGAAGCTCGATTTCGACTCGATACTTGATGAACACAGTGGTAAACAATCTATGGGTTCCGAGGGGGATCGGTTTGGAGCACACTTTTAAGCTAATTCAAATTATTTAGGACTGCAAATGTCTACATCTGCGCAACAATGTGGCACGAAACTGAGAACGAAATGAAGCAAATGTTCGGAAGCATTTTGAAGTTGGACGAGGAGTGCGCTCATTTATCAACGAGAAAAACGCGTCACTTTGCAGGAAATGCTAATGAAACTCCTAAATTCCGTCTTGAAGGTTTGATTGTTAATTTTTTTATAATTACTGCTTTGTTATAGCACATCTTCTTTGACGACGCTTGGGAAGATCAGCCTGAACTTGGACGCGCACCAAATGAATATTTCCGCACTTTCTTTACTCTTTTGAATTCGATGATTGAGTAAGTTTTATAAGCAGGACCCATTTATAATTTATCATTTTAGTGGCAAAGAGGATGCAAGCAGCAATGATCCGACGAAAGTGCTTATTGGAACGGCATACGGTGGACGACTCGTTGTCCGATTGCCAGCTGGAACTCTACTTTTTATTCATTTGAAGGATAAGAAACTCATTAGACACAAGAAACGCTGGAGTCAGGTTAGATTTCTGTTTGGATTTTTTTGAATAAATAAATTAAGGTTATGTACATGTATTACTTGCTTGGACATCGTATCATGGAGTCACATATGTGAGCTAAATTTGTGTCGAAGCTCATTGCAGCTTTGTTTAGGTCGATCGAGGATAAGCAACTGATTGCGGAGAACACTTATATTTTGGCCATTGATGGAGATTCCAAATTTGAACCAGAGGCATTCCTACGGTAATCATATGGTTTTAACTTTAAATGATATCCTTAGACTTCTAAACTTGATGCATAATAAGTCGGATATTGGATGTGCGTGTGGAAGAATTCACCCGATTGGAAGAGGAATGATGGTTTGGTACCAAAAAGTTTGAATATTCAATTGCGCATTGGTTCCAGGTATTTCAATCCTAATTTGTTCTTACTTTTTTTCAATTTAGAAAGCCGCGGAACACGTTTTTGGTTGCGTTCTCTGTGCACCAGGATGTTTCTCCCTGTTTCGTGCGGCTGCTTTGATGGATGATAATAGTAAGCTTCAAAAATGGCACGTCATAAGCTTTCTTTTAGTTATGCACAAATATACTACAACCGCTGTGGAGCCAAGACACTTTGTCCAATATGATCAAGGCGAGGATCGTTGGCTTTCGACACTGCTGTTGAAACAAGTAGGCACATCTTTAGCGTTGAAGTTCTTAATATTTAGGGATACCGTATTGAATATGCGGCCGCATCTGATGCTGAGACCTACGCTCCAGAAGGTTTTGAGGAATTCTTCAACCAAAGGAGGAGATGGACACCATCATCTGTAGCCAATACGATTGATCTTCTTGCGGATTATCGAGTTGGAATTCGAGTTCACTTTAAAACAATTTTCTTTAGCGTGCTTGTGCGAACAACGCCTGCATTTCAAGGATTTATATTTTGTATCAATTTTGTGTGATTGGCTTTTCGATGTTGGGACCTGCAATTATATTTTCCATGCTTCTATATGCTCAGGTTAGAATGTTGATTACGAAATTACGAACTTATATTTTAGGTTGCGGCTTTTTCACGTAAATATGGATCGAATTATCGTCTACAACACGGTACCAGTTGGATTCTTCATATTTACCTGCTTTGCGATGGAGAGCAATATCCAACTGTTTGTGGCAAAAGTCCTTCAATTGGTTATGCGTTCGTCATGCTGGCAGTTGTTGTTGCCACTTGCAGCCAAATTGTCTTGGAAAGTGAGCGAAAACCATTCTTATTAAAATCATGAAAATTTAGCCATGTTTTCTCCGACCTCGATGTTCGTCGTTGGAATGATATTCATCTTCTTATTTGCGGCTTGTCTGCATCCACGAGAGTTCACGAACATCATTTATGGAATTGTAAGAGTGGCTTCATACATTTTAAACACTAACTTTTAGATTTTCTTCCTGATGATACCTGCAACCTATGTGATCCTTTCTTTTTATTCGCTCATCAATTTGAACGTGATCAACTGGGGAACACGAGAAGCTGTGGCTAAGGCGACTGGTCAGGTCAGTTGCCTTAGTTATACGTTGTATACTAGGTTTAGGAAACGAAAAAGGAATCGAAACTTGAAACAAAGTTGAAAAAGGCCTGGAACGGTGCCACTGGAACTATTCTTCGAAGGAAAGAGAAAGCCGGCGACAAGCGAATAGAGGAACTTGAGCGGCAACTGGAAGAAGTCAAGATTGCTGTTCAGAGGCCAAATTCATTCAATGACTCTCAAATTCGAGAAAACGAGTTAGCCGAGAAACCATGGGAAGATGAGGAAGTTTCAAGTGACGTAAGTGAAGCACGAACTCCTTGAACTAATCAGATCTGGATCAGGGAGAGCTTTAGCGATGGATCGGAAATGGTGGTACGCACATCACAAAAGATCTATGGATGGACGCAGAATATTTACAAGTCAGTTTGTTAATTGATTATGTTTACTTATTTTCCGTTTAGAGTCTGTGAGAAAGGGAAGGCTGAAGCCCAGTGAGCAACAGTTTTGGGATCAGTTAATAGACACTTTTATTTGAAGGTTTGATACAGTTCTTGAAAAAGTTCTTGAATGTTTTAGCCCATTCAAACATCACCCGAGCAAAATCTTGCCTATGCTAAAGGTTTAAAGGATTTACGGAACAATGTGGCTTTCGCTGATTCTGCTTAACGCGCTGATGGTCTTGGCACTTACTTGACACAAAATCACAAGGATGTTCTCGCCTTTTCATGGATGCCTCATGGTATGGTTTACTCACAAAGAAAATCCATTTTATTTTCAGAGGATTTTAAACAGTTCCGCTGGAATTCTACAGCTCAAGAATGGACCAAGCAAAAGTGCCGTTAAAAGTGGAAATGCTTGGACTTTCGATTATCTTTGCACTCTTTGGGATATTGTTAGTTCAAACAGTAGGTATGTTGAGTTTTCCCCACATTTTTATCTACGAAATTTTAAGGTTTCAATCCTTCATCGTTTGAACACAATGGTCGGCGCGTTTCAAGAGATCAAGCTATGGGCGACTTTGTGACTACTGCTGCAACGAAAAGAGAAGATGACGATCAAATATTGGAAGCGGGGTATAATTTCCGTGGTAAGTTTTCATTTTATAAAATCCTTTAGCTCGTTCGCTTTTGGATACATCATACTATTGGCGCAGTCACGGAGGTTCCGGAATACACTCGGGATATCGGTGCTGATCGAGAAGCGGTGTTACATCGATTGCAAAGAACTCGCTCTAGCCACTGCTAGGACGTAATCATGGATTAAACTAAGTACCTAAGTAAGCACTTTAATTTGTACTAATTTTTGATTCTAATTAAACTATTGCTCAATTTAGATTCTATGTGCATGTTTCGAGTTTAAATTCATTGTCTTGTAATCAACGCTTGTGAGTAGATAAACAATAAACATCACAAAAACATAGTGGTGGTGAAGCGGATTCAACGACAAAGGTAATGTGGCAAAAAGTTTGATCACAGCTTTAATTTGGAATGGCTATGAATGGCTGGAAAGATGCTGTTTTATTTGTACTGATTTTGGAATGATTGGATAGTAGAATGAAAAATGGTATGCAAGAATACAAAAAGGAAATGTTACGGTAACTTTTAAAGCTATAGTTGCATGAGGGTGTATTTGTGTTGCCACTCACTCGGCTCACCACCACTCTTCCATCGAAACCTCAGCGAGGCGTAGGTCCACGGTTCCTGAAGTTTTTGAGATTTGCTGATTTTGAAAAACCAGTACATTCTGCAAAAATTATGCAAATAATTATGTTCACCGCAGTCGACCATTGCACGGCGCAAACGGTGTCCTCGTGTTCGATGATTCGATCGAGTTCCCCATCCGGCAATTGCTCTGTCACTTCTAGAAATGGGCCTCTACATGACTTATTGTTTCAAAATACCATCTTCATCCTCTGTTTTTGTTAGTTTCACTTCTGAAGAGACACTCTGGGCACATGTGAGATCACACAAGAGTCTGAAGAACCAGAAAGGAGAAGTTGATCGTGATCCGGGTGATATCGGAGCTGAAACTTTTATGAAATTTTCGGATTCCGAAACGATTGGATAAAAATGGAGAAAAGGTTAGGATGAGGGGGGAAATGTAAATGATTCAATGATTCAATGATTTGGCAAACCATCGTGATCCAATGTGAGTGCGCTTTCACACAGTGGATCGGCGTTTTCGGCTGTCGGTGTCCCAAATGCGGATCACTCCGTCGTCACCGCCTAGAATATTAATGTATTATCGTCGTCCTTGAAATAGCCACCCATTCCCCTCTCATTTCTCAATCTTCCCTTCATTCATTCGATTTCGTACTCTATCTACAAGAGTACCTTTCTCTTTAAATTTGGTTCCCTATCTCCCAATTTGGTTCCCTATCTCTTTGCGCTTCTTAAATTTGTGATTTCTTAAAAACTAGTGTAGAGTTTCATCTGAAATCTCTACTGACTAAGCGATAAGTAGATTTATACGTAGATCTATACGTAGATCTATACGTGAATAAGCTACAAGTGCTAAACTAGTAGCAAAAATTTGACGATTTGACGATTGCTTTGTTGAAGCGGGAGCTTTAGCCTCTAGCGTTGATTGTTTCGCTGTTTGTTTCGCTTTGGTCGGCTCGCTTGGCGAAATGGTGAAACACTAATGAAAAAAGATCTAGAATGTCGAACTAACATCACTGGATACAAGTGAAAACAAATTAGATCTTTTGATTGATCTTGATTGATTTTTTTTAAAGTAGAAATATGGGAATTTTCTCTAATACTGAAGAGTCGTTCTTTCTCGTTTCCCAACTCAACGAATCGTCCCCAAATTTTCGCTACTAGTTAGCATATAATTGTAGATTATTCACTAGAAATTAAAAATGAAAATGAAATTCGTTGGTTTTTAAGAATCATGAATTTAATTGCCATTACCAGAACTGCCACAACGAAAGACAACATTTTACGTCCAAGATTTTCAAATGAGCTTTCAAAGCTCGCGTTTTTTTTCTTTTTTGATTGTGTTTATGGATTTTTAATCGACTTTTCTCAATAAGCTATAGTTTTTAGTCTTTAAAATGCTTTGATTTTAATAGAAAAGCCTTTAAAAATAAAGAAACCTGTTGCTAGACAATTCGGCAAATTTGGATTGAAATCGAGGGTGAAGCGCGGAACATGTGCGTTTCGGGGAGAGATGAAAAGTCGTTCTAAAAGATTTCGAAGCTTCAACAGTTTTAGAGTTCTCTTCGAAATTTAAGGTTCTTTCTTTTTCTTTCTTTCTCTTTCTTCTTCACTTCTTCTTTCTTTCTTCTTTCTTTCTTTCTTCTTTCTTTTGCTTAGAAATTTTAAAGTTTAAAAAACTTTAGAAAAACTAATAAAAAAAATTGATGTATTAAAGATTTTGTGTACCGTATTTTCTCTAATAGTAGTGCACCCAAGCGAGCCGAGTTGATGACTATTTGACGGCTTCCAAGCTTTCCCAGAAGCTCAACACTCAAATCCCCACTAGATCTCATCGTCAGCTACATTTTTCGACCCCCACATTGATAGGTTCTGATAAGCGGTTCTCGAGATTACATGAGGGAATTTAGGCGACGCTCTGGGCGTCAACCTGTAGAGGATTGCTATTGTTGATGATGCCGCCATTTGGTGCAACCATGTAACGAGTCGGCCCATTCGTCAAAAGACACCAACACACTGGCACCTAAAGACTGATTGTTTATGAAGCAGACTGAAGCTAATAATACCGTAAATAATGTAATAGTACCCCACCCCCTCATACATTCGCGTAGTCGCAAAAGTTTTTTAGTATTTTATTTTTTTTCAAAGCGCCCCTCCAACAAAGGCTACTGTAAAGTATCTTGAAGATTTAAGACTAGGTAAAAGTTAGCTTGCACAAAAAGTAACCTTGCAATCGGGATGACGTCGAATCGTGATCGTTTGTGAGGCGTTTTCCACTTGCTCGACGTCAAACATGATCAACGTCTAAAACATACTATATCTAAATCTACTACGTGAATCGTATGGATCGTTTTTTAAACTTTGCAACACAGTTAACGGTTACTTTTTACACTATAATAAAAACTTAACAAGGACTCAGTGAATTTTAGCTATCAAACCCACAAAGTGTTTAAAAAATGATGAAGAAACGATTTACCTGATCCAAGATGACAAAATTGTTGACAGAAGAAGCCATACTTGAAAAGATTGAATAGAAATGAAAATTTTGCCGGCTGCGCTATATTTATTTGGGTTTTAAATGTAAATTATTTAATACTAATTTCTGCAAACGTCATTATCAGTGGAAACGGGAAGTCTCGTAGCGACTTTCTATTGAGATTGACGACTTTCTGAAATGAACTAGGGCCATTTTCAAATTGAAAAATGAGCTGTTTTAAGCTGATCTTTGTGTTTTACCTGGCCAAGCTTTCACTTCTTTTTGCTTTTTCACTTCTTTTTACACGTTTAATGTTTTGTTTTTAGGTGCTCGCCAAGAAATGACCAACGGAATCTACAAGGTTGAAACAGAAGATGGTTCTGTCCACACGCTCACGAAGAAAGCGGCTCGCCGATCCGGTCTTAATGCGACAATTCATGGATGTATGTAGAGTTTTTTTTCTTAAGCCTTGATCTAGCAAGTTTTTAGGGTAGTCAAATACAGGGTGCGGCAAAATTATGGAACGGATGTTTATTGATGAATTAAAAGAAGAGAATGAAGAGAGTACTCCGAGTGTTATATATCATTTGAAAGCTCTTAATGAATACTACAAAATAGAATAGCTAAATCAACAATTTGTGCCAATCTTGGAAAAGATTTAAAGACCTGAACCGAGGTGATTTTTAAAAATAACCGTTTTCAACATTTTTAACTGTATTTTGTTCCGAAAGTATTCGTTTTAAACGTTTAGATAATTTTAAGTAATAGTAATTTAAGGTAATACAGTAACATTAAGTTAAGTAGTAAAAGTTTTAGATTTAATCTGTTAAAAACTGTTTTTGAATATTTGAATGTTACTCTCAAAACACTAGTTTTTGATATTTACGTTTTTTTCAGTTTCTATTAGAACTTTTTCTTAAGTTTATGTACCTAATTGATGAGGTTTTTATTCCCGTATTTAAGGCAGATATAATCAGTATAATAACTGGTCTAGTTGACGTTAAAACAGAAGATCATCTTTTTCAGGAGAGTCACGTTTGGGTCTTTAAATCTTTTCCAACATTGGCACAAATTGTTGATTTAGCTATTCGATTTTGTAGTATTCATTAAGAGCTTTCAAAAGATATATAACACCCGAAGTACTCTCTTCATTTTCTTCTTTTAATTCATCAATAAGCATCCGTTCCATAATTTAGCACCTTGTAGTACGAAAATTCACCTAGCAAACAAACTTTTGGAAGTGTTCTTAACTAATAATTTGCGCTTTTTGACTTTGCACAAACTGAACAGCCACAAAATCTACAAAGCTCTGTTTATTTTTCGGGGTGCTAGCAAAACCGCCAAATTATTTGTGCCACGTATCATTTGCGCCAAATTTGCGCTTTTCAACATTCTTTCCTAGCAACTCTGCTTGACCATTTATATTTTTTTTCAGTTTTTTCTCGTCGCCGATGCTCGCTATTTTGCCGCAAAAAGGCCCAATCGGGGACACAAAAGTGACTGTTGTTGGGGTCTGTATAGGTATTTAAACGTGTTTTCTAATTGAAAACAATGAGAACTAAAATTGTGAAGCAGAAAACTGAAAAAAAAGTTGGTTAGAAGTTGAGAAAAAGTGATTTGTGACAGTGATTTCCATAAGTTTAAATTTGGCGCAAAAAACGCAGCGCTTTTGCTAGCACTTCATTTTTGTGCACCAGTTAGTTAAACTTTTCTGTAAAATGAAAGCTGAAGACTAGGGAAAATTGTAAAATTCTTTATTTAAAAGGATCATTCTAACCGTTCTTTAGATTTACGAACTAGACTCGGATCATGACTCGGATGCAGCTATGGAACCAATGATTCTACCGATGATTGAAGCAAATACTATTACTTGGGTAGTTGCTTGTAAATTTAAAAAATTGTTAGTTCTTTAGATCATCTTTTACCTGGAAATAAAGAAAAATTGTCCTGCTTACGACGAACAACGCTCGTTAGTTTTTAAAATAAAAAATTTGTGATTAACATAGTTTAGTTCGAAGAACAAAGAAGAGCTGTCTCGGGAAATCGAATGGGAGAATCGAACTCTTGCAATTTCAAACGCAATTTTATTTCGGATTTTTAATGTAGGTATTTAGTTTTTAGAGATTATTGAATGTTTATTTAATATACTTGTAATAATCAGTAATCTACAGTAGTACAATTTTAGGCTTCCAACTACCTTGACATACCCGATCTCTACGACTGGTGCGTACAAAAAGTCGCAGACAAGGGAAAGGTAATAGTGATTTAGTCTACCTGTCTACACCTTTTCATCTTCAGGGCAAAAGTGTCGAGGAAATGCGCAAAGTTTACGGCGTCAAACAACCACCCGATGAAGAGCAGGCACGACTCAGGTTGGAAAATTTTAACAAATAAGGTTTTAAATTATTTTATGATACTTCTATATATGGTTCTTTTTAGTATGCAAAATCCGCTCGCCGCAATACTGGAGTATCGACACAAGAAAGCACAAGAACGTCGTTTGTCATCAACTTGTGAGTCAACTTCCTCCTCCTCTGAAGCGGAATGAAAATGCCGTACCTTTAAAGATGCCTAGGCTAGACTTTAGTATATTGGAACAAGGTATGGCGATACTTTAACGCGATCAAAGAAAAGCGAAAATACCATTCCTTCGCCGATCTTCCGAAAAGTCTATTCCTCAGTCTTTTTAAAATTAGGTGTACGCTATTACAGATTTACTAACGACTTGCTAGCGCGTTTTTCTCTTTTCAACTCTCCTGAAGGCAGATATAATTTGATATGATCTTTTTTTATTCATTAATAAATTTTTATTATGGAAAGTGTGTTGAATCTACAATCAACACCTATTTGCGAGTTATTTTTTGCTAGAGTGTATTCTTTTCTATCTACATTTTGGCTATATAAAGCGGTTTTTTTCATTTGTAACCCTTTTTATTCATTTTCCACTGAAGTGAATTATTGTTTGTAACGATAAAATTTCGTTGTTTTGATCAAATTCAAGATAGATTAAATACAAGTACAAATCGCGAATCCCTTTAGTTTCCAAAGGAAGCTAAACAACAAAGCAAAGCTCTTTTATTGGGACATCAAAAATCAATAGTTCACAAAATCGGTTTTTTGCAAGTTTTATCGATCGTGGGATGTCGAAGTGATCGTTCATTCACATAATACTACAGCCTCCTCCACAGCAGTAGGGATCACAACAATATCTGGTAGATAAAAATTTAGGAAAATACTAGAAAACAAAAATACCCATATCCGGCACATCCGTCTCCATAACCGTATCCTCCATAACCTCCGAAGCCGCTACATCCATATCCGCATCCGTAGCCATAGAGTGGTGGCTAAAAAAGGATCTACATTTAAAGTCTTCGCATTTTAACAAATCTTACACAAAATAACTTTAACTTTTCAACCATAAGATGAAAAGAATCAAATTAAAAGTTTTTAGAACCATTATTTTAAAAACAATAAACTTACTAGAGGATAGTAAACTGGCGGCGGTGGTTGAACGTAGACAACTTGAGGTGGCGGTTGATATGCCTGAAAAGAAAACAATTTCTAGGAAACGTGAAAAGCGTTTACGTCATAACGTTTACGTTAATGTTTATGTCATTTTAACACCCCGAGTTTCTACTTTCGCTAAAAAAAGCAACAAACTTTGGGCGGTGGTGGTGCTTGTGAAGATTGTGAAGATTGTGAAGATGTTCTCTTCTTCTTACGAGTGGGAGTCTCCTAAAAGCGACAGATTTTGTTTAAACCATGATTAATTTAAAGTTAAATTAATGCTCCTCGACTAAACAACGGAAACAAAGTATAAAGTTTGAAATTTTAAAAACTCACGCCCATTTTCGGAGAACGAGTCGATGGAGAAAATAAATTCTCGATTGTGCCTTACTTTTATTTAGGGGGTTGAATGCAAATTCTCTTGACAGACAGACAGACAGACATAAATATGCTAATTTTACGTAAAATTTTGGATATTAACGTACATTTAACCGTCAGTTAAAAGATGCACAAAATTATTTCATTTTTATCCTTATTCATCTAATCATTCTTTCAAATGGCGAACAAGAAGAACTTCGCCAAAAGACAAAAGAACTATGCGATATGCTCATGATTCCAGTGTGCCGATTGTAGTAATCGACATACTGGAGTCATGAGCATTGGCGCAAGTCGCAAAGTCGCAAGTCGCCAACAAGAATAAGAATGTACTACCGCCTTCACGAACATCGAAAACACGACGAGCAAGATGGAAACAATCAGCTGCTTTGTTGCCACTGCTGCTTCTGGCGTTAGTGTGGGTTTTTGCTTTATATTTGCAGTAGAGCGAAGCCATAAAAACCAAATTATTATTTGTTTTATTTGTGGCAATTATTTGTGATTTTGTGTTCCCTGTTTAGCGTAGGTAAATTTATTCATTCGTTTGTATAAGCGACAAGTATTTGGTACCGTTTCATAGTATTTTTGTATCATTTAATAGAATGTTTCAAAAGTGTAAAGGACGGGCAACCTATCCCTCTTTTTTGAGATTTATTCAAAGTTAATCCCACGGTTAGTTCAAGGAGAGGTTCTTTCGTTTTAGAAATTCCAGTCACCTCAAATAAGTTTATTTATAACTCTTTTCCAATAAGAACTACCAGAATTGGAATTTGGAATCGACTTCCCAGAGTTCCAGAGTTCCAGAGTTTTGAGAGAGTCCAATAGTCTCGAAAGTCTCAATTATCTGTAGATGGGCTTGAAGATGATCTTGATCTTGAAGCTCTAGCTTGAACTCTAGCTTGAACTCTAGCTTGAACTCTAGCTCTAGTGGATCCTTGACGTTATCTGAGCTACCCGGAAGGTTAGCGGTTGGAAACGGAAAGGTTGGCGTATGAGAAAATGCCCGCTTCTCGAGGCGCTCCGTAGAGAGTCGAATTCAAAAAAAAGCCGAATTCAAAAGGGGTAGGGATGAATGCCTTTAACTGTAGATGATGTTGATCATCTGTAGATGATCTCGAAGCTCTAGTGGATCCTTGACGTTATCTGTGACAAAAAATTGCATGTTTTCCCCTACATGGATTTTGAGAAAAATTTTGGAATATTCACATTTAGAAATTCGTTTTAGAAATTCGTTTTAGAAATTCCAGTCACCTTCAATAAATTTGTGTATAACTCTTTTCCAATAAGAACTGCCAGAATTTGGAATCGACTCCCCAAGGTTTTGAGAGAGTCCAATAATCTCGAAACCTTTAAATTATCTTTAGATGATCTTGATCTTGAAGCTCTAGTGGATCCTTGACGTTATCTGTGCTACCCATATATTACATATATTTTATCGTGTCGCAATATAAATAGAAATAGAAAATACTTGACAAACATTCTAACATTTCCCCATTCCAGATCGACTATAAGTCAGATTCTTGAACGATCGATGGTGACTTCAAGACGACGAATTATTTCGAGAAAATTTTGTAAACATTTTAAACATTGTAAATCAAGTTTCTAAATTATTGATTCTTTTATTCATTCAATAAATCTTTTAGGATGTTATTTTATAAAGAGAATCAAGAATGATAGACTTTTAGCTCTACTAAATTTCAGAAAATCCCTTCTAACTAAAGATGTATGCAAATTCAGATAAGAAAAGATAATGACAAAAATCTTTTATTCACAAATCCGAATTCAATCCAATTTCACAATCTTTCTGGCCTTAACTCCATCGGGGGTTTAAGAGTGTTACTTGAATGAATTGGCGCCGGTTTATCCATCGGTACATCGAATTCCTCGTCGGAGAGTGAATCCGGCGTTTCTAGAGTAATGCTTGTAATATTCAAAATATTAGAAGACAAGTTACCGTAAAATAGAATGGATCTAATAGAATTCTAATAAAGAACGAATATAGAAATAAAGGCTCCTATAGGAGCGTCGGGTAGTCAAAGGAATGCTCAGAAGTGACGGTGAGATTTTGAGACGAAAATTTGGTGCAAACACAAGTCGAGTACGGCGAATACGATAGCGCTTTTAGATTTTGCGAACGGGCAATGGTCTTCGAGATTTAGGCAATTTAGGTATCTATTTGAAAAGCCTAGGAGTTAAAAGAGAAACCTAAAAGTTAAAAGAGGCTTCTCTCCTCCTTTAAACAGAAACCAGATTGTCTAGTGGATAAGGAGTTTTGCTATGAAACTAACGTCATCTTTTCAGCTTATGGCTTCGATCTATTTAAGGTAGTGTTAAAGTTGGAGGCGACTTGATTACAAGATTTAGAGGAATAGAACCAATTTTATCGCTCACCTTTGGGCAGAATTTCTTTCGCGTCTCATACGAGCAGAACATTCCCATGATGACGAAAAGGGAGATCACCTGGAAATGATTGTGGAAATGAGTTGAACTCGGAAATATGGATTCTTAAAGTTTTAATCTTATTGTTAGACAGTTTTTTCTCACTTCAACACATGAGATCACTGACAATCCAAGCCAAAGCCCGGCCTGTCCACCGAGATCGTTGATCGCTGCAGAGATCTGAAGTTTTAGTTGTAAGTTGGTTGTAAGTTAACTATAAGAAGTTGTAGGAAGTTGTAAGTTTACTGTAAGAAGTTGTAAGTTAGTTATAAGAAGTTGTAAGTTAATTGTATTTGCCAGCAAGTTATATCAAAGCCTATCATCAGCATTTACCAAAAATCCGATTGATTAGATTTTTTTGGTAAACATTTATGCAAGAAAGAACCTTCTGGCATCACGAACTTGAATTCTATCAAATTTCTCTGATTCTACACTCAGATTTTCAAGAATTAAGTGCACTAGAGATGGTGCTTTTCTCCAATCAAACCGAATACGCTGAATGGAGCATTCAGCGTATTGGGTGTAGACGTTATACTTCAAATCGGAGAAGTAGATCTGCAGAATCAGCGCGTTCTCTTGATACCAGAGTCTTAAATTTAGAGAATTTAGATCCAAATTGACATCATTTTAATGTAAAAGAGTCTAATAAAGGCTTTAAGTTTGTTATTTTATTTTCTACCGGCAAGCCTCTTGCATGATTCCAATAGCCGTGAAATTCGTCTGTGTGTTGGCGTCGAATGGATCAGTGTGTCCATCGCATCCAAAAGTCTGAAGTTTTAAAGTAAAGTAAAGTAAATTCGGTTCGCTTTTCAATATAATTAGTGTTTAATAAAAGTTATCAATAATATTGCATACTCTAAATACCTGACTGGCTATTTTTATAGTGAAAGTGCGATAAAACTGTGAGTGTACTGTAACTTTCTTCCTGTAATGTAGCTGTAATACTGCAAGTACCGTAGCCGCTAGCAGACTTGCATTTTAAATCCCTTTAGATCATTTTACTAGCTAGAATTTTTGAAAGTGAGTTGAAAAGTTTTTATGTAAAAGCCCTTACAGAAGAACAACCCCCGGAGCATTTTTGAGTCACTTAAAAGTCGAATTTCAAAAAACTAAAAGCGCCGTCTTGTAGAGCGTTCTCGAAAATACTTAAAACTTGAACAAGAACAGCGCCTCCGTCTCCCTCCAAGAACAGCGCCTCCGCCTCCGTCTCCCTACTTACGTTAGATCCATCCTTGAGGTACATATGAAGTTCGGATTTGAAATGCCAACATGGATCTGCCATTTGTTCGAATTCGATCTTTGGTTGTCCTTTTTGTTCTCATTGTTGGTCGATCATGAAAGCCTTTTGACAGTCAATAAAGCATTATCCATCAACCGAGCTTTTGATTTCGGAGATCGAATGATGGCAGAAATAGCCTCACAGCAGGAGCTCCAAAGAGCACTTTTTGTGATTCTTGGTGGATTTTTTGACGATTGAACAATGTAAATCACAAAATACGATTTTTGATCCACAAATCGTGAACTTATGATGTGAAAAATCAGTATAAAAGATCCGTGAGCTGAGCGTTTGACATGAGCCTCGAAAAGGGAGCAAAGTTAAGATGAAAATCATCGTCCTCGTCCTCGTCCTCAGTCTCGCCGTTCACCAGGTTTGATTTCGACACGATTAAGGAGGAATTTCTCCGGTTAAGCTCCGGTTCAAGCTTTTTTTGTGGAGATTTGATTAGAAGTTTGGACCGAATTACAAATAGCTACTTAAAATGTAATTTAGATAAATGCGGCCGCATTCTGTCCTTCATTGCCAGCTGAGATCACTTGGGCTCCCGATGGTGGAGGTTAGCGCTCCGGTTAAAGTTTTTTTTTGTGGAGATTTGAGGAGCTTGTAGTTTGTCCTTGGGGAAAGATAATTTTCCTTCAATTTCCCTGTTCCCATCTTTGGTTATACATAATACTAGAGTGTAACATAAATGACCGAAGTTTTTGACTAAAAATGGTTTGGTTTGGTTTTACAAATGTTGAATGCACCAAATGAAGTACGATTTGCACCATGGGAAAGATCTATATTTTCTATGCCAAAGAAACATCACTCTTGGTTAGATTTTTAGGAAAATTTCTAATAAAATCTCCATCCAGCCGTTTTCAACAAATTTCAAGTTATCCAAAGCGATCAAAAGCTTTTATTTGAGGACTTTTTGTTTAAACGAAAATTCAGAAAAAAAGGCTGGACGGATTTCGTTGAAAATTTTACGGAAAATTTAGAAAATCTATGTCTTTATTTTAGGTAAACAAAGTAAAACCAATTCTTTGAACAATCCTTTGGATTGTTAGCTTGACAATAGCTAGCTTGATACATCAGACTCAGCAAAGAATAGCATCTGAACTGGGTTCTGGAGTAGATATAGGTCAGAAAGCAAGAGCAAGAGCAAGAGGTATTTATTAAACGAATTCTAATGCTTTGGCTTAAGCAAAGCAACTATTGAGTTTAAAAGGCCGATTTTCAGCAGCTCATCTCGACTACTATGGCACTGGGAAATGGTGTAGCAACGTTAATGGAAGCCGCTATAAATGTTACAATGATGGCGACTCAGACGAATGCTATTTGATCCGGTGTGACCCACTTCCAGCATGGGTAACCTCGGCGCCGACTGGAAGTGAATCAGCCCACAAATGAGTCGCAAAAAAAGTTTCATTTAGACGCCGATTACGACAGCCGTGTCGATGGATGTAAATCAATTGAGCAGTGTTTCTTCGACGGCGAATTCAACAAATGCTACTCGGATGTTTGTCCGCCCTTGCCGGCTAACATCACCTGGGAACCACAAAACGGTTAGAAGACTTTCTATCTAAGGCTTGTTATTCAGGATAGGCAAATTTTTAGTTTGATTAATAAGGGAAGATCAACTGGATGTGCTCACATAAGCCATAGACCATTCAAAGCAGAATTCCACGCCGATTCCAAATCTGTTCCGAATTCTTTTACGGAGCCTTTTGTCAAAAGTTATACGCGTTTAAAGTTGTAAAGAGTTTCCAAAAATCAAACCGCGACATTACAACCCCGTCTTCCGCCGCTTGAACACTTGCAGCGGTGGTAGTGAGTGGTAGTGAGTTAAGATGTAAGGCAATTGTAATGCCTTGAGCAACTCATAGGCAAGTTTTGTTGATTGTGAAGATTGAGAGAAGAGATTGTATGCGGTGAGAGAGAACGCACAAGGGGATAGACACGATAGAGAAGACACAAGACATTAAAACCTAAAAAATAAAGAAGAAAATCAACTACTGGACTCGAACGAGAGAGCTCTCGCCCTCGCCTTTCGTCCTAATTCACTACCATTCCACCACCGTTGCAACTGTTGAGCTTGCGGAAGACCGGGTTGTAATGTCACGGTTTTCTCCTTACAAAACTTACTCTTTACTTTAAACGCGTATAACTTTTGACAGAGTGCTCCGTAGCAAAAAAGGAAAGCAACACCATGATCAGCATGAAATTCTGCGTCGAATGGCTCATGTGATTTGCCCAGCACACCCAGTTAATCTTCCAGTTATTTCTAATTATAGAGAAAAAAAGAGGAAGAGTAAATACTGGCTGATTCTTGTCCTATAAAGCTTTTTAGTCGCAACTTTCGACTACTATGAAGATGGATGTAGAGGCACTCGTTTGTTGTGTTACAATGACGGGGTTTCTGATGCTTGCTACTTGCCAGACGTTTGTTTTCTGTCTTACCACTTTTCCTGACACTTTTTTAGAAAGGACCTTGTCCACCAAAGCCGATTTCGATCAACTGGGAGCCAGAGAGTCGTAAGTTGACAAAAAACCTAATAAAATCATCATCTTTTTGCTATTTCGTTTAGCCGCTCATTTCTCCGAGTACAGTGATTCGCCGTGTGGCCGGGGCACAGATTGCTACAATGACGGAGAGGTTGATCAATGTTATATGGCTGTGGGGAAATGTTTGCCGAAACCCGACTCGATCTTCAACGAGCCCACGGGACGTGAGTAGAGCAAGAAAGAGAAACAAGCTATCTGAAACAAGCTATCTAAATCAAGCTATCTGCATCAAGCTATTTGAATCAAGCTATCTAAATCAAGCTATCTGAATCGGAAGAATCTTTTGCTTTTCTAGCCGCTCTTGTTGGTCGTTGTCCTGAAGGCTTTGAATGTTTCCACGATGGATCGAGCAATCAATGCTATTGCTATGATACGGCTGGACCAAACATGTGGGTTTATATAGGCAAAAACAGATAACAGCATCGGAATCAGCGAAAAATTCTGTTTCGAAAAATTTAACAATATAACAAATAACAATATAACACATATAACAAATATAATAAATAATTCTTTTGTTTACAGCTGTCTGGACGCTCACAATCAGGCTCTGTGCGATCACAAGAGCAACATGTGCGCGAAGACTTGCGGATTTTGTGTTGGCCCCGGTTCCGCCTGGAAGTATCCCATCACTTTCGCACCTTAAGGAAATTACTCTTGACTCTTAAATTACTGAAATGGGATCACCATTTTTCTGTAGTACCTATTCGAATAAATTTTCGCAAAATCAGCAAAGAGTTTCAAGAACATCAACAAGAGAAAACATCAAAAACATTTCAAAATACTTCTTGAGTTAGAGAGTAAATGCTGAGGAATGGTAAAGGAAAATTCGTACTACAAAAGTTCGTAATTCGTACTACATAATCTCAAAGAATAAACGCATATCATCACTTTCTATTAGAGCGAAAAGCAACTATTGTGTTCATGAAAGTTGAAAGATATTGGGATAGGGAAATGGTCGAAAAAATGAACTAAATGGATAGCTTGGCATTGGTATTATTGGAATAGAATTGACAAACAAAGGATTTTACTTTAATAAAATGTATAACTGACAAAATAGCCGTTAAATAGATAAACATTTATTGAGAATCGTTATTAGAAATAGAAATTTTCGGCCAAAGTTCTCTCCTTTTTAGAATTCGCTCTAAAAACTTAAAAAAACTGTTCGTGAAAGTTTCCCTTTTGAGTCCATTTCTCTCAATCGAGTTTCCAAAAATGCAGACAAAAAAGCATCGAGACATTGACCACGTTTCCCCTCATCCGATATTGTTTTGACTGAAATTTCAACAACACAACAAAAGTTTTAAAATTTATTTCCTGCTTTTTCGCGTCTCTTCCGCATTTGAATGTTTCCTTGGATCTGCTGCATTTCCTTCTTCATTACTGTTGAGGCTCAGTATGGACAAGTTAGTGAAAGAAAAGTTGACTCCTCTGTGAAAGGAGACTTTTTCGGTTTTATGGTCAAATATGGTTCCAATATGGTTCCAATACGGTTCCAATACGGTCTCAATATGGTTCCAATACGGTTCCAATACGGTTCCAATATGGTTCCAATATGGTTCCAATATGGTTCCAATACGGTTCCAATACGGTCTCAATATGGTTCCAATATGGTTCCAATATGGTTCCAATATGGTTCCAATACGGTTCCAATATGGTTCCAATACGGTTCCAATACGGTCTCAATATGGTTCCAATATGGTTCCAATATGGTTCCAATACGGTTCCAATATGGTTCCAATACGGTTCCTATTTTGATCTAATACAGTTCCAATACGGTCTCAATATGGTTCCAATATGGTTCCAATATGGTTCCATTGCATTATTGCCTTGAATCGACTCGATTCGAGCAAAAAGTGCACATGTTCAATTCAGATTCAGTTCAATTCAATGCACATGTTCAATTCAGAGTATTTCATCATTCTCAAAGCCAAAAAGCACCCGAGTTTCTCCTAAAATTATCATTTAGCCAACGATTGCTTTGAAAGATTTGCCGCCTTCATTATCATACTCAAATGGAAGTGAGTGAATCAGGGAATGCTAAAAAGTTGGACTTTACATCATAGTACAAAGATTTATAAATCCTTTCATTTTTGAGTTTGATTTTGATTCAAAATTTGATTAAACCAACATTTTACTTGGATCATTAATTTTCATTGGTTCGATCATCAATTTTCAGATGTAGCTTCAAACTATGAAATTCCAATTTACAATAATCATGATGAATGGTCGAAAAGCGAGAGTCGAGAAGATTATTGCAGTGAAAAACGAGTGAAAGAGGCGCTTTGTCCAAAGAGGCTCGAATTGGAGGGATCGAAATGTTGGGTACCGGAAACGAGGTGAGAAAGCTGGAAAGAAAGCTCTTCAAAAGCTGGCTCAGCATTCGGTTATCAGCACGCGGGAAAAGAGTAATCTGTACCGAAGAGAGGACTGTCCTCCTTCATGGAGGACAGTCCTCTCTTCGGTACAGATGTTTACAGTCCTCCGAAAAGCAGGCTTATCTGGATACTTTCTTTTTATTTACTTTTCATTACTTTATTTATTGGTTAGTTAAACAAGCTCTGCTCGCTATTCGCCTCGAAAAAACTGGCAAAATCTTGTATCGATCTATTAGATTGGAAAGAAAGTTCTCAGAAAAAGTTTGACTGGAATTTCTTCAAAACGAATCCACCAATTCAAGAATATTTTGTTCTATTATTTACAATTACAATGAAATTTGCCTCGCTTGGCGAAATATGAATCATAAATCAGTTCGCCTTGCGAGAAAACCAACTAACATGTGAAGATGAACAGAAACCAAAGTACTTTCCACGTGTGAACGCCAATACGTGTTATTTGGGTTGGTTTAAATTTAGTTTTATCCAAAAACGATAAAAGAATCAATAAACGACTCACACATAGCTTTTGAATGGAACCCATTGCCTATTCTTTAACCCATTAAAAACTTGTCTAAATGCTGACCACTTAAAAAGTAACCAAGTCACTTCAGCTGAAGAAATCTCTTATTTTTTTTGCCTGAAGCCAACTCTGATTCTTTTTGTCAAAAACTTTTTGAAATATAGTTTATCAAAAAATCTAGGAAGAATTCATGGTTTGATTTTTGAGAAATCACCGTGCAAACTTTTTCCGAGAACTTTCTTTCCAACCTATTAGAAATCTAGATGCCTCAAAATCTTCAGTCAAACATGTTCAGCCATTTGTTCAGCCACTAACACAATCTTTTTCAATCTCAAGATCTATTCAAGGCAACGCTTCGATTTTGAGACTTTTTAGACAACTTTTTCGACTCATCACAAAAATTCGACCCTTAGCGTCTGCGTTCTGCTTCGGCAGATCGAGCGTCGAGGCGATCCCGAGTCACATATGCCAGCTTTAGAGCCAGCAATTGCCAGCAATTGCTCTAAAATTTATCAATGTATATCTAGAAAATCTAGATATCTCAAAATCTAGACCTAGATCTAGATCCAGATCCAGATCTAGTTCTAGTTCTAGACAACAAAAGTGGAGCAAAAACGTGTGGAAATGTTTTAACGAAACTCAAAGAAAGCAATGAGTTTATTATTATTTATTAAAACAAGTTTATCAAAAAATCTGGGAAGAATTCATGGTTTGGTTTTTGAGAAATCACCGTGCGAACTTTTTCCGAGAACTTTCTTTCCAACCCAATACATGTTTTAATAACGTCAGACGCAAAATGATCTCCGCTATCCAATTATATTAAAAAGAGTTTGAAGTTTAAAAGTAGTTATGCCTTTTTTTACAAAAAAATGTTTTGGAAGGATGTTCTTTTGCAGAAAGATTGATCTGAATGATCGTGAATATTTGGAAGTGAGATGTGATGGAAGAAATGAAACGATAGCTTTGGTTACTGGAGAAGGAAAGGTAGAAATAAAAACTATCGAAATAAAAGCTTATATCCAAATTTACAGCTTTCTGAACAAATAACTAGGTACAGTAAAGAAATTCTGATGAAACTGTATATCTGTAAATTAGTTTCTTGACTTTTAGCGAATTTTATCTGTTTCAATTCAGGTGATTACCGTTTCGTTTGGTAAAATGGAGCACGTGTTGGCGTGTGAGGAGAGGAAGTGAGAATGTTGGAGCGCTAGATTTGATTTGTGAAATTGCAGACATAAATGGAAAACATTTACATTCAAACGAGAGAGAATTTACACCCGAAGAGTGTTTTGTGTTGAAGGCGGTAAAGGTGATTCGTTAAATGTTAGCTGAATCTGTAATTTAGAAATTGTTGAACAATTCATGAATCAGGTGGGCTGAACGTACACTTTTCTTTGTTTAGTTTCTACGTTTTACACAGAAATATATTTAATTGACATTTATAATTTCCAGGTGGGTTTGACTTCAACGACAACAACCACCACGACCACCACTACAACAACGACGAGAACGACCCCTATGGTTAGTCTGCGAAGGGGCCCTTTTGAACTCGAAATGCATGGCCTCTTTGCAGACAACGACAACCCCGACCACTACGACGACGACTACAACTACTACAACAACCACGACCACCACAACAACAACAACTACTACGACGACGACCACAACAACTACTACTACAACAACCACGACCACCACAACAACTACGACCACTACGACGACGACCACAACAACAACTACCACAACGACAACAACAGCAACTACCACGACGACAACAACAACTACCACAACGACAACAACAACAACTACCACGACGACAACAACAACTACTACTACAACAACCACGACCACCACAACAACAACAACTACTACGACGACGACCACAACAACTACTACTACAACAACCACGACCACCACAACAACTACGACCACTACGACGACGACCACAACAACAACTACCACAACGACAACAACAACAACTACCACGACGACAACAACGACCACCACAACGACAACAACCACTACTACTACAACCACGACCACTACAACAACAACGACGACAACAACTACGACCACTACGACCACTACGACGACGACAACCACCACAACAACAACAACTACTACGACGACGACCACAACAACTACTACTACTACAACCACGACCACTACAACCACGACCACTACAACAACAACAACGACGACAACAACTACGACCACTACGACGACGACAACCACAACGACAACAACAACTACTACTACGACGACCACAACAACCACAACGACAACAACAACGACGACGACAACAACTACGACCACTACGACGACGACAACAACTACGACCACTACGACGACGACAACCACAACGACAACAACAACTACTACGACGACGACCACAACAACTACTACTACTACAACCACGACTACTACAACAACAACGACGACGACAACAACGACGACCACTACGACGACGACAACAACGACAACAACGACAACAACCACAACAACCACAACAACAACAACAACAACAACCACTACTACTACAACCACGACAACCACTACGACGACGACAACAACCACGACCACTATGACGACGACAACCACAACGACCACAACGACGACGACGACCACCACGACGACGACGACCACCACTACCACAACAACAACAACCGTAAGTTTGTGGAGGATTCCCGATATACTAGGTTGATGCAAATGAAATTTCGGGCGGTATAAAATGTTTGATGTTTTTAATCCGGAAAGCCTATTTGATTTTCTTTTGTGTATTTGTACTCTTGGATATTTACTCTTTTTTGACACTTTTCGAAGTCAGAGCTTTCACTTTTTAATTGAGATTTGCTTTGGATCATGGTGGGTCATGGTGGAAAACGATGGTGCTTATTGTTTGGAATAGATTGTTACCTAAAGGAATTTTAATTGAATTTAATGCTTTTAAAAAACCGTAATTTCATTTGCATCAACCTAGTAATGATCGCAAAAATCTACGGGTTACTTTTTTGAATTTCTTCCTGTATTTTCAGCTAATAAACAATTTTAGTCGACGACCACAACCACCATATCCAATTCCTGTCCCTACCTCACTCTCACACTAGTTTTGGCCAAGTCGTGGAGTGGCAACAATGGTGCTAATATATACAATCAGTACATTTTGACCTTCCAAAATTCGGCCAAACAAATGGTGTGTGCTGGAGCTATTTTCTCGATGCAATTGAATGGGGTAATTTGAAGGCTAAATGATTCATCTTCTTCAAATGATTCTAAATGATTCATCTTCTTCAAATTCTAAATGTTTCATCTTCAGCTCACAATAACCGAACAATGGAACTTCGATTCGTTGGGCGGTACTTTGTATGCTTTAACATCTGGATGGACAACAGTGCCGGCTGAGGGAATCTACAATAGATCTGGTGTCACTCTTATGGGAGTCGGCTCGTTTAATGTGGCTACTGTAAGCTGTAAATTATGCTAAGAAATAAAGGATAAAGGATTACCAAAGAAAACGCAAAGTGATTCATTTTAAAAACAAAAAGATTGGCAATCGATTTTGAAAGAGAAAATTGGATAGGAAAGATGAGGTTCTATAGAAGAAGGATGGACATGGAAATTTGCATGGACAAAGCAAAAGGTTAAGCATTTGTATGTTATCACAGAAGAATGAGAGTTATGTGCTGTGAACTTCAATTTTGTTCCATTCTTTATCATCCTCTATGTCTATTTTTGTGATTCCAGTCCCTTGCCACATTTATCCTTTAGGATTCACCGAAATTCGCACGTTCTCTTTGAGATAGACAAGATTGCTTGGGCTCTTCAACTTCCGGCGTTGTTGGTGAAGCGACTTTGTCTTTGACTTTGGTCTTGTCGGTTGCTGGCTCGGTCTCAAATGGAAGTCTCTCGAGATCGTTCTCACGATCCACATAGTCGAGTGGGCCTTCATAAGGTTCAGAAACGATTGGATAGGGCTCTTCTCCTTCTTTGATCGACCTTCTGCTTCCTCCAATTTAGAACGAGGTTAGGTGGAAGCCCCAATCACGTTTCTTCTTATTCTCCTTCTCGTCATGTGGTTGCTCGGTTTCTTCACCTTGCACCTCTTTGAGATAGACAACAGCGGTTTGCTTGTGCTCTTCAACTTTCGGCGTTGTTGATGAAGCGACTTTGTCTTTCTTGGTCTTTTTCTTCTTCTGCTCGTTAGCGGGGTAGGCCAAGAATCACCTTGATGGTAGACAGCTGCATGTTCACCAAGAGGTGATGCACCGAGGTCATCTTTGCATGGCAACTCTTCGAGTGGACCCTCATAAGATGTGGTGGCTAGTCCGTATCTGAATTTAAAGGCTGATTTTCATTTGATATGTTTTTTGTTAATACAAAGTTGTTGTTTCTTTTTGAATTTTTAGAAAAAAATTGTTTCAAACTAACTTGTGCTTAGATTTTTCAGTGCTGGAAAAAAATCGGCGTATTTTCTCGTCACCCTGTATTGATACAAAGATAGGAAACCTATACAAAGATAGGTTTCCTTTAGCTAAAGTGCCTAAATTGCATCATTAAGCTTGAGTTTTTTGACTACCCGACTTCAGGCTTCCAAAAAAATCCAAACATAAGACATTGGTAAACTCGTTTTAATGTTATTTTGAAGAATAATAATTGGCCTTTCTAATGAAAGAAATCGTAGTTTAATTGATGGATTTGTTGGTTTTGAATCGAAGTATGAAAAGGAACGTAAAGACTTTCTGAGAAGCATAATAATTTTTTGGTTATGAATCCTTGTCCACCCCAACCCTGTTGACTCGGTGACAATCGGTCACCCATTTCTTTTTCCCCACCCAATCAAGGCTTTATTCTTTCTTTGCCATTTCAGACTTTCAGACTTTCTTTGCCATTTCACTGATCATAACTGAAAAAGATTTCACGGGTTCCAATCGGTCTACCAAACATTAGTTGTCTACCAAACATAACGGTTCAATAGTTGCACGCATCAGAAAACCCTAACTGTTTTGAGGTGTTTTCCTTTTTTCATTTAAGGACTTTCTTACATCAAACTTTCTAGCTAAAAACTAAACTTGCCTAGTACATATTACAAGACTTCCTAACCAGTTTTCTTTTGATACTTGCTAAACTGTTCGATTGAACCTTTCAAGATATTTCAAAGACAAAGACAACCAAATATACCAAACGTTTTTTTGGTCTTTTCTAATAGATCGCACACTTACTTTTTGATAAATAAATATAAGGAAAACACTTTTTTTCGGATAAATAAAATGCTTAAGTAGTTTGTACGAAAAACCCATTATAATTTTCATGAAATTTTCATGAGTTGCCGATTGTCCAGTGGGTCTCTTCATCAAGCATTACTTCATTTTGGATCTAAAGCTTTGCTACATTTGCTACATTACTACATTGCTACATTGCTACATTTGCTTTGATACACACTACCGATTTCTCAATTCACCAAAATTCTCATTTCAATGTTATTCCATCTGAGATTGTTTTTTGTTTTATTTACTTTTCTTTTTATGGTAAATGCTGAAATGACGGAAGAGGACATTGAAAGGTTTGTAAAGAGTCGCTCAAATTTAGTTTTAAAGTGTATTTATTCGACACGAACAATGAATTACAACATAAGGGAGGAAATTTTTACCCCTAATTACCCCTATTGTCCAAAGGCTGTTAAGAAAAAAATCCATAATAACGAGAGAAAGAACCAGATCTTTCTAGCAGCTGGGATTGAACCCTTTAAGATAAAAATCTTTAAGTATATAAAACAATCGAGCTTTTTAATCTGGTTTTAAAACAATTTCACCTCATAACACCCGGCCAACTTGATAAAATGCGAGTTTGTCGTGTATCGGCTATCTTGTTTTAGCATTGACATTTTCATCGTTTGAGTGGCATCCTCTCGAATATTTCTTTCTTGAGAGGAAACCGAATTTCACAATCTAAACCAAAAATTTACAAATTCTACTTGTAAATTTTTGAATTAAACAAGTTTAAAGTCTTCTTTTAGTTACAAGTTTTCTTTTAGCTACAAAACTTTGAACCATTTTCTTTTTGGGAATTTCTTTTTTGGGTTTATAATTTTGAGTTATAAAAAGCTGGTGCTGTTGTTGCAAAAAAGAATATTACTTGAAGTAATAAGTAATAAAGTAGCGGCAATCAATTGGAGGCTGAGCTCGGGGCTGAAATCTTATAAATCAATATCAATACAGGGTGCGGCAAAAGTTCTGACACTTTTTCTGTAAGCAGTAATTTTTTTGGCTTCAAAAACCCGTGAATTTCAAAAAAGTAACGCCGGATTCTAAAAATTTAGGTAGTTTCACCCCAATATAGCCATTTTCATAAAAAGATTTCAACTCTCAATAACTTTTTGACGAGAATTTTTTATATCCCGATCTGGTCGCTGAAGATTTTTGCGAAAGTTGACTTAAACTTTGCAGAATGAATTTTTTTTCAAAAACTGCTGTTACCATTTGATAGAACTGAGTTTTTTTTCTTGAAAACAAGCCACAAAAAACTTTATATCTCAAAAACGAAAGATTTTCAAGCGATTCTACGAAGGGCACCCAAATCTCAACAGCAAAAAAAAAAAACTGCTGTAACGACCTTTAAACATCCTCATCAAAAGGTTGTTTAGATGGCAATTTTTGTGTAAAAAAGTATATTAGGGGGTAAAAATTTCTGAATTTTTATAATCCGGTGTTAGTTTTTCAAAAATCGCGTTTCTTCCAAGTCAAACTGCCCGTTTACAAAAAGTTGCGGAACTGTCGGAACCTGTACACTGAAATCAATATCGATTTCAGTGAACCAATCGAGTTCATCGTGGCGCAAAGGTAAATAAACTTCGCTTCATTTTATTTGTAACTCATTCATTTTATTTTTAGACAAACCCAGCAACCAGGAGTGAGTTTTGGGATAAAAAATAGTATGTGAAATGGCTCAAAATGGTGTTTCATTGATGCATTATGCATTTTGATTGATGTCAAGTGATGCAATTTTGAAAATTGATGACAAAAATGAAAAACAATTCATTTCAGGATCCGAATTTCCTCCGATTTGGAAGAAAATGAGCAGTGAAATGAATAAATGGTTAACTTTACCGAAAACACAAAAGCAAGACACAAAACATATGTGATTATGGTGCATAAAGGCTAGCATTTTTGATGGGAAGGCTGGATTTTACGAATATTATACGTGGAGAAGCCATTAGAATCTGAATTGTAGTGAAAGTTTTATGAGATGTCCATTTGATCACAAAAATGCTTGATAACAGAAATCTTTCTTCTCCTATACAAACATTTATTTACATGTTCTCAACACTGCAAGATGTTGTTCTACTTGGTGATGTTGTTCTTTTTGTTCTGATGATGTTTTTCTACTTGATAATCTTGTTCTTTTTGTTCTGATGATGTTGTTCTACTTGATAATCTTGTTCTTTTTGTTCTGATGATGTTGTTCTACTTGATGATGTTGTTCTACTCGATATCAGGTTGGGAAGATCTCGGAAAAAGTTTGCACGGTGATTTGCACGGTGACCAAACCATGAATTCGTATCCCGGCAAGCGAGGCAAATTTCAACGTTTCTATGTAATGTTTCGATGTTTCGATGTTTCGATGTTATTGTTTCGATGTTTTGATGTTATTTTGCTTTTTAAAGTAGTTGTCACGCTTGGTTCCTTGCTTGGGTATTTGATTGAAAGTTTTTCCATAAACCCTTAGCCATTTTGCAAAGCAGACACCGTGCCAAAATCGTACCTAAAGAGGAAACAAACTGGAATGGAAAGGGAGGAAATTGAGTGGTGAGAAACGTCCGAATACAGTCAACTCTCAATCCAATGGAAAAAGGGATCAAATTTGGAATCGAACACGAAATTTGTTTCTTTGCATTGAGGACACGTTTTGAACAAACACTAAGCATCAAATTTGAGACCAAAATTGCACGAGCGTCTGTGAATACGAAGAACAATGATCCGATTCAATTCAACATCCAACTTGGATGCGGGAAAATGAGGTGCACACACGATTCTACGGCAAGAACAGTCCTCGAAGTGGGAAGTTTTGTAAGGTTATAAATATTGTTACAACAGAAACTGTTCAGTCGCTTATGAATCTTCACTCACCCTGACTCAGCCTATCAAACTATGCGCCATTCATCTCTATCTTTTACCCTTTTTCAAAGTCTTTTTCCTAGACATGCAGACACCCAGCGAAAAGAGCTATCAGAATATTTTTCACCTTTTCGTATGCCGTTTCCCTACTCTATCCTTCCCACCATTTTGCAAGATTCCGTTTTTAAAGCCGTTCGATTCAAGGAAACAATCAAATTCCTTCAACTCAACAAGCTTTTTCGAGCCATTACCCTTAACAATGGGCCTTTTGCGGGGAAAATCGACTCCGATATCGCTATAACTATCACCCTGTTACCACTTTCGAATCGAGAAAAAGAAAAGAAACATGTAATTGGATCAATCACTACAGTGTCTTTTTTCAATCACTACAGTGTCCAGTCTTCATCACCGGACTCTTTAGTCTTTGAAATAAAAGCGGAGAGCATAGGCCGAATCGTCTATAACCATCACAAAATGCGACATTCAGCTGCTACATTTTGGCAGCTCTTCAACAGATTGCATCACTGTGGAAATCTTCGAATTATCGTCGAATTTGATGCGATCGGTATGAGAAATAGTCAGCTTCAAAAGGATCAAAAAGAACAACTTGAATCAGCACTCAAACTCTTCTCAATTTTTCTCCCGAAAATCAAGGCGTACCAACGGGTTGATCTCCGCGGAAAAGCCGAACTTTTGGCCGATGTTTTAAAGAGTTTTCGGCCAGATTATGTGGAAAATCTCAAAATCAACGTTAATTTGGAAGACAAGAGCTTCATTGAGAGCTATTTTCTGAAAAATTGTCAAATTTTGACCATTCATCAATGCGATCTTGTCGATGAGATAGTTGAAATCTATGAGAAAACAAAAATCGAAGCACTGATCGTCTCGGAGCTCTGTTTGCAATCTTTTAATGAAACATGTCGACGAATTATTTTGATTAGAAATGGCAATAGTTCAATATTCCTTACCGCTAAATCATTTGCTTGTGATTTGATTGAGGAACTCTTTGAGGAAACTCTTCCAAACGAGTTTTTCAATGGTGGTCTGAAAGAGATCGATGAAGAGTCAAATGAGGTTCAATTAATGCAGAAATATCTAAAAGGTTTTTATCAAAAACACAGAAAAACCTTTGATAGAAATTTGATAATAGAGAGAACACTCGGAAAGAACCGAGCTCAGCCCCGAGCTCAGCCCCGAGCTCAGCCTCCAATTGATTGCCGTTACTTTTTTAGAGAAATCGATTGTGAAATTCTTGCTGTAACGATTCAAGCTTGCTTCACCGAGCTGCTTGTGGCGATGAAAAGCTTTCGAATTGATGAATGCTTTAAAGATTGTTGAAAAGTCTGGTTCTTTTATGTCAAATCGACTTTTTTTTTGAGTAAATTCTATTTTAATTCAACTAACATTTCAACAATAGTCAAACATCTCGATATTTATGTCAAATAAACATGCTATTGGGTTGATGAATTGAAAACTGCGGGCTATTGTCATATGTGACATTTTGAGCATTTTCTTCAAAAGAAACCCATTTTGGTGTCAATGGAAAGTTGTAGAGAATCAAAAATTAGGCTTATATCCAAATTTCCAAAAAGATACACTTAGTAGTTTCGCTTAAAATTTGTGTGTTCAGTGTGTTCTTTGCGCGACCGTGTAATCGCTCGTCGTCTGGCGCAGGGCTTTTACGTAAGCCCCTTCCCTCTCCCTTTGTCAAACTCCGGATCCTCGAATTGGACATTGGCTTCTCCTCAAATTGGACATTGACTTCTCCACAAATCAAGGCTCATCTCCATCTATTGGAGTGGTGAATTGAAAACTGCCGGCTATTGTCATATGTGACAGTTTGAGCACTTTCTTCAAAAGAAACCCATTTTGGTATCAATGGAAAAGTTGTAGAGAATCAAAAATGAAGCTTATATTCAAATTTTCAGAACGATTCAAAAACTGGTTTTCAAGAAATGCCAAATTTACGAATTTTCACAAAACCTGCAACAAGACTTGCATTTCAAGCGAAACTACTAAGCGTCTCTTTTTGGAAATTTGGCTATAAGCCTCATTTTTGATTCTCTACAACTTTTCTATTGACACCAAAATGGGTTTCTTTTGAAAAAAGTGCTCAAACTGGGATCTCGACATCTCCAGTCCTCCATTTTTGAGTCTCACACTTGTCTCACACACAAACCAAAATCCTACTACGAAAGAGGAATCCGCAAATTGCCTGTAAAATGGGCAGAAGTCGTCAATAATAATGGAAATTATTTGGAATGAATTGATGGTTTTATGTTGAATAGATTTTAGTTCAAAGTCCCGCAGTTTTCAATTTTTACGTTTGAATACGGGCCTGATTTTCAGTCTCAATGTTGGCGATGATCAAAAGCGATTGCAAAGCTGTTGTTGTGGTTCCATCTATTGTCCTTGAATTTTATAGCATTTGATAGCAAACTTATCAACTTTATTACTTCACTAATAATTAAAAGCATTGGAATCGATTTCAATCAATCAATTAATCAATTCTCAATCGAAAAATCGTGCAATCAGTTGAAGCTCGTCTTTTGACGCCTCTTTCTTGCCCAAATCGCTCATTTGCTCAATCGATTTCAATGTGAATAGATAGACTATTTCACCTAAAGACGTTTTCTGCTTGATAAATAATTGTGTTGCGAATGAAAAATCAAATAGATCAAAATCAATTTGCATTTTGAGTAACTCTTCAAAAGTGTTTGATGGATTTGAATTATATTTTTCGACAAAAGCTCGCATTTTCTTAGCTTTTTCACAATTCTCATCAATCTCTTCAATTTCGTTGATTCTTTTGAGGAAATCACACAAATCTTTTATCTCTATAGCTTTCCTACCTTTCCTTCCTTTCCTACCCAAATTGGAAAGCTCAAAACGATTCTTATTCGCTTTCTGATATTTCAAGACAATCGTCGTTTTCTCGTTTTTAAAAAGCTTCTCATCTTTCACAATTTTTTCAAGAGAACCTAAAAATTCAGCGTAACTTTTAGAGTTCTTTACGATGAATTTCGCATCTGATTCAGCGATGGCACCTCTCGGTACTCTTTTAGGGCTTTTCCATGTGAAAATCTGACAATTCGACAATTCAGGTCTTTTCCACGATGTCCACAAATCTTCCATGTTTTCAAAACAAAACTCTTGAACGAATTCGAATTTGTCGAATTGTAAATGAGTGTAATTTGAAACAATTATTGGATGATTTTCGAAGAAGAATTGTGCTTCGAGCTTGAAGGAGTAAAGAGGTTTCAAATTTGGAAACAGCTTGACGAATTCGGAAAAAGTGTTCATTATTGTTCTTGATAAAGTCACGAATTTCGGATTCTCACAATCAGTTAGATAGGAAAAAGAGATGGAAATCTCTTTGCAGTAATCAATTTTTTGAAACAATCTAGGAAACGCCAGCTCATTTAATGAAATCATTTCATTTTCAATGTAAAGAACAAGATTTTTGATCGAAATTGACAAAGGTTTGCCATTGACAAAGGACAAATTTGTTGAAAATATCCTCACTGTTACGGAAATTTCATTGTAGTCATAACCGAGATTGTAGGCATTTCGATAGTTGAATTCGATTTTTCTGATCTTTCCTTGAAAAGGATGACTGTGTTGAACAAAAGCACGGAACTCTCGACAAACTCTCGATAAATTTAGCAAATCTTCGATAGAAACACGCTGCAGAATGCTCAATTTGAGCTCTTTTAGCAGAATTGAATAGCAAAACATCAGCGAATAGAAAATTGCTCAATAGCCTTCACCTTTTTTGGGTTGCTATCGGAAATTATCGATTTCTTCGCAACGCTTCTTTCATGAGAAAAGTGTGTTTGTCTTAAGCAAACACAATGAAAAAAATTAAAACATCAATCGACTTGTTCAACTTCAATTGAACTCTTTAATGTTATTGGGTTGGGGAGAATGAATCGGCGCCAAACTTTAAAGGGACTTTTTGCACACATAAAGCCTTCTTTAAACATACGTTTGGTTTGATCAAAAGGATCCACTATTTCTCTACAAAATCACTTTTGAGAGATTCCACAAAGCTTTTCTTTCGTGGAGTTTATGAACTTCCAAACGCAGCTGGTTAAAATGGCAAAGAGTCCGACTCATCATTTGAACAGTTTCTTTCACATAAACCTTCTTTGGTGTTTATATAAAAAAGATAGAGCACATTCAATTACTTAAGTTGCCAAATTTGCAGGAAGATCCCACCAATGGTTTTTTCTAGATCACAGTTTGTAGTTTCTGTGGAAAGTTGACATTTTCTTGAGCTGAGGCGATGTTTGAGTTTTCTTTTAAATGTGATTTTGTAGAGAATTAGTTAACCATTCTACTCATATCAAACGCATATTATTTCACGAAGTCGAATAGAAGTTTTAGACATTTTTTTCATTTTCGGCGCCGACTCATTCTCCCCAACCCAATAATATTGGGTTGGTGAATTGAAACTGCGGGACTTTGAACTAAAATCTATTCAACATAAAACCATCAATTTATTCCAAATAATTTCCATTATTATTGACGACTTCTGCCCATTTTACAGGCAATTTGCGGATTCCTCTTTCGTAGTAGGATTTTGGTTTGTGTGTGAGACAAGTGTGAGACTCAAAAATGGAGGACTGGAGATGTCGAGATCCCAGTTTGAGCACTTTTTTCAAAAGAAACCCATTTTGGTGTCAATAGAAAAGTTGTAGAGAATCAAAAATGAGGCTTATAGCCAAATTTCCAAAAAGAGACGCTTAGTAGTTTCGCTTGAAATGCAAGTCTTGTTGCAGGTTTTGTGAAAATTCGTAAATTTGGCATTTCTTGAAAACCAGTTTTTGAATCGTTCTGAAAATTTGGATATAAGCTTCATTTTTGATTCTCTACAACTTTTCCATTGATACCAAAATGGGTTTCTTTTGAAGAAAGTGCTCAAACTGTGACATCTGACAATAGCCGGCAGTTTCCAATTCACCAATCCAGTAGATTGAGATTAGCCTTGATTTGAGGAGAAGTCAATGTCCAATTTGAGAATCCGGAGCCGGTCACATTAGTTGGGCAGAGGGAGAGGGGAGGGAGTGATGTAAAGGCCCTGCGCCAGACGACGAGCGATTACGCGGCCGCACAAAGAACACATAGAATACAGAGATTTTTAGCGAAACTACTAAGTGTATCTTTTTGGAAATTTGGCTATAAGCCTAATTTTTGATTCTCTACAACTTTTCTATTGACACCAAAATGGGTTTCTTTTGAAGAAAGTGCTCAAACTGTCGCATATGACAATATGCGACAGTTTTCAATTCACTAATCCAATAGTTTGAATGAAATTAGAGATCGAGATGGTTATCGAGACTTGACATTGTTTTGAAAAAGGCTCAGAACCCACAACAAAAAGAGAACCCACAATAAATGATTGTACTGTTTGAACTTTCTTAGCCTAGACTTGGAAATAAAGTCTGTTCAAAGGAAAAGCAAACAACACCACACCAAGACCAGAGTTTAACAAAATCAAAGAAAAACGGGACAAATGATTGTACAAAGTGTTCAATAATTTCCCCAACAACGGCATTTTAAGTGTAAATCAGCAGAAAGATTGATCGAAATCTAAAGAATGGTAAAAGAGAACCTTGTGATGTTTAGTATCAAAATGAAGCCTAAAATAAGGGCTTGCGGGGGAAATAGGTTTCATGCTTGAACGAGCTTTGGATAGGAAAAAAATCGAAGAGCGAGGCAAACTGTCTGAAAATTTTGCTCGGACTCGTTCAGCAGGTCCAGTGCTGAGTTACACTTAAAACACTGAGTTCTGGTAGTAAATCGAACCCGCGACTTCTTGCTCAACCCCGCAAACGCACTACCAATAAGCTATGCACTCAAGTTTCAGTAAATATTGTAGAATTTATAGCTAGATATATAAAACTAACTTGTAGACAAGATTCCCCATCAAAACTCCATTCTTTATGATAATATCCGAGCGGAAGTATTGAGAGAACAGCGTCAAGAATCGTCAAACTGATCGTCACCGGTACAACAACTCCCGATCGCATTCAGAGGGTCTTTGTGAAGCTGAATTTACATTAGATTGCTTGAAAATTCACTTTCTTTGACTCAGACTTGCCAATTCATCAGTTCAAGTCCATTGTCTACATTGCCTACAGTCTACATTGCCCACCGCGGAATAAGAAGTTTACAAATAGGAAGTTTAAATGCTATTTGTTAGTCGACTATACATACAAAGAGCGACTACGCGATTTTTGTTGTAAAAATCGAAAAAATTCGAACTTCACCTATTTATCCGTCAACTTCACCTATTTATCCGAAGAGGTGAATTCACTGAAAAGGTTTATAACTTGTATACTGTAAGACTTTCAGGGCTGAAAGGCTTTCAGGCCTGAAAACCCTTTCAGGCCTGAAAACGCTTTCAGTACTGAAAAGGCTTTCAGGCCTGAAAAAGCTTTGATTACTGTAAGGCTTTTACGGCTGAAAGCGTTTTCAGGCCTGAAAGCCTTTTCAGTACTGAAAGCGTTTTCAGGCCTGAAAGGGTTTTCAGGCCTGAAAGCCTTTCAGCCCTGAAAGTCTTACAGTATACAAGTTATAAACCTTTTCAGTGAATTCACCTCTTCGGATAAATAGGTGAAGTTGACGGATAAATAGGTGAAGTTCGAATTTTTTCGATTTTTACAACAAAAATCGCGTAGTCGCTCTTTGTATGTATAGTCGACTAACAAATAGCATTTAAACTTCCTATTTGTAAACTTCTTATTCCGCGGTGGGCAATGTCTTAATAAAAAAAGCTAGGTTATCAGGCAATGTAGGCAATGTAGGCAATGCAAAATAGAGCTAGGGTTTAGATTTCTTTTTGTAACAGCCTTGGCTTAGGCAAAGAAGCAAACCCAGAAAAATATCAAGCTCTTTAGCTCTCATAACGTCAAAAACCGTATCGTCACGTCACAAATTCTTTATTCCATGTACATTTTGTCCAAAAAGTGCCATCTATTTTATGCAAGATGGGCAAAGGTTCGTTTGAAAAAAAGCCAGTGAAAAACTCTCGTCAAGATCTTTCACCTATTCACACGTGAAAAAAACCGAACAAAAGGGGAAATTTTAAAGCTTTCTTTCATTTTTAAGTAGAAACCGGACAACCACCGTTCTTTCATTTTCGAAATTTCGGAATTTAACTTCCCGTTTTCTTTTACTCAAGATTTTTGTTTCGAAAATGTTGAATGATTCTTCTACTATACCACAACGAAAACCATCAACTTCAAAGGAAAGAACAATAAAACCGCCAAAGAAAAAGTGAGATTTTTAAAGAAAATCTTGATCTTGAAAAGCTTAGAATTCAATCGTCAATTTCCTTGACTTAAAAACTTTTAGACGAGGCTTGTTGGCTAACGTTTTTCTCGACTTTGCTCAATGGAGTACGGTATGTTTAGCGTTTTCTAAAGCGTATGAAACTGGTAAACTGCTGGAAAGTTGTAGTAGAAGAATTCTCGAGTAAGACCTTGAGTAGAGTGTCACAAGTACAAGTACCCGAGTTTTCAGTTTCAGTGCTTAAAGTGGCAGTGGCAGGTGAAAGGGTTAAAATGTGGCTGGTTAATTAGTTTGTGTGAGTCTGGCACTTGATTAATGAAGTTCTAAAACCTGAGTTTACTGCTGACAGCTGAGTTTGCTGCTTAACTGATTCAGCAAGTCAAGTCTGGTTTAGGCTGTCTAGAAGCTAGGCTGTCTAGAAGCTAGGCTGTCTAGAAGCTAGGCTGTCTAGAAGCTAGGCTGTCTAATAGCTAGGCTGTCTAGAAGCTAGGCTGTCTAGAAGCTAGGCTGTCTAGAAGCTAGGCTGTCTAGAAGCTAGGCTGTCTAGAAGCTAGGCTAACAAAGTACTCTGTCGCACCTGAACTGGCTTTGACCTGCCTCTGGTCGGACCTGGTTTGCCGGAATGTTCCAGAATCAAATTTTGAACAGATTAGGGTCATTTGATCAATCCTGATCCTGATTCTAGCCTGATCATAGCTAAAATCTCTTACAGTAACCCATTATGATTAACCTGCCTGTGTCCGAGTTTCCCAGGCCACCCGAATCCATCCAAATCCATCCAAATCCATCCAAATCCAAATTTCCAGGTATGCGGCCTTGTTCATATGGCCGAAGCAGCCACTCGTCGTTCGTTCATTTTCTGGCTTGTCATTTTCATCATTCTTTTCATCATGTTTCTTTATCAACTCGGCATAATTATCGCGAAATATGTGGAAATGCCCGCACAAGTCGACACCGATATCTACTACAGTCAATTGGTTGGTGAAAATCAAGAAAATGCAATAATAGCCAATGAATTAGCAATTCTGGAAAAAGCTTCGAATCTTGTTCTCTATAAAGTTCAAATTCTAGTTAAAGAGTTAAAAAAACAAGCAGTTAATGAAGTGAATAAGCTTGAAAATTTAGCTAGATGATAATCTCGTTAAATTTTGAAAGATCTGATCTGAAAGATTTGAAAGAACTTCTGAAATTTAGCCTTTTCCAGTCGTGACCGTGTGCAACGCAAATCCCTACAAATATACAGTAATCAAGGTAACAAAATTTCGAATTCATTTCCCTAGATGAATATTTGTTTCTCAGGGAAACCCAAAATACAAAGACATCGCCGATTTTTATGATTATTACCTCCAAGTGATCAACAATAAGACACAAGGGCTCGAAAATAAATATGGACTGTTGGTGAGTTATTGGGATTAGCTTGATGCTGTAAGCTTGATTGTTCTAGGATTCCCCCACATGAGTACGATCAAGCCGAGCTGGCCAAAGATGCCCTGGCCACGTTCAGCAGGTAGAGAAAACAACATGTTTTTCAGTAAACGTTTTAGATTCAAGCACGTTTCTTCTGTAATCTATAAGCTTTGCAATTAAATTCAAAGCTAGACTACGTAACACTCTGTAATCATGGGGCTTACAGTATTTATTTTGTTGTATTCTGTTGTGCAGTTGAAACTAGGGCAGATCAAAAAGTTGTGCACCGCCGGGAATCGAACCCCCGATCCTTCGCTTACCAGGCAAGTGTGCTAACCATTACACCACAATGCGCTCGATCGGCTTACTCCAGAGGGAGTTAAGTTCGCTTCTCTCTGGACGAGACGGCTTCACAGGTCTTGCTTTATAGGCCTAAGATGAAGAGGCTAGGGATGAAGACCAGCATTGCAGAGCGCATCCTTCTGTGGTTGGACGATCTCTGGACGAGATGGTTCCACAGGTCTTGATTTAAAGCGCTGGGGTGCGCTCGAAACTAGGATGAAGACCAGCATTGCAGAACCCATCCTTCTGTGGTCGCCAGTTGAAATCAGGGCAGATCAAAAACTTGTGCACCGCCGGGACTCGAACTCGCGACCTTTCGCTTGGCAAATGTACTAACCATTACAGCACAATGGGAATTAACTGTGCTCTGATGCAAAAATGTTATAGGTTCTCTGAGAGTTAGAGAGCTACAGCTACAGCGAAAAATGTTATAGGTTCTCTGAGAGTTAGAGAGCTACAACTACAGAGAAAAATGTTATAGGTTCTCTGAGAGTTAGAGAGCTACAACTACAGCGAAAAATGTTATAGGTTCTCTGAGAGTTAGAGAGCTACAGCTACAGCGAAAAATGTTATAGGTTCTCTGAGAGTTAGAGAGCTACAGCTGCCATAAAACTAATCAAAAACGTTAGCCAAATGATAGCCCAAATGATAAACTTTCAACTAGAAGTCAACTAGGATTTCAAAATTGAAACTTTTAAATGAATTTTCGAAGATCCCTGGGCACGAGCGCTCTCTCAGATGCAATGTATTCGTTTGAAGAGCTGATCACCGAATGCACTTATTCGAGCAAGCCTTGTTATGAGTGAGTAAATTGAATTGGGTTCAATTGCTGAAAGTGAAAGTTTAAGTGCAATTAACTTCAAACATGTGATTGGGTTTAGATCGGATTTCGAGCAATTCTTCGATCCACTCTATGGCCGCTGTTTCTCGTTCAATACCGCGTCTGCTTCTCAAAATTATTCAGCAATTCGATCGGGAATGAAATTTGGCTTGAAGTTGCTGCTGACAATCAATGTATGGCTTTGAGATTTATTTCACATTTCATTAAATTCATTTCACAAACGCAGAGATCGTTCTTTTCTTGTCAATTGATTAAGTTAAAGTAATCCTGGGTTACTGGAAGTTACTGTAGTGGTTCTCAGAATCGTTTTTAGCTACAGTAGCTACAGTAGGTCATTTAGTTACAGTATTGAGCTTTGGGCCATTTAGTTAAAGCCATTCAGTTACAGTAATTCAGTTAAAGCCATTCAGTTACAGTAATTCAGTTAAAGCCATTCAGTTACAGTAATTCAGTTCAATTTAGCAAGAAACCCCGGGCGGAGTCACCGTTTTGTCCGACTTTTTACCAAGCTCAGGTGGGGTTTTCTAGTGTCCAACATCAATATCAGAACAGTAATCCATGATGGACATAGGCTTACTGTAAATAGGCTTACTGTAAATACGTATAGAAGCGGCTGGAGCTCGAATTTTGCTGACCGAACGAAATCAAATCGTCGACTTGGACAACTATGGGAGCTATATCGGCGTCGGTTTTCAGACATCCATTGGACTGCTTTATGTGAGTTTACAAGCCAAGAATTTCGCTTTTCAACTCTTCTTTGCTTCCCAATCTTGGAAAACCCAATTTTGGAACCATGAAGCCTCCGACTGTACATTGAAATCCTAACAAAAGTACCGTCTTTTCTCTAGGTCTGATGCTCTCGCTTTGCGGCTATTTTTCTTCTACTAAACAACAGTTTTTCGAAAAGTTTTTTATATGATCGTGTAGCCGAATTGAAGAGCTAAATTTTGATACCAAAATCGCAAAAATCGAAGGCACTGGTAAATAACAATTCCATTTGCCGCAATCTGCCGCAATCCCACTTCATAGTCCTTCATAGTCTTTGATTAATCTTGAAGTCAATTTCAGGAATCAATCACCCGTGCCAAGCGTCCTTATGGTCGTTGTGTTGATCACCATGCTTATTCCGAGCAATACTATAAAGATGTGAAGCACAGCATGGACACCTGTATTTCCGGGTGCATTCAGGAGTGAGTTTATGATCGTCTATTATCTATTATCTATTATCTATTATCTAACTATCTTGGCACCATTCTTCATTCATCAATACACTGAGAAGTGAAGTGCGGATGGTGAAATACAGGCTTTAACTAGTAGATCATTCTACTAGAGTTCTACTAGGCTTATACACTGATCCAACTATTTATAGAGCAACTGTTTCAAGAAAAGTTTCTAAGAAACAGTAAACATGTAAACAGCTAAACAAGTAAACAAGTAAACAAGTAAACAAGTAAACAGTAAACTTTAGTAAACAAGTTAAATGACAATTTAATAATCAATAGCCTCACCATTAAGTTTTATAATCTGGAAAACTCGATTACCCATGCTTGGATGAGTCTTCGAATCCATTCGATTATCAATCTTAATCCATTCAATTGTCAATTCCAATCCATTCGATTGCCAATCCCAATCCATTCGATTGCCAATCCCAATCCATTCAATTGCCAATCCCAATCCATTCGATTGTCAATTCCAATCCATTCGATTGTCAATCTTAATCCATTCAATTGTCAATCCCAATCCATTCGATTGCCAATCCCAATCCATTCGATTGCCAATCCCAATCCATTTGATTGTCAATTCCAATCCATTCGATTGTCAATCTCAATCCATTCGATTGCCAATCCCAATCCATTCGATTGTCAATTCCAATCCATTCGATTGAAATTGACAATTCCGATTCGGCGACATGTGATTGATTAGAAGTCTAACCAGGGATTTTACTAGGAATTGTACTAGGAATTTTACCTGAAGATCAATTCTTGATACAGTCTCCTCATAGTCCCCAAATTCGACCTTCGAATTTTTACTTTGTGCCTCTTTGTGACTAGGCTTTTCCTTTTTCTAGAATCTTTCCTGATCAATTCGTCTTTTACCTTTGATACTTGTGGAGTTCGTCCTGTTGATTTTCCAGTACCATATCTAGCTGGATCAGTAAGGTAACTGTCGACTTTGTTCCAGAAATCGAGCAATTCCCGTTTACTCTTTCCAGCGTGTTTATATGCTTTGATCTGTCCTTTCTCGAAGTCCGAGAGCGTTTTTCTTCTTTCCATTACTTAAAAATAACAATAAAGTAAAGTCAATTAAATTATAAATAAATGAAAAACGAAATAGCAACTAAACAAAAATTAGTGTGATCTATAATTAGTTGGAGCGGTGAAAGCCATTTTTTGACTTTTACAGATAAAGCGCCACAACGGTTAGCAAATTCTAAATGAAAATGTACAGAAAAGTTTAGTACAAAGATTTTCTACTAGCCAAAGCTGAGTTTCCTTGATTTCTCTCAAAAGTCGCGAGTTTGATTTCTCTCAAAAAGTCGCTACTGCGTTTTAAAGAACGTAAATGGCTCTATAATGACTCTAGAATTGGAGCAATGTATTTCAGTGACTTCTGAAAGAGAGTGAAGTTACACTTGTATTCAATTTGCAGGAAAACGGTGAAAGCATGCGGCTGTGCGACTCCACGATTGCCGAAACTCGACTCGCAAAGCTGGTGCACGATCGATAAATGTTAGTAAAACTTGAGCAGTAAGCAGAAGGGCAGAAGGATTGAGCGGAAGGATTGAGCAGAAGGTTTGAGCAGAAGGTTTGAGCAGAAGGTTTGAGCAGAAGGCTTAAGCAAAAGGCTTGAGCAGAAGGCTTAAGCAGAAGGCTTGAGCAGAAGGTTTGAGCAGAAGGCTTGAGCAGAAGGCTTGAGCAGAAGGCCAGAAGATTGTGGCCTAACTCCTGGTCTTGTCTGGCTTCATCCTTGAACATTCTTGATTTCATTCACATCCCTTACTCATTCTAAGCTTACTAAAGTGATAACAAACCAATTTTCAGTGTCTTGCTTGGCTTCATTGAAAGGAAGCCAAGAAACGAAAACGTTGCCAAACATGGATCCGTTGAAGGAGTGTGGCTGTGATCCCGGATGCGAAGAGATTCACTACGATGCAACAGCATCACTCAGCAGGTCAAGATAAAGTTTTGAACATGAAAGCAGCTCTTACACTTTTGCAATTAGTAAGGCTTTTACTTTAAGCGTTTGTACACCAGTTTGCAAGCTCGGCAAGCTCAAGATCAAGGGTTTTTCCTCATAATCAATGCTAGACTAAAAGTTTCTAAACGTTAGTTCATAAATTCTCTTTACAAAATAGTCACATTGTATCGATAGACTGTCTTTAGAGGCTAAAATTTAGATATCCAATGCTTGTGTACTATCCGGCTACCCCAGAAACCCCTAGCAAAGCTCCACCCACAACCACTCCAGCAACGACAACCACGAAATCGAATAACGGTCATGGGAATGGACACGGCAATGGGAATGGGAATGGGAATGGGAATCAATGGTAAAATCAACAAAATAGCAATATAAGAAAGCGTTCAGGTCTGAATGGTGGTCAAATTTGCAATCGACGACTGGAACAACTGATGGAGTTTCGAGCAGTACAACGAGGACGAGTACTACAACTGATCCAGTGAATGGCGGGAATGGAAACGGTGGAGATGACGGAATACCCGATACAACGCCTGCTGGTTTCATCGTCACGGTAGATCTATGATTTCTTTGACAATGAACTCAGGGAATGATAACGATCTGCTATCTGTGGCTGGAAAGTTCTGTTACTTTCGCTCTGCTGGCTTTGCTGGCTACCTAAATAACAAAACTTATAACTTAAAGCAAAATAGAAAAAGAGAAAACAACAAAAAGAATCATAATAAATCCTCAAAATGGTCACAAGCCACTTCGATTCATTGCTTGAGACTTTTCTAGAAGTTGGCGCAACTTCGACCACGAGATGGTCGCACTCAGCGACAGAGATTTGATCCCATGCTCGTTTCAAAACCGCTTCCAAATGATTTGAGATTCCTGAAAATTTGAGATCCCAAATGATTTGAGATTCCTGAAAATTTGAGATCCCAAATGATTTGAGATGGCTTGATTGAGATCCCTGAAATCTTTCCAAGATGTTTTCCAAGATGTACATCCGTTTACCAACTAACAGATCGGATTCGAACATCCGTTTACGAATTAAACTTAAATGCTAATTTGATGTTAATGAAAGTGTTACGTCCGAATCATTAAATCATTAAATCATTAAATTAAGCGCCTATATTTTCCTAGGCTATGACTCCGCACCAGACCTAATCCTCCAAGGCTATCGCCTGATTCTCCCAACTCCGGTCTTCTATTCTCTTAGATCGTATTCGGATTCGGACGTCATGTTCAACATGATTCGGACGTCGGATTCAGACGTCGGATTCGAACGTCATGTTCAACATGATGACTATTCAGATTTGGACGTAAATTCCCATTAACATAAATTAGAAAAATCAATCTAAAATGTCTGAAGTTCCATTTTAATTCGTAGACGGACGTTCGAAACCAATCTAAAGATAAGTTTAATTTGTAAACGGACGTCCAAATCCGATCCGATCTGAACGTTAGTTCGTGAACGGATGCAACATATAGAAAAGGAAAGTGTATGTTTGTCCGTCTGTCCGCGCGAGTTCGCAGCTCCTCCTGAGTCGATTTATATGATTTTCAGTTTGTTAAGCTTAGAATTCGGTAGTTGTGCATCGCATAGCTCGTTTTTTAAAAAGCAAAAGTCATTTTTTAAAAAGTCTCAAAAGACAATATAGTTGTGCCATTTAAAATTTTTAAAAAAACTCAAGATTGAGTGGCACTACGGGATCGAACCTGGATTGTGTAGGCCGTAGACAAGCTCGCTCTTGAAAGCACGAAAGGGACTACGGGGATCGAACCTGGATTGAGTGGGCCATAGACAAGCTTGCTCTTGAAAGCACGAAAGGGACTACGGGGATCGAACCCGGCTCGTGTAGGTCGTAGAAAACCTAGCTTCCGAAAGCACCATATGCGACAGCACCACGACTATGCGTTGCCCTCAAAACCTCAACTTCAGCGATAAAAGCCCGTCGTTAGGCTGCTAATCAGATAAAGCTCAATGAGTCAGAAATCTTTGGCTTTCGATTGTCACTCTCTACTTGATAAAACTTTCAAAATTTCTAGATTTAAAATGATCTAAAGGGATTTAAAATGCAAATCTGCTAGTGGCTACGGAACTTACAGTATTACAGCTACATTACAATAAGAAAGTTACAGTACACTCATGGTTTTTTGGCACTTTCCCTATAAAAATAGCCACTCAGGTATTTAGAGTATGCAATATTATTGATAGCTTTTATTAAACACTAATTATATTGAAAAGCGAACCGAATTTGACTTTAAAACTTCAGACTTTTGGATGCGATGGACACACTGATCCATTCGACGCCAGCACACAGACGAATTTCACGGCTATTGGAATCATGCAAGAGGCTTGCCGGTAAAATATAAATAAAATAACAAACTTAAAGCCTTTATTAGACTCTTTTACATTAAAGTGATGTCAATTTGGATCTAAGTTATCCAAATTCTCTAAATTTAAGACTCTGCTATCAAGAGAACGCGTCACATCCGCGCGAAAATGTGTTTTCTATAGGATTTTTACGTTTGAATAGCCGATTGAAGCAGAAAAATGTGCTGAATCCGAAAATAAAAGAATTTTTGAAATCCCTTCAACAAATTTTTTAAAAATCGAGTTTGGGTGATTTTACTGTGTTAAATTTCGGCCATATTTTATTGTTGGAGCAAAATTTTGGAAACAAAAGCCTAAAACAAAAATGTAAACCGGAATTTTTATTCTACGGGTTTTTCTCTATCTTTTGATACCAAAAGCATAAAAACTGATAAACTCTATAAAAAGTTATAACCTTTTGAAAATAAAAATGGGGTTTCTCGGTTTTGGGAGACTATAGCGCGGATAAATTACTGTAAACCGAAAGAGAAAAAGAGCAAAATGAAACTTTTGCCGGTAGAAAATAAAATAGCAAACTTAAAGCTTTTATTAGACTCTTTTACATTAAAGTGCTGTCACTTTGGATCTAAATTCTCTAAATTTAAGACTCTGGTATCAAGAGAACGCGCTGATTCTGCAGATCTACTTCTCCGATTTGAAGTACAACGTCTACACGGAGCATTCGGCGTATTCGGTTTGATTGGAGAAACGCACCATCTCTGGTGCACTTAATTCTTGAAAACCTGGGTGTAGAATCAGAGAAATTTGATAGAATTCGAGTTCGTGATGCCAGAAGGTTCTTTCTTGCATAAATGTTTACCAAAAAAAATCTAATCAATCGGGTTTTTGATAAATGCTGATGATAGGCTTTAATATAACTTACTGACAAATACAATTAACTTACAAATAACTTACAACTTCTTACAGTAAACTTACAACTTCCTACAACTTCTTATAGTTAACTTACAACTAACTTACAACTTCTTATAACTAACTTACAACTTCCTACAACTTCTTACAGTAAACTTCCAACTTCTTACAACTTCTTACAGTTAACTTACAACTCCCTACAACTCCTTACAACTAAGACTTCAGATCTCTGCAGCGATCAACGATCTCGGTGGACAGGCCGGGCTTTGGCTTGGATTATCAGTGATCTCATGCGTTGAAGTGAGAAAAAACTGTCTAACAATAAGACTAAAACTTTAAGAATCCAAATTTCCGAGTTCAACTCATTTCCACAATCATTTCCAGGTGATCTCCCTTTTCGTCATCATGGGAATGTTCTGCTCGTATGAGACGCGAAAGAAATTCTGCCCAAAGGTGAGCGATGAAATTGGTTCTATTCCTCTAAATCTTGCAATCAAATTGTCTCCAACTTTAGCACTACCGTAAATAGATCGAAGCTTCCATAGCAGAAGCTGAAGTTCCATAGCAGTTAGTTTCATAGCAAAACTCCTTATCCACTAGACAATCTGGTTTCTGTTTCAAAAAAGGAGAGAAGCCTCTTTTAACTTTTAGGCTTCTCTTTTAACTCCTAGGCTTTTCAAATAGATGCCTAAATTGCTTAAATCTTGCCTGCTTAAATCTTAAAAGCATTGCCCGTTCGCAAAAACTAAAAGCGCTATCGTATTCGCCGTACTCGACTTGTGTTTGCACCAGATTTTCGTCTCAAAATCTCACCGTCACTTTTGAGCATTCCTGAGCATTCTGACTGAGCATTCTGACTACGCGACGCTCCTATAGGAGCCGTTCTATTTTATCTATTAGCCGTTCTATTCGTTCTTTATTAGAGTTCTATTAGATTCATTCTATTTTGCGGTAACTTGTCTTCTAATATTTTGAATATTACAAGCATTACTCTAGAAACGTCGAGATTCACTCTCCGACGAGGAATTCGATGTACCGATGGATAAACCGGCGCCAATTCATTCAAGTAACACTCTTAAACCCCCGATGGAGTTAAGGCCAGAAAGATTGTGAAATTGGATTGAATTCGGATTGAATAAAAGTGAATAAAAGATTTTTCAGTATACTTTCTTATCTAAATTTGCATACAGCTTTAGTTGGAAGAGATTTTCTGAAATTTAGTAGAGCTAAAAGTCTATAATTCTTGATTCTCGTTAGAAAATAACATCGTGAAAGATTTATTAAATGAATAAAAGAATCAATAATTTAGAAAATTGGTTTACAATGTTTACAATGTTTAAAATGTTTAAAATGTCTACAATGTTTACAAAATTTTCTCGAAATAATTCGCCATCGATCGTTCAATAATCTGACTTATAGTCGGCCTGGAATGGGAAATGTTAGAATGTTTGTCAAGTATTTTCTATTGCTCATCCAAATCTACCATATCTTCTTAAATACTACTAGAAAAGCCGAATAATTCATCAAAATATCCAGCTATTGCAACGAAAGACTTGGATTTACGCGTTTCTTGTCCTAGACTCAACATCTACCATACCTTTTTACCTTTTAGAATACCTTTTTGTTTACTAAAAAGTATCTACCGTATTTCCTCTAATAAACGCCCCCCTGACCAACTTTGGACGCTTCGTTCTCAGCCCCATTTGGAGATATTTTTATGTTTAATATATCAAAAGATAGAAGACATTAAGGGCTATCTTTTGATATATTAAACATAAAGATATCTCAAAATGGGGCTGAGAACGAAGCGTCCAAAGTTGGTCAGGGGGGGCGTTTATTAGAGGAAATACGGTACTACAATTTTTCCAATTTTTCCTCACCTTCTCCTTCTCTTCTCCTCATCTTGGCCTTGTCAACGGTGGCGAATTTCTTCCATTTTGTCTTGTCCTTCAAGATATCCCACTCGTCTTCAGCGGCCTGCAATTGGGATTGGTTTTTACTCACCGTATACCCGCTTAAGCCATGCTCCTTTTTGAAAATAAAGATCAAAATAGGTTTCCCCATAGGCTAAGCTCTGCCCCTTGTTTGCCGATGGAACCGTTAAATCGCGCTCCTAGAATTTAGAGCGTCCCGTTTGTGCACAGACAGACAGACGGACGTCTCTTCTGCTTAGATACTACCGTAGTCGACTTTAGACCAACTTCTCATACAGCTTAATACAGTTTAGTGCTTGTTTCAAGGCTAGGTACAGTAGTCTTTTCGACTGAGTCGAATGCTGATTGCAGTATCGCCTCCGATTAGAGCAAACTGTACTGGTCAAGCTTCATTTTTACACAATTTCGGGTAATTTTAGCCATTTTTGACGGTTTTTTGGTCATTTTTGTCCTTTTTGAACTTTTTTTTGAGGATCTGTATGCTCCCAACGAGCCAAAATCTTTTCGAAAACTTTTTTAGACTAAAAAAATACATGGAAAAGCCGAATTTGCAGTCAGATTTGCTCAAAAATGTTTTAAAGTTGAAAAATTTGATCTTGCGCCGACCTCAGGAGAATCAAAAATTTCATGCTAAGAACTCGAACTTTTGGATTGGTGAAGTGAAAACTGCGGGCTATTGTCATATCTGACTTTTTCACAGTTTGAGCACTTTCTTCAAAAGAAACCCATTTTGGTGTGAATGGAAAAGTTGTAGAGAATCAAAAATTAAGCTTATATCCAAATTTCCAAAACGATTCAAAAACTGCTTTTCAAGGAATGCCAAATTTACGAATTTTCACAAAACCTGCAACAAAACTTGCATTTTAAGCGAAACTACTAAGTGTATCTTTTTGGAAATTTGGTTATAAGCCTGATTTTTGATTCTCTACAACTTTTCTATTGACACCAAAATGGGTTTCTTTTGAAGAAAGTGCTCAAACTGGGACATTCCTCCATTTTTGAGTCTCACACTTGTCTCACACATAAACCAAAATCCTACTCCGAAAGAGGAATCCGCAAATTGCCTGTAAAATGGGCAGAAGTCGTCAATAATAATGGAAATTATTTGGAATGAATTCATGGTTTTATGTTGAATAAATTTTAGTTCAAAGTCCCGCAGTTTTCAATTCACCAACAAAATAGATAGCAGCTTTTAGGCTCATAATTTTAGAAATTGATCAAGGTATAGACTGATCAAGGTTTGCTTTTGAGTGTAATTCGATAAATGACAAAGAGAAAAGAAAATACGATCGTCTAAATCATTTTGAGCTTTGCTGTATGTGCCCACCTTGGCCTGGCTTTCATCCGAATCCAGCGACGGATCATTTTCCTCACTTTCGGTTGTCTCTTCTTCTGACTCGTTCTCGTCAGAATCGGAATCGGAATCAGAATCGTCAAAATAGCTTTCCTGAGAATGCACTTTGTACTGGATCGTAGCCAAATGTTAGATTGAGTACTATGTGTTGAAATGCTCTCAAAGAGTAAAAATGGTAAATCTACTACAAAATAGTAAAAAACGCGCATACATAACTGGACAACCCAATATATAAAATAAGTTAAAGTTTCTCAAATCAAAATCAGATCAAAATCTTTTCCAACCTCATCCCATGAAAGGAAATCACTCTCATCGCTTTCATCTTCTTCGTCAGAGAATGGATCGAGAAAACTCCAGCCACCGGTTTCAAAAAACTCCTGGAAATTTGAAATTATAACTTTAATATGATAACTTTAATATGATAAATTTCCCTAATTGTAAAATTTACCACAGGATCATCAACGATCGTCTTCATAATCTTTGGCCAATTGAGTGATTGTATGCCTTCAGTGTACTTTAGATCGCATGAGTTCAGCCACTCCTTTACAATGTCCAGCGAGGCCTTCGGGATTTGTTGAATCATTTGAGTTTTTCGGTGATAATCCTAGATTGAACAGTTGATGCTAACACTTTTCTTTGTAAATAAAGAAACCTTGAAAATAAAGACTAAATCGAAGTTCTTCAGCTGGATGGAAACACGCTCAAAGTGAACTCGTTCAACGTCATCCTGGAATTGTTTTGAGTTATGAACAGGTATAGAACAGGTACAGGAATCAGATCCAAACCTTAGCCAGGGTTAGGACTGAAAGCCTAGGCCAGGCTAGACCAGAATCAGCACAAGTCCAAGCCAAAGCAAAGAACTGGCCAAGCAGAGTAGAACAAAGCGAGCAATACAGCCAGAACCAGTAAGGGATAAGGTCTTTCCTGTAGTTTCCCTTACTGGCTTTATCGTTGTAGAGCCTTGTTCCTTACGTGGATACGTGTCGTTGGTAGCTCATTGGTAGAGGGGTCCCACGGTAAGTGAGAAATCGTTGAGAAATCCGCGGGTTCAAATCCCAGCCTCAACCAATCAGAGTCTCTTCTAACTCTAGCTTGATCTTGGTTGATTATTGACTCTAGCCCTGACCCGATATGGTCTATGTGCCTTGTCTTGGTAATGATCTAGCTCAAGCTCAGGCTTAGGCCAATCTAGATCCTAGCCAATTTAGACCAGGACAGGTCAGAACCAGGCTAGGGCTAGACTAGAGCTGAGCAAGCCTAGACCAGAGCTGCCCAAGCGGTCAAGACTAGCCAAGCCAAGATACACAAGGTCTAGGCCATGTCAGTTCAAGGCTAGGGTCAAGTAAAATCAACCAAGACCAGGCTAGAGGTCAAGACTACTAATCCACTCACCAGTCTGACGACGAAGACGGGTGACTCGGTGAGATTCACCAGACATGACGAGGTCGGCTTCAGCTGGACACTGTTGTGCCTTGGATTTCCCCAGAAGGACAGCTCGTTGACTGGGATTTCGAACTTGAATTGCTCGTTCGTTTGCCGAACCACTTCGTCGCAAAAGGCTTGAAAAGTTTGATTGAGCATTTCGCGTTTCATCTAAAGATTGTTAGGATCATTTGTTTGTACTTTTTTTCTAAAATCCATCATAATCGAGTCAATTATCAAGTACGATAGTTCTAACTAAGAGTATTTCTTAGAAAATGTCGTAACCAAGCCAACAAGATCACGGCAGGTTTAACCAAGAGCACAATATAAGAACATAGCCATTATAAAAAGCTCAATCTTTTCCCACTCACTTGTTCGGAAGCCACTGCATCACGATCTTGTCTAAAATTTGTCGTAAAGTATCGTAGTGTACTTTATACTCACATGTGAGGATATTTCCCTAAATTGGTGGTGATTTCTTCAACTTCTGTGAAGAATTGAATGTCTCCGTATATCTTTTTCCCCCAAAGAACTGGGTTTTTAAGATGAAAGTGAAGGAGGATGATCATCTCGTTGTCACAGGGCTAAAGTTTTAAAAATTAATCGGTAAACTCAACAAATGAATATCTCTAATCGACTCACCAACCCCAAAAAACAACTTTTATTTCGAAGAATTGAGAATTTGCGAAAACGAAACGCTTCAGGCGGGATCGAACCCGGCACCGCCTGCTCGAGACAGAAGCTCTGGCACTGCGCCATTTGAAGGAACTGGGTGCAGACCTTTCTGGCCCTTTCTGGTCCTTTCTGGCCCTTTATGGCCCCCTTTCTGGCCTCAATGAAATGAATGTCTCCCCAAAACCTTTCTGGCCCTTTCTGGCCCTTTCTGGCCCTTTCTGGCCCTTTCTGGCCCTTTCTGGTCCTTTCTGGCCCTTTCTGGCCCCCTTTCTGGCCCTTTCTGGTCCTTTCTGGCCCTTCCTGGCCCCCTTTCTGGCCCTTCCTGGCCCTTTCTGGTCCTTTCTGGCCCTTTCTAGCCCTTCCTGGCCCTTTCTGGCCCTTTCTGGCCCTTTCTGGCCCTTTCTGGCCCTTTCTGGCCCTTTCTGGCCCTTTCTGGCCCTTTCTGGCCCTTTCTGGCCCTTCCTGGCCCCCTTTCTGGCCCTTCCTGGCCCTTTCTGGTCCTTTCTGGCCCTTTCTAGCCCTTTCTGGCCCTTTCTGGCCCTTTCTGGCCCTTTCTGGCCCTTTCTGGCCCTTTCTGGCCCTTTCTGGCCCTTCCTGGCCCCCTTTCTGGCCCTTCCTGGCCCTTTCTGGTCCTTTCTGGCCCTTTCTAGCCCTTCCTGGCCCTTTCTGGCCCTTTCTGGCCCTTTCTGGCCTCAATGAAATGAATGTCTCGAATCGATTTGTCGACCCCGAAAACCCCTGGGTACAAGTTTACAGCTGAATTGAATTGAGTGGCACTACGGGGATCGAACCCGGCTCATGTGGGCTGTAAACCAGCGCACTCCTGACTGCGCCACGTCGATTTCAAACCACAAACTCGGCTGCTATCAGATATTTGACAATAGATTTCTAGAATCATTTTCCCTTACCTGGAAGAATGCATGTCTTATGTTGTTATAAAGCACATCGATCTCGTCACCACGCAGCGCTGTGTATCGAAAACCGTTCGTGTGTGCCTCGAGTGTTCCGGAGTCTCGTTTCGCGATGATATTCGGCCGCACACACAAATCTTTCAACTTTGGATTCACTTGATTTGCTGCGATGATGAGTTTATCTTGTTTCACGGCACCCTCTTTTTCTCGTTCTTCAGCCTTAAATGCAAATTTGTGTTGCCATAGCTTTTAAGCCATAGACTGTTCAATTTATGTTTATGTCAACGAAATCAAATACCTCCTTGGTTTTGAATTTCTTCCGCATCTCGTTGATCAAAAGGAAAGCATTGTACAAATTGTCTGACGGAGCCGAGGTCTGTACATGATCTTTCAATGTGGTTGCTCCGAATGTCAACTTTTTGATGTAAGTGGCGAGTGGATTGGGAAATTGAAAGATGGGGGAATTGAACTGAAATGAGGGATATAGAAACTTTTAGATGAAGTCATTGATATGGGAGCTTTTAGATGAAGTCTTTGATATGGGAGCTTTTAGATGAAGTCTTTGATATGGGAGCTTTTAGATGAAGTCTTTGATATGGGAGCTTTTAGATGAAGTCTTTGATATGGGAGCTTTTAGATGAAGTCTTTGATATGGGAGCTTTTAGATGGAGTCATTGATATGAGAACTTTTAGATGAAGTCTTTGATATGGGAACTTTTAGATGAGAAAAGCCTTTGGACGCCTAATACTTTGCAATGACAACAAATTTGTATTATTAGGTTGATGCAAAAGTCTTTTTCATTTTTTTCGTACTTCTGTTAAAAAGTAACAAATTCACCAATTAATCTATAGTTTGCTCTATAAAAAAAGTGTTTTTTTGTTCAATTTCCATCTTTTTAAATGAATTTCGGTTCACTTTCAAGCAAATTCGAGAGTGAAAAACGTCTTTTTCGTAAAAATCTATAAAAAACTCTACGGAAAAATTGGCTGAATGAATTTCTCTGAAATTTTGGCGAAATATCAAACGTTTTTTTTCTCTATCTTTTATCTATTGACACGAAGATAGGTTTTCTTTAGCTAAGGTGTCTAAACCGCATCATCGAGTTAGCCCTTTTTGACTACCCGACTTCATACTCTCAAGAAAATCCAGGCATTAAATATTTTTAAACCCGTTTTAATGTTATTTTGCAGAAAAATAATTGGTTTTTCTAATGAAATCAACCGTAGTTTAATTGGTGCATTTGTTGGCTTGAAACGGCAGACGAAAAAAATGAAAAAGACTTTTGCATCAACCTAATACGTTACCTGTTTAAATCAGTATCATCTAAAACCATCTAAGTATTCAATGGAGCTCGACAGCTTCACTGGATTTGGTAGAGAATCCAACTTGACACAAGTACCGTACAACTCTAGCTTTACACTGTACTAGTGTAATGGGTAAAGCCTCTATAGCTTAATATTTTTGCACTCAAACTTTTCCCACCTTTCCAACATTTCCACCAGGATGTGCAAAGTTGATTCGAAGGTACATCGTGTCGTTCTCAATCCACGTGGAGCAATTCTAAAAAAGAGTATAGCTCATTATTGATTAGTTAATACCTAAAAGCTAATAATCTTACCTACAAGACAATACTATTAAGCAAACCTTGATCATCGAGATATGAAATGGTACAGGCACTCCGTACAATGGGAGAATCACCGAATCGTGGTGGTGATCTGAATTTGAAGGCTAAACTCTGCTTCTTGTTCGGTTACGATAGCTAATAAGCTAATACTAACAATAAATCATCTTTTAGAAAGCACAGTAACACCTTACCGATGTGAATCATCAACGTGTCAATTTCCTCATCTTGCGGGAATTTCTCATAGTTCTTGTAAGAAACATTTTTCGCTCTAAATGAAGTTGAATTGTAATAATTCAGATCTCAGGCTCACAAGGGAACCTTCCCCAAGTTACCCGCGAGTTACAATATGATATATTGGATTGGTGAATTGAAAACTGCGGGCTATTGTCGTATGTGACAGTTTGAGCACTTTCTTCAAAAGAAACCCATTTTGGTGTCAATGGAAAAGTTGTAGAGAATCAAAAATTAAGCTTATATCCAAATTTCCAAAAAGAGACACTTAGTAGTTTCACTTCAATTTTGTGTGTTCTGTGTGTTCTTTGCGCGTAATCGCTCGTCGTCTGGCGCAGGCCTTTTACATAAGCCCTTTCCTCTCCCTTTGCCAAACTAATCTCGCCGGCTCCGGATCCTCAAATTGGACATTGACTTCTCCTCAAATCAAGGCTAATCTTAATCTATTGGGTTGGTGAATTGAAAACTGCCGGCTATTGTGATATGTGACAGTTTGAGGACTTTCTAGAAAAGAAACCCATTTTGGTCTCAATGGAAAAGTTGTAGAGAATCAAAAATTAGGCTTATATCCAAATTTTCAGAACTATTCAAAAACTGGTTTTCAAGAAATGCCAAATTTACGAATTTTCACAAAGCTTGCAACAAAACTTGCATTTTAAGCAAAACTACTAAGTGTATCTTTTTGGAAATTTGGCTATAAGCCTAATTTTTGATTCTCTACAACTTTTCCATTGACACCAAAATGGGTTTCTTTTGAAGAAAGTGCTCAAATGCTCAAACTGGGACATCTCGACATCTCCAGTCCTCCATTTTTGAGTCTCACACTTGTCTCACACACAAACCAAAATCCTACTACGAAAGAGGAATCCGCAAATTGCCTGTAAAATGGGCAGAAGTCGTCAATAATAATGGAAATTATTTGAAATGAATTCATGGCTTTATGTTGAATAAATTTTAGTTCAAAGTCCCGCAGTTTTCAATTCACCAACCCAATAGGTACCAAAAGAAAGGCCGAAAAATGTACGTTCAGAAACTGTTTTCAAAAATCGTTAATCGGCAAAACGCACAAAGTTATAGCCGTTTGAAAAACCAAGGCTTTTCTCGAATCTCTGGCACACTGATTTTTGCCGGCGAAAAGACATTCTTTGCGCCATTTCAAAAAAACAGCTCGTAGCCTAATGGTTAGTGTGGCTGCGCTCGGAACTCTTTGATCTTAGTTTGGATCCACCAGCAATCAAACTTTTTGCTTTTTTTTGAAAAACAGTTAAAAATCCTTTTTTGTTTATTAGAAATTTGTAAAATTTTATTTAATGATTGACAGTTTAAGCGAGTTTAAGCGCGGTGTAGCACAACTCGTTCAACCATTGGATTTCGACTTCTTTCAACAATTTAAAGGCGTAATATTAGGTTGGCCGGAAAGTTCTTTCCGTTTTTTTGACGCTAGATCTAACTTTTTATTTTACGCATCAAAAACGCCAAATAAAAAAACAGAATTTATCTACTCGAAATATTCACCGTCAACATCAATAAAGAGCTTCCCGGCCAACCTAATATTGTGAGCAATTGGATCGACTTCGATCGAAGATGCGCAACCGTCAAGGACCAGTCATTTTGCTTCATGACAACGCAAGACCTCACACAGCAAGATTGACAACAAGCAAATTGAACGAGTTTGGTTGGGAACATTTGGATCACCCGCCGTACAGCCCCGACATGGCACCATCGGACTATCATCTGTTCAGGTTTTTTGTCCAGAATCGTCCGATTATCATTTTTTTTTTCAGGTCTCTGGAGCATCATTTGCGTGGAAAGATCTTTCAAAACGTCGAGGAAATGCGCTTGTCACTCACTCAGTTTTTCGATTCGAAGCCACGTGAGTTTTACCGCCGCGGAATCTATTTGTTGCCGGATAAGTGGCAGGATGTTATTGATGTTGACGGTGAATATTTCGAGTAGATAAATTCTGTTTTTTTATTTGGCGTTTTTGATGCGTAAAATAAAAAAGTTAGATCTATTGGGTTGGGGAGAATGAGTCGGCGCCGAAAATCAAAGAAATTTCTAAAACTTATAGCAGACTTTGTCAAATGATATGCGTTTGATATCCGTAGAAGGGTAACTAATTCTCTACAAAATAATATTTAAAAGAGAACTCAAACAGCGCCTCAACTCAACAAAGGATCATTTTTTTCACACAATCGATAAACTGTCATCTAGAGTAAACGGTTGGAGGGATCTTCCTGAAAATTTGGTAACTTATGTAATTGAGTGTGCTCTATCTTTTTTATATAAACACCAAAGGAGGTTTATGTGGAAGAAACTGTTCAAGCAATGAGTCGGACTTTTTGTCATTTTGATTAGCTGTGTTTGGGAATCCATAAAATCCCAAAAAAGAAAAGCTTTGTGGAATCTCTCAAAAGCCATTTTGTAAAGAAATAGTGGACCATTTTTTGATGAAACAAAACGCGTATTTAAAGAAGGTTTTATGGGTGCAAAAAGTTTCTTTAAATTTCGGCGCCGACTCATTCTCCCCAACCCAATAGCTTCAAAAAACGGAAAGAACTTTCCGGCCAACCTAATAAAAAGGATTCACGATCACATTCTAGCCAGCGGACCGGATTTCAAGATCAGCAAGCGAGACAATATCATTAAAGTTCTTTCGGTTGTGTATGAGCAGCTTAAAGCTTTCATCTTTCTCAATTCAGCTCTTCATTTTCACACGGTTTTTCAGAGCACGCTTTTGCAAAAGTTTGCATCTAGCTAGCAATTAGATTTAAATTTGCATTTAGCTAGCAATAACGAAGCTGATATCTAATAAAAAAATCCTTATGATTTGCCCTGTAAGCTATAAGCTAGATAAGTTGAATCTGGTGCTAGTCGTGAAGCTTATATGGTTGATCTGATTGCTTTCATATGTTCAAGACTTACTTCTTGACCTCAGGTTGCTCAAACTCTTGCGCTAAACGCTTTTGCGCGTTCTTGTTGAGAATCTCGAGCAATTCCTTTTGTTTTTCTTTGCGACAATCCTCATTCGTTTGCTGATTTCTCGTGTGTTCTGCCAGGACAACGCTTCTTTTCCCGCAATCGAGGTTCTCAGGCATTATTGGTTCTAAATTTTGTTTCTTTATTTTGTTTCATTCTAAATGTTTGATGCCATGGTCAGGCCTGTCACCAGTTCAGTGCTTAGGGCTGTATGTAAGATAGGGAACAACTAATGAGTATAAAAATAGTACTATATTCAATTTCTCTTTACCATCGGCTTCCTCATCATCTTCTTTGATAGGAATTACCATCGATTTCAGTTTTGAGCGAGCTTTCTCGGTGAGATTCACAGGGCCGTTTGAAGAGACGAGAATCGTGTCCCCAATCGAGATAGCTACTTTCTTTGCCTGTTCATCTTTCACACCAGGATTCTTCAGATCGCCGACTGAGATTTGAACGATAAAGACCATTCCTTCACGAACCTGAAATTGGGATAATGCAATACTCAATACCAATACAAATATATTATCCCTACTTCAAAGCTTTACCTTTTCATCACACTTTGGCGAGATTGTATAGCGCGATTCGCGAAACTCGACTCCAGTCGAGAAACCGAATTCCTTGGAGAAGAGTTTATCCAACAAAGAAGCGTCTTGCCTCTTGCATGCCTCGATACCAATCTGAAAAATGATACTTAATAAGATATGCATTTTTAAACTACCTGGTACACTTCCGAAAGCTTTCTCCCAGGTTTCAACGCCTCAATGACAGCCGTTTGAATGAGTCGAACATTCTCGTAGACTCCTTCCAACTCTCTGCTTGGATCCACGAGCATCGTGCGGGACAAATTCGAGCAGTAAGACTGAAAGTACCTTGTTATAGCTTTCTTTAACTTGTGGCCTTGTTTCCTTCTTTCTTTCTTCCTTCTTTCTTTCTTCCTTCTTTCTTCTTCCCCTTATCTTTCCTTCTTCTCTCTTGTCTTTCCCCATTTTCTCTTAGCAAGTTAAGGTATCGGATAGCTTAGTGGTTAGAGCAATTGCTCAGAAAGCAAAGCAAAGCCCAGGTCGGTTCAATCCACTCTCCGGAAATCTATCTGTCTTGCCAATTCACTTCACCTCAAGGATGTTTAATTAGACCTTAGGGAAGCCAGACTGGGTTAGAGGTCAGCCTGGCTTAAAGTTAGGTAAATCAACTAGGTTTAGACCTGGACAGAGGCAAGCTCAAGATCAGGCCTTAGATCTGAGCTAGGCCCAAACCTGACGGCTGATAGTTAGGTAATTTAGGCTCTAAATCTAGCTCCAGCTCCAGATCTCCAGCTCCAACTAGCTCCAGATCCTTTGAGCTAGATCTGAGCCTAACCCTGAGCTTGGCTCGGTTCTTGCTTAGGCTCAGATTCAGGCTTAAGCTCAGACTCGGGCTCAGGGTTCATTTGAATACAAATAAGGTAACTTGTTTACAAAGCTCAACTTTCCCCACCTCAAGTCGACACCCGAACGTCGTCATGATCACTCCGAAATGCATATTCTTTGGCGTACTCTTGGCGCTCCATTTGAACGAGTACTGGCCACCACTTTGCACAATTGGCCTGTACGATTGATCAATGTTTCGTTTTGCCAAAACCCCTTGCACTTGTTGATTTGTTGTCAGCGATTCCACCTCGTCCGATGCTTTCTTGTGGCTGACTTTCTGAAAGAAAAGCTTAGCGTTTCAATGAATCGTTTAGCAAGTCTAATTCTATGGCTATCACATACCCTATCACCATCGATGTAGTCAGCATACTTTCGGCGCATTTGGTTCCACACATTGCACGAGGCTAGAGAAGCCTCTTTACAGTACTCAACTTCTTCCCTCGTCTTTTACGGCAAAGAGACGCGCAAAGAAATTCGACACGTCAACCTGGAACTTGACTTGTCAAGTGCTTGCTCTAAAGCGTGATTTGGCTACCGTAACCAAGCTATAAGTTGGTTGGCTATTTTACACTATAGATCTATTTTTAAGACTGTTCCAATGACTTTTCCTTACCATTTCAAAGCCTTGCATTGCTTTCGACCAATCAGCGCAGAACTTGTTCTTGTACTTATCCTTGATAAAGCATCCAACTCGATTCCCAGCTTCTTTAATGTGCCCGACAAGCTTCTCGAAGTTTGCTTTGTCCTTGTCACTCTAGAAAAGATTCAGTTTTCTCTAATCATTAAGGAATACTGTAGTTAGATCATGAAAAAGAATTCTACTTGACTATTGGTATGATTTTATCAAGAAATAGCTTTGTAACCTTATTCCGATGAATCGGCGTGACTTCAGGAACCGGATCGTGAGATGAATCAGCAGCTACAGGATTGAAATAATCAGCCTTCTTGTTCGAAGCGAGCACCCAGATGCCTTTCTTTGTAAGCACCATCAAAGTGTCCGGCATGTCCATACCATAGAGCCAAACCTGGTCAAGGTTTTAAATTGATAATATTTTAAGACTAACTTGAAAGTATTGACTCTTGCAGTAACTGTCGTCATCCAGTCCGACGACACAATAAATAGCGTCCACATCGGAAAGCCCATTTTCACTGGATCCCTGGAATTTTATTATTAAGAACACTCTAATCTACAAGAATCTACAGGAATCTACTGTAATCTAGCTTATGAGGGAATGGTCTTAACTTAAAGTTGTGAATCAATCCGAAACCAAGTGGACCTTCTAGAATCGATAACGGAGATTCATAATCTTCAAAAATTAGCTGCCAACTTGACCTGGATCGCGAGATATTTCATTTTAAAGTTTTTCGACAAAATAGAAAATTTCATTGGTGCTTGGGACTCCTTGCTATAAGGGCTTTCTTCAAGCAAGTCGACGTGTCTCTGTAGTGTAGCCGGTAGAGCGGTAGCCTCTAGATCCAGGGCCAGGGCCAGGGGTCGAGGGTTCGAATCCTGCCTGAGCTTTTTTTTATTTAAGAGATTCTTCTGTTTTCATTTAAAATTTTTTATTTCTAATTCTTAAGCAGTTAGACGAGTTTTCGGAACAGAATTCGGAAAATTGCTGGGTCAAACCGCAAAATCGAAATCCGATGGATCCCACCTGGAGGAACCTCAATCTGCCAACCATTAGACTGTTTCTACTTTAGGCAGATGAAAGCCTTTTATAAAAGATTCGCCGAATACGGATGCTTTTATGAACCAAATTTTAAATGAGAACAGAGGAGTCTCTTGAATCAAAAAAAGCTCAGGCAGGATTCGAACCCTCGACCCCTGGATCCAGAGGTCAACGCCCCGACCACTACACTACAGAGACACGTCGACTTGCTTGAAGAAAGCCCTTATAGCCAGAAGTCCCAAGCACCAATGAAATTTTCTGTTTTGTTGAAAAGCTTTAAAATTAAATATCTCGCTATCCAGGCCGAGTTGGTAGCTAATTTTTGCAGATTATGAATCTCCGTTGTCGATTCTATAAGGTTCACTTGGTTTCGGATCGATTCCCAACTTTAAGTTGAGACCATTCCCTCGTTAGATACAAGAATCTTTAGTTTTCAACAGTTTACCCATGCTTCGTAGAGTCGTTTTATCCTTTTCCAGAAGATATCCTTGTTGATGACCACTTTGTTGCCACTCTTATCGCGGTTCATCTGAAAAAAAAGAGGAATGAATATGATGCGAAGACACTTTAGCTAAGGAAATCTATATTCGTGTCAATCGATAAAAGATAGAGCATAAAAAGTTTGGTATTTAGTCAAGTTTTTAGAGAAATTCAGCCATTCATTCAGCCAATTTCTTCGTTGAGATTTTTGTGTCTCTTTACGTATTTTCACTCTCGAATTTGCGCTTGAAAGTGAACCAAAATTGACTTTAAAAGATGAAAAATTGGCAATAAACACTTTTTATTTAGAGCAAACCATTGGTGAATTTGTTTTTTATCAACGGAATTATGAAAAGAAATGAAAAGACTTTTAGGACAGCCTAATAATTCATGTAAAGCTACTCACCTCACGAATCTCATCATTGGGAAGAGAGCGGGCTTTGTCGGCAGCAATCTGTCGCACTTGTTGCATTGATTGAGAAGAATCATCGAGAAGAGAGCGGGCTTCGTCGGCGGTAATCGATGGCTTCACCATCTTCAAGTAGCTCACTGGTCTCGAGTAAACTGGAAATAGTTTGCTTTGATAACAGCTATATACTTTATTAGGAAAATGCCTTTTTTTCAATGTTTAGACTAACATTGAGTCTCTGCACAAGAAGGCACTTCATCATCATCATCTTTCTCCTCGTTCGCATTCGATTTGTCATGAACAGACGCCGCGACATCGCTTGGAACAACCTAAAGTTGAATTGTTGTAGAATCAATAAGCTATCTCAGATTTGTTTTCACTTTTCAGTTTACAAACTCAACGATCATCTTTTGTTTTTTATGGATCAACCCAACTCACCGCAGTGTCGGCCTTGCTCGTTTCGGTCTTGGGCATCACACGACCAATCGATTCATCAAGGAATTTCGTCTCCATCTTGTTGATGAAATCACGGATCTTTTCTGAACTTTGGAAACTTTTACTTTGTATAGAATATCTCTGTGCTGAATTTGACTCTGAATCTGACAAGCTTAATGCAGATCTAGCAATTGATTTTGAGTCGAATACTTGATTGAAAAGTCAACTCTATCTGTTACAGAAGCATTCTATCTCCCTATATCACTCACCCTCAATGTCGTGACGACGAGCGACGAATTCGGTGATGTAGCGCTGCTTGTCTATGACGTGGATCGATTCGACATGATCGTGCCTGAAAATGTAATAGTAAACTACTGCTGCTACCGTTACTAATCGCCTAAACTTATCACTCAAGTATTCTAGGCGGTGCTATACGGATCGGGAGAGGCTTAAAAATTTCAGATGCAAACTTTCGTTTATGGAGCTAGATTAAGTAGCAAAACGGATTAAAGGCTGAGCTTTGGGTTTATGAAGATTTATGGAATTGGCAGCATAATACTCAAAGCTTGATGTATGAGTTCTGGGGAATTTGTTGCTGTTCGTTATCCTCTAACTTCAATTTTCTTGTTTTATTGTTGTTGATAATGTTAATTTGAATTTATAAATGTTGTTACCTAAAGGAAAATAAGCAATTTTTCGATGTGGAACATAACGGGAAACAAAAATAACAAGAATTAGCATGTAGAATTTTCGGCCCTCCCGTATAGCACCTTCTTAGCTTAATATTTCTTATTGAAAGTCACTCACATGCACTTTCCACAAACGGCTTCGTAATCGAAACAATTGCGATTGCGCTGATTCTTACAGGAGAACACCTTCTCATTGTAGCTGACTGAAAGCAAAAGAGTAAATTGGTGAATGAATTTAAGCTTAAATTGATTCACCAATTTACAATAAAAATCAACTATTGAACTGAGTTAAACCTCAGTTCAATAGTTGATTTTTAAAACTCACAGAACTTTCCGCAACGAGTGCATTTCAAGAAGGAGAAAGCTTGCTCGAAAAGAGACATTTTCGAAAACAAATTCAAAGATTAACGAATCTAAATTGAAAAATAGGTAAAGAGAAATGGTTTTAAAAGTCAAAAAAAGTGAAAAGTGAAGAGAAATGCGTTTTTCTTTGATTTCTTCTTTTGTATAGCTACCGATTGATACGGTTTAGGCATTATTCGACATCTGCTGGCCAAGGGGAAAGGAGAAGATGCAATTTATGCAAACGGCTCGATTAGGTAAAAAAAATTGAACCAGTAGTACGAAAGAGAAAAATAATTGAATGGAAAATGGGAAATTCGACAATTTTCGGAATTTTTCGATGATATTGGGTTGGGGAGAATGAGTCGGCGCCGAACTTTAAAGGGACTTTTTGCACACATAAAGCCTTCTTTAAATATACGTTTGGTTTGATCAAAAGGATCCACTATTTCTCTACAAAATCACTTTTGAGAGATTCCACAAAGCTTTTCTTTCGTGGAGCTTATGAACTTCCAAACGCAGCTGGTTAAAATGGCAAAGAGTCCGACTCATCATTTGAACAGTTTCTTTCACATAAACCTTCTTTGGTGTTTATATAAAAAAGATAGAGCACATTCAATTACTTAAGTTGCCAAATTTGCAGGAAGATCCCACCAATGGTTTTTTCTAGATCACAGTTTTTAGTTTTTGTGAAAAAATGGCTTTTTCTTGAGCGGAGGCGCTGTTTGAATTTTCTTTTAAATGTGATTTTGTAGAGAATTAGTTAACCATTCTACTCATATCAAACGCATATTATTTCACGAAGTCAAATAGAAGTTTTAGACATTTTTTGATTTTCGACGCCGACTCATTCTCCCCAACCCAATAACTTAAATAAAATAATTAAACTTTCTCGTTCAACAGAGTAAAATAGAGTAAAATCTCGTTATTATTAGCTTGGTAAATATGAAAGATTATTTTTTTGATCATTTTCAACATAATAGAAAAGTTTGGAGTGTGAGCCGCTTTAAACTTATCATCGGGGATGACTTTGCTTCAGCCGAATGATTAGGATGACTAGCCGAATAGCACAAAAAGGTTAAAAGGGTTTCCCCAAAACGCTTACAACATAACAAGAACATGCAGCATCCAACATAAGGTTAATACTCGTGATAAGAGTACAGAACGGATTGATACTTCGTTGATGGCGACACAAATGTTAGTAAGTTCTTTCTACAGGGTGGGCCAAAATTACCGTTACATATAAAAAAAAGTCTCTGTATAAAAAGCAACTCAAAAGGTCAAAGGTTTTTCTTAAAAATAACTTTTATATTGGGTTGGGGAGAATGAGTCGGCGCCGAAAATGAAAAAAATGTCTAAAACTTCTATTCGACTTCGTGATATGCGTTTGACATGAGTAGAATGGTTAACTAATTCTCTACAAAATCACATTTAAAAGAAAACTCAAACATCGCCTCAGCTCAAGAAAAAGCCATTTTTTCACAAAAACTACAAACTGTGATCTAGAAAAAACCGTTCAGCGTTCACCCCACTAGCGTGACCCTAGAAAGAAATCGCTTAAAATCTATAGATAAAATTCTTAAAAGCTTATTCTGATAAAGGGTTTTTCCTACCGTATACGTGCGAATCGGTCGATCAAATCCAACTCTACAAACATTAATCGTTTGATCGGTGGAACAAGAGGCAAAAGTGTCGTCGGAGATCCAATCAACGTCGAGAGTTGACGCGGAATGGAATTGAAATTGTTGCTTGTTTTGACCTGAAATCAATTTTATTTTGATTATATCGAATTCCCTTGCTTTTTATTGGATCCCAAACAATTGTTGATTTGTCAACACCGGCTGAAAGAACAAAGTCACCAGAGGGATTCCATCGCAACGCAAAGATCGGTCCTTTATGAGCACCCAGAGTTGAATGGAGTGGTCCTAAAATGGGAATATTGGGTTGGGGAGAATGAGTCGGCGCCGAAAATCAAAAAATGTCTAAAACTTCTATTCGACTTCGTGAAATAATATGCGTTTGATATGAGTAGAATGGTTAACTAATTCTCTACAAAATCACATTTAAAAGAAAATTCAAACAGCGCCTCCGCTCAAGAAAAAGCCATTTTTTCACAAAAACTAAAAACTGTGATCTAGAAAAAACCATTGGTGGGATCTTCCTGCAAATTTGGCAACTTAAGTAATTGAATGTGCTCTATCTTTTTTATATAAACACCAAAGAAGGTTTATGTGAAAGAAACTGTTCAAATGATGAGTCGGACTCTTTGCCATTTTAACCAGCTGCGTTTGGAAGTTCATAAACTGCACGAAAGAAAAGCTTTGTGGAATCTCTCAAAAGTGATTTTGTAGAGAAATAGTGGATCCTTTTGATCAAACCAAACGTATGTTTAAAGAAGGCTTTATGTGTGCAAAAAGCCCCTTTAAAGTTCGGCGCCGACTCATTCTCCCCAACCCAATATTCCAATAATACCAATGCCAAGCTATCCGTTTAGTTCATTTTTTCGACCGTTTCCCTATCCCAATATCTTCCAACTTTCACGAACACAATAGTTGCTTTTTGCTCTAATAGAAAATGATGATATGCGTTTATTCTTTGAGATTATGTATTGGGTTGGTGAATTGAAAACAGCCGGCTAAAAAAGCATAAGCGATAAAAAAGCGATAAAAAGCAATAATAAATAATATATGGGTAGCACAGATAACGTCAAGGATCCACTAGAGCTTTAAGATCAAGCTCATCTACAGATAATTGAAAGGTTTCGAGACTAAGTCCAAGTCAAAGATCGTTCTCATCCACGACAACGCGCGCCCTCATGGTGCAAAACTGACTCCCTCTAAAATCAATAGCCTTGTTTGGGAACTTTTGGCGCATTCCCCATATAGTCCGGACCTGGCCCCTTTCGATTACTATTTATTCCGGATCATGAGGAATGAGCTTGCGGAAGAACACTTCGATTCGGAAAAAGCAGTCCAAAATTGGCTTTGAAGGAAAATTCAGTCGCTTTTCATATTCAAGAAACGTATCGATGCTTTAGATTTAGTGGCTCTTTGCCGTAAGTAATTGGCTTATTGATTTCAGTATGTATTGTATGATTAAGTATCACTGTGCATTTCTCTATCATTTCTTTCACTTTATCGTTTGAATAAAGTATTAAAGTTTTTCCATTCAAAACCAAAATCCTACCACGAATGAGGAATTCGCAAATTGCCTGTAAAATCGGCAGAAGTCGTCAATAATAATGGAAATTATTTGGAATGAGTTGATGGTTTTATGTTGAATAAATTTTAGTTCAAAGTCCCGCAGTTTTCAATTCACCAATCCAATAGTACAAATTACGAACTTTTGTAGTACGAATTTTTCTTTTTCATTCCTTAGCATTTATTTTCTAACTCAAGAAGTATTTGAAATGAATTGAAATGTTTTTGATGTTTTCTCTTGTTGATTTTCTTGAAACTCTTTGCTGATTTTGCGAAAATTTATTCGAGTAGGTACTACAGAAAAATGGTGATCCCATTTCAATAATTTAAGAGTCAAGAGTCATTTCCTTAAGGTGCGAAAGTGATGGGATACTTCCAGGCGGAACCGGGGCCAACACAAAATCCGCAAGTCTTTGCGCACATGTTGCTCTTGTGATCGCACAGAGCCCTATTGTGAGCGTCCAGACAGCTGTAAACAAAAGAATTATTTATTATATTTGTTATATTTGTTATATTTGTTATATTTGTTATATTTTATCTTTTTTTTCTTATTGTTTATCATATTATGGTGGCAGCGTTTAAAAATCAGACTTTTTGTTTGGTTTAGCGACTTTTCTTGCTTACAAGGGAAGATCTCAAGGCTGAGGTGGTCAAATGACATGAGCCATATACCATTCGACGCAGAATTTTTCGCTGATTCCGATGCTGTTATCTGTTTTTGCAAAATGGCTCTCTATCAAAAGTTATAAACATTTTAACGCAAGGAATCTGGTAAAGAAGTTTGAGGAAGTTTGAGGTCAAATTAGAGGTCAAAAATCAGTCCCTTTCACCTTTTATAATCCTTCTTTCACCCTCTCAGAATTTGAGTTTCTGGTGTAGTAGATAAGGGTCTTTTTCATGAAACAAGCTGCCAAACTTTTGCTCGGGTTCGATCCCTTCCTTTTTTTTCATTTTATTTTCTTGTTTAACCGCTCGAATTCGGCTTATTTTACTTTACAATCAATATTATGACATCTTTTAATAGATATCTCATCAACGTCAGTCTTTGTGAAGATGAATTGTGAAACGTATGCTTTTATATGTTGTGCAAGATGTAATTTTAAATAATCTTGCATTTACTTTATAGATTTACTGTTAATTACTGTTAATTACTGTTAATTACTGTTAATTATCAATTAAGAGATGCCATAATATTGATTTTAAAGTAAAATAAGGCGAATTCGAGCGGTTAAACATCAAAATAAAATGAAAAAAAGGAAGGGATCGAACCAGAGCAAAAGTTGATAGCTTGTTTCGGAAACAAGACTCTTATTCACTATACCACAAGCTCACAGTGATTCAAGACGGTGAAAGAAGCCTTCTATAGGGATTTTTGACCTCGAACTTTTTTTCTTTGATACTTTGATAGAGCTTTTGATCTAGGGGATCTAGGTATGAGCTAGGAATACGGAAATTGTCTATGCAATGTGTTCTCCTTGTTTTAAAATAGCATAAAGTCTTGGTAAACCTATATAAAACCTATATAAACCCACATATTTGGTCCAGCCGTATCATAGCAATAGCATTGATTGCTCGATCCATCGTGGAAACATTCAAAGCCTTCAGGACAACGACCAACAAGAGCGGCTAGAAAAGGAAAAGATTCTTTCGATTCAGATGGCTTGTTTCAGATAGCTTGATTCAGATAGCTTGATGCAGATAGCTTGATGCAGATAGCTTGATGCAGATAGCTTTTTTCTCTTTCTTGCTCTACTCACGTCCCGTTGGCTCGTTGAAGATCGAGTCGGGTTTCGGCAAACATTTCCCCACAGCCATATAACATTGATCAACCTCTCCGTCATTGTAGCAATCTGTGCCCCGGCCACACGGCGTATCACTGTACTCGGAGAAATGAGCGGCTAAACGAAATAGCAAAAAGATGATGATTTTATTAGGATTTTTGTCAACTCACGACTCTCTGGCTCCCAGTTGATCGAAATCGGCTTTGGTGGACAAGGTCCTTTCTAAAAAAGTGGCATGAAAAGTGGTAAGACAGAAAACAAACGTCTGGCAAGTAGCAAGCATCAGAAACCCCGTCATTGTAACACAACAAACGAGTGCCTCTACATCCATCTTCATAGTAGTCGAAAGTTGCGGCTAAAAAGCTTTATAGGACAAGAATCAGCCGGTATTTACTCTTCCTCTGTTTCTCTCTATAATTAGACATAACTAGAAGATTAACTGGATGTGCTGAGCAAATCACATGGGCCATTCGACGCAGAATTTCATGCTGATCATGATGTTGCTTTTCTTTTTTTTGCTACGGAGCACTCTGTCAAAAATTATACGCGTTTAAAGTAAAGGGTAAGTTTTGTAAGGAGAAAACCGTGACATTACAACCCGGTCTTCAGCAAGCTCAGCGGTTGCAACGGTGGCCGAATAGTTGTGAGTTAGGACGCAAGGGAAGGGGTCTCTGGTTCGGGTCCCATAGCTGATCGTCTTTTTTCTTTTTCTAGGTTTTAATGTCTTGTGTGTTCTCTATCGCCTCTATCGCCGGATAGAGTAGTTACCGGACCGAAGCAACAGACCCCGGCCGCGGCCTTTGCCTTACATCTTAACTCACTACCACTCGGCCACCGCTGCAACTGTTCAAGACAGGATTGTAATGTCGCGGTTTGATTTTTGAAACTCCTTAAAACTTTAAACGCGTATAACTTTTGACAGAGAGCTCGGTAGAAGAAACGGAAAGCAGATTCGGCATCGGCGTGGAATTCTCCTTTGAATGGTTTATGTGAGCACATCCAGTTGATCTTCCCTTATTAATCAAACTAAAAATTTGCCTAAGACTTAGATAGAAAGTCTTCTAACTGTTTTCTGGTTCCCAGGTGATGTTAGCTGGCAAGGGCGGACAAACATCCGAGTAGCATTTGTTGGATTCGCCGTCGAAGAAACACTGCTCAATTGATTTACATCCATCGACACGGCTGTCGTAATCGGCGTCTAAATGAAACTTTTTTTTGCGACTCATTTGTGGGCTGATTCACTTCCAGTCGGCGCCGAGGTTACCCATGCTGGAAGTGGGTCACACCGGACCAAATAGCATTCGTCTGAGTCGCCATCGTTGTAACATTTATAGCGGCTTCCATTAACGTTGCTACACCATTTCCCAGTGCCATAGTAGTCGAGATGAGCTGCTGAAAATCAGCGTTTTAAACCGAATAGTTGTTTTGCTTAATCCGAAGCATCAGAATTCGTTTAATAAATACCTCTTGCTCTTGCTCTTGATCTTGCTTTCTGACCTATATCTACTCCAGAACCCAGTTCAGATGCTATTCTTTGCTGAGTCTCATGTATCAAGCTAGCTATTGTCAAGTTAGCTATCCCAAAGGATTGTTCAAAGAGTTGCTTTTACTTTGTTTACCTAAAATAAAGACATAGATTTTCTAAATTTTCCGTAAAATTTTCAACGAAATCCGTCCAGCCGTTTTTTCGGAATTTTCGTTTAAACAAAAAGTCCTCAAATAAAAGCTTTTGATCGCTTTGAATAACTTGAAATTTTTAGAAAACGGCTGAATGGTTTTTATTGGAAATTTTCCTAAAAATCTGACCAAGAGTGATGTTTCTTTGGCTTAGAAAATGTAGATCTTCCCATGGTGCAAATCGTGCTTCGTTTGATGCATTCAACATTTGTAAAACCAATTTTTAGTCAAAAAGTCAAGTCAAAAGTTCGGTCATTTATTTGAGACTCTAATATTATGTATAACCAAAGATGGGAACAGGGAAATTGAAGGAAAATTATCTTTCCCCAAGGACAAACTACAAGCTCCTCAAATCTCCAATCTCAAATCTCAAAAAAAAAGCTTTAACGGGAGCGCTAACCTCCACCATCGGGAGCCCAAGTGATCTCAGCTGGCAATGAAGGACAGAATGCGGCCGCATTTATCTAAATCACATTTTAAGTAGCCATTTGTAATTCGGTCTAATGACTTCTAATTAAATCTCCACAAAAAAGCTTGAACCGGAGCTTAACCGAAGAAATTCCTACTTAATTGTGTCGAAATCAAACCTGGTGAACGGCGAGACTGAGGACGACGAGGACGATGATTTTCATCTTAACTTTGCTCCCTTTTCGAGGCTCATGTCAAACGCTCAGCTCACGGATCTTTTATACTGATTTTTCACATCATAAGTTCACGATTTGTGGATCAAAAATCGTATTTTGTGATTTACATTGTTCAATCGTCAAAAAATCCACCAAGAATCACAAAAAGTGCTCTTTGGAGCTCCTGCTGTGAGGCTATTTCTGCCATCATTCGATCTCCGAAATCAAAAGCTCGGATGATGGATAATGCTTTATATTGATTGTCAAAAAAGTTTCATGATCGACCAACAATGAGAACAAAATGGACAACCAAAGATCGAAACGCATTCGACCAAATGGTAGATCCATGTTGGCATTTCAAATCCGAACTTCACATGTAACTCAAGGATGGATCTAACGTAAGTAGGGAGGCGTAGGCGCTGTTCTTGTTCAAGTTTTAAGTATTTTCGAGAACGCTCTACAAGATGGCGCTTTTAGTTTTTGGAAAATCGACTTTTAGTGACTCAAAAATGCTCCGGAAGTTGGCGAGTCTCCAAAAAAATTCTAACGTAAAAATTCTAAAAGGTTTCCAAATTCTTCTAAGATTTTGTTGGGTTTGCAAATCTATGAAATAAGAAAACATTAGAATTATATTGGAAAAGTTTTTTAAAGCTAATAGAGCTAAAGCTTTTATCTTTGAGGCCAAAGCCTTAAAGATACCAAACTCCAAGCGATCAGACATCTGGATCAAGCACGATAGATTTAGCATTCCTTAGTGCTACTGGTATTGCTAAGTGAGCTCTGTTAAGGTGACTACCCAACATTTCGATCCCTCCAATTCGAGCCTCTTTGAACAAAGCGCCTCTTTCACTCGTTTTTCACTGCAATAATCTTCTCGACTCTCGCTTTTCGACCATTCATCATGATTATTGTAAATTGGAGTTTCATAGTTTGAAGCTACATCTGAAAATTAACGATCAAACCATAGTAAAATGTTGGTTTAATCAAATTTGAATCAAAATCAAACTCAAAAGTATACAGTACCGAGCAAAAGTCGTGCAACATCACTTTTTCAAAAAAAATCGATGAGATTTTTTATAGAAAATGCCACCCGTTCGTTTTGAAACAATGCGAGAAACGGTCGAAGGATCGCATTTGAAGAGATCGGAGGCAACGGCTCGAGAAATTCCTTTTTTTCTTGCTTTCATGATTTTTTCTCTTTCGGGAGTCGTCAAGTAGGTACCTGGCATCTGAAAAAAACAAAAATTAGTATAAATTAATAAATTTGAAAACAATAAAAATGAGAAACATAGAGTTTTGCAAGACTTTTGCACCCAGTTTTTAGGGTATTTTTTAGTAGTTTTGTCATTTACTTTTTTGTTTTACGCTGAACTTCAACAAATGACTAGATAACTAGATGACTAGATGACTAGATTTGACTAGACGGGCTAGATTACTAGATGACTAGATTTGATCAACATAAAAACGGCTAGCCATCTCGAGACTCGAGCCATCCAATTCGAGATTTTCGCATTTCAAGTTGCCCATTTTCACTTTTTTCTGAGTTTTTGTCTGATGGTAGGGATTGGACAACGACCTGGACGACCCGGACGAGAAAGTAAGATTAGTTTTAATCTCTTGAAATAATTCTCTAATTAAGGAATGGTTCCTTTAGAGCCGACGACGATAGCGCCAGAACCCGAAGCACTGAAAGCACTGTACTGAAAGTTTATCAGCTTTAAGAAACAAACGTTTTGTCCCATCATCAATTTACATTTTCATCTGAATTACCTAATATTCTATTTTTTCGCTTGTTTCTTCTCATTGACGAATGGTAAGAGATTCGGATTTGGATCCGGTAAAGAAAGCTTATATTTTGACCAGTGCTGAGACCAGTGCTGAGACATGGAAATTTTCGTTGCTGGGATGCGTGCTTAACTTTTGTTCTATCCCAGCCAGCCTACCTACCTTTATTCCCTAACTTTCGTTTGTTTAGTGAGCGAGTGTTTGGTAAAAAAATACTATTTACAAAACCGTCCATAAAACGTACGTTTTTGCCCCCTGTCAGTAATAAATGCAACATCTTCAGCTCACACACAGATCTTCAGCTCACACACAGATCTTCAGATCAACACACACAAATAAGAAGAAGCTTTTAAACCAGATTTTCACCAAAAGGAGAATTGCAATGAAGCCGTTCTATTGCGACAATGAAGCCGTCTTTATGGACGGTTAGATAGCCGTTCTCGATCACCACGTGGAAAGTAAAATTGCGGAGAAATTTGGAAAAAACGGATCGACATGACATCGACACTAAAACTTTGTTGCTGCAAACCCGCAATTTGCCATTTCGTATTTACCTTTTAATCCATAGTGAAATAACTTTAATCCATAGTCAAATTACTCTTATTGATATGTTATTACTAAACTGCGTTAAACGTTAAACTGCTCAAGTCGTTTTGCCTTTTGTTTTGATGGTTGATCTTGCTTTCGTTTCATTCGACGCCAATTTTGCCTAAATAAAGCGTTGATTAAAATGAACATTGATGAACACATTAAACTTTAACCAATCCAAAGTTAGCTTGAAATACATAAATGTCTTTTAACAACGTTTAAATCTGCGGCAAACCATTATGGAATCAACTTTATTGATAAAGGAATGTATTCAACAAAAGACGAAGTCACGCGCAACCTGTACAGGGAAAAATGACAAAACCCGATTAAAGCTTCTTTAACTTTAATCCATAGTCAAATTACTCTTATTGATATGTTATTACTAAAGGTGGAGAAAAGAAAAGAAAAAGAAAGGAAAAAGAAAAGAAAAAGAAAAGTTTATAAAATCCACCAATGTACAAGCAACGATGAGAAAAGAAAGAATGAGCACCAATAAATGGAGAAAAATAAAACCAATAATGTTTCCTTCGATTTACGGAAGGAAACAAAAACAGGAGAATCAGTGTATTCATAAAAAATGGGGGGAAATATGAAAACGATTGAGTGCTGCGCTGTGTTTTTGGGAGTTGGGTATAAAAATTGGGAAATCTTTCTTCAGAACGGTACCTTTCCTTTACGGTTACTGTAGCTTTGGTTACCTTTTAGCTTTGTGATATACTTTGTGATCGAATCTTGTAAATACCACCTTTCTGACGCACAGTTTTCTTCGTTTTCTCTTGCAACAACGACTCGAGCACGCCAGAAAGGATGCGTTTACAAGATTTGATCACAAAGTACACAGTGAAAAAGTACCACCAGAGCTGGGCAATTTTTGAAGATCAAAACGAATGTTTCCAAAGGCCTTGAAGAGTCAAGGTGTTGAACAAGTAAGGCTTTACCTCTTGCCATATCAAATTCGTGGGGGTAGCTTTCCGAAGTTGGTGTATATTGTTATACCGATCTAATGCTGATGCCGATGCATCAGTAAACAGAACTTGTCCACCTGTTGAGACGATTAGCTCGAGATTTCTCGAGATTCCGTTATTTAGAAATTCTCCAAAATCCTCTTCTCTTTTGAGATTTCATCAACGATCAACATAATTTTCTCTTTTCTCTCAATTCATTCAATTCATTCAAATCATTTTCCTTTATAATTTTATGCTTCTCGATCTTTATTCTTCTCTAATCACATCGCTTAGTATCCTGCCGCTGAAGTTTTTTTGAATAGATGTCTCAGAATGAAATCTTTCACTGATCTATCTATCACTGCTCTATCTATCACTGATCTATCTATCACTGAACAAAGCCGATAATAGTACGTAGATAGACAATAAATAGATGTACATAGATAACACAGTTATTTTGTGCTACAATTGTTCTACAGTTTTGAAATTCACAGAATTCTTTTCTCATATAGAACATTTATCTAGACAGTGACAAATTATTAATGGTAATAACGGTAATAATGTTGACGGTAAAAGACAACGAAATGTGTTCAAGAGTACATATGATAAGCTTAAAATGATTTGAGCAGAACTTTTCTTTGAGCCGAATGAATCAAATGAATTGCTAAGGCCAAATTTCATCATTTAAATTTACAAATCATGCAAAAACTTCAAGCAAAATGATAGAAAAAAAGCAAAAAATTCTCAATTCTGAACCCTTTGGAAGATTTCCCGAATAAATGCAAAAGAAAGTACCATATTTTATGAATGTAAAGTGAAGAAATGGTTTGGAAATGATTTACCCAAAATCTTTAAAGCCATTTGTAAATGAACTGCCAGCAGTGAATACGAATCAGCTAGAAAAGATCAGTTTTTTTATAATCAAATCAATCAAAACTTAACTAGCAAGTGGCTATTGAGGAGGACAATTCGCGAAATGACTTACTTTGCGTAATTATCTACTTTCGTCAAAGGGATTTGTTTCTATTTCTGAGCACAAAGTACATCATTCACCCATAATTCTTAAACAGTTATGAGTACTTGACTCTACTCTTTTCTTTGGAATACTTTCGAATGTACTTTGTGCTCAGAAATAAAAAATAAACCCTTTCTAATGCACTTAACTTTTTACATTATAATAAGCTCAAGGTCAGAAGATTTGTGTTTTCATTTTAAACATAAAGATATTCGATTAGCAATTGGCTATTTATTTATCTATTTCAAGAAGCAACTCTTCGTCGTCTTCTTCTTCCTCTTCTTCTTCTTCTTCTTCTTCTTCTTCTTCCCTCTCTTCTTCTTCTTCTTCTTCTTCTTCCTCTTCTTCTTCTTCTTCCTCTTCCTCTTCTTCTTCTTCTTCTTCTTCTTCCTCTTCTTCTTCTTCTTCCTTCCTCTTCTTCTTCTTCTTCTTCCTCTTCTTCTTCTTCTTCTTCTTCTTCCTCTTCTTCTTCTTCTTCTTCTTCCTCTCTTCTTCTTCTTCTTCCTTCTTCCCTCTTCTTCTTCTTTCTTCTTCTCTTCTTCTTCTTCTTCTTCCTCTTCTTCTTCTTCTTCTTCTTCTTCCTCTTCTTCTTCTTCTTCTTTCTTCCTCTTCTTCTTCTTCCTCTTCTTCTTCTTCTCTCTTCTTCTTCTTCCCTCTTCTTCTTCTTCTTCTTCCTCTTCTTCTTCTTCTTCCTCTTCTTCTTCTTCTTCCTCTTCTTATACTTGTTCTTCTCCTTCTTCTTTTTGTTTAAATCGAACTGCCAAACTTTCTTTCTCTTGTCTTTTCCAACGGCGGACATTGAATGATTTGAGATTCCCAGCGAGAACAAAGACGACGCAAATGATGACTGCAATGACGATCGCGACGAGAGTCACGATGATCACGAGTGCAACGATCAACCAATAGGATTGAAGCACGTTCAGGATTCGATCTGAAATAGTGAAATTAGTTATAGGTCTAACTAGAGAAAGGTTCAATTCAATCAGATTCAATCCGAACCAAAGCTATATTACTTACGCAAGTTACGGGTAAAAGAATGCAATCGAAGCTAAAGACTACAAGCTAAAGACTCAAAACTATTCAAAATCCAACTTTCTTGATGAATCAAAATACAAAACACGATCGTGTTGCTCGTGGCTGACTGGCGTAAATCATAAAGCATCATAAAGCTTTGGCTCGAATTGCGAAATCTCAACGTACCCTTAGTAAGAGTAAAGAGATCGACTTATAAAGTAAATTCAAGTTTATTGAAATCGTTTTCTGGATTGCTACTGTTTCTTATTGATTTTGACAATAAAATTTAGAGATAGTTGAAGAAAAATTCGATCAAAAAGAAAACGAACAATGTCCGGCAGATGCTTCCTTTGGATGATCATTCGCTTGTTGAGTTGAATGAACTGAAAACGTTGTTTGGATAGAACGCTTACAATTTACAACCTCATTTTCTGATCTCATTGCTCTCAAGAATCTTAGCTAGCATATTCTTTCAAAGCTTTTAAAAAAAGCACATTTTAGAAAGCACATTTTAGAAAGTACATTTTAGAAAGTACATTTTAGAAAGTACATTTTAGAAAGCACATTAATTTGAGATTATTGCTAGAGTAACCTCACCTCCGAATACGTAAGTTGAGCACAATAGAATAAGGAAGATTTGTTTCATTTTCTGAATCTGAAAATAGTAATTATTTATTATTAGGTAAATGCATAAGAAATGCGGATTTCAACCTTTTCATAGATTTCCAACGATAGAAAGCTGATGTTATAAACTAGAATCGATGAATGTTATAAACTATTTGAAAGTTGTAAATCTCCTCTACAAAATAGGCTAAAACGTGTTTCAATTGATCGAAGCGTTGAAGAAATTTCGAGGACGAAATGTAAGTGACTAAAAGAAGGACTCGAGTCACTTTAGGGACCAGTTTAGTGTCGTCAAAATAGAGTTAGCTTCCCAAAATTGAAGATTTAAAGAAAAAAAAGGATAGCTATATATCAATTAATTAAAAAAGTCGAACGAAAATGGATTTACAGAAATTTAGATAGAGCGTAAGTTCAAAACCCTCAAAATTAGCAAAAAACCCGCTTTTTCACAAAAAAGAAAAATTATTGTAGAAACAAAGTTTTCCCATGAAATGATCCAAATTCTTCATTATTTTGAACGGAAGTTAGGGAATAAACGTAGGTAAACTGGGTTGGTGATGGAAAAAAACGTTAAGCACGCAATGCCAGCAACGCAAATTTCCATATCTCCAGCACGCACCCACTGGACTGACCAATACCACAATAAATATCAAAGAGTTGAAGCGAATCTTTTGCGTTGAAGCGAGTATTCGAGAAATCCAATCTACCCGCCACCCCAATCCACTCCAAAACTTGAGTAAATGTCGTTTAATGTGTGAAGTTACCCAGGAATAATTCAATTAGCTTAATCGTTAAGTTCATTTTGGAGTCCAATAAACGAATAAGGAAATGGAAAAACGAATTTCCGGGAAATGTCTCCTTAAAATGCATAAAATTTTAAAATGGGCCTACACGTTTCATTATCAAAAAAACAAAAAATCCTCAAAAAGAGAGAAAACTCTTCAAAAAGATAAGGAATATCGAGAAATTGGCTTTTGATGACGTATCGTTTTGAAGAGTTTTCTCTCTTTTTGAGGAAGTTCGTTAAGTTCAGTAAATTCAGAAAAAAAACAAAAGCCAAATTCTCGTTGAGTCAGAAAAGCCAAAAGGAAAAGTACATCCCTAAAAGTGATCAATGCTGATTGATGCATCATTGATTGAGCATGCTGATTGATGAAAGATCAATTCCAGTTGTAGATCCATTATAGAAAGATCAGTTTCAGATTTTTGCCCAATCACTAGTGAATCACTAGTGGTAGTGAAGTGATTTCATTCCCCGGTACGAACAATTGGATGACGTTTCTGTTAACAAATTCTACTCAAAAACGTTTCAGAAAACAGAAAATCTTCAAAATGATCGTTTTGAAAGCATTTTCAAAGTTTTGAAAGCATTTTGAAATACCGTTTTTCATTTGCGATTTTTATTGCACGAAAACGGAATAACAATTTGAATATTGTAAAATTAACAATATTGCAAAAGTAAAACATAAAAAAAGAATATCAGAAATATAATTTCAGGATTTGATGGAAGGGTTAACTTTATCAAAATTCATGATTGATTGATTGAACAAAAATTTCGAAAGCTTACAAATAAAGCTCACAAGATTTGCACCATTTTGATGAGTGTTTAATGAGGAAACAAAGATTCAACGCTTGGAGAAAATTCAGAGGAGGTTCACAAAAGTCGCTTTATGGAAAATTGACTATTCTAAATATTCTAGCTTTACTTATGAGGAGAGACTTGCTTTTTTGAACTAAAAACTTTACAGCATCGTCGCTTTGTCATTGATTTAGTCGAAACTTTCAAAATCCTCCGTTGTAAACAGATTAGCCCTTTGTTTATAGACTTTTTCAAATTTAAACCGCGGTCAGGGCCCAGAAGTGGCTCATTCCTTTTGCAAATTCCCTTTGCTTCCAATGCCTCTTTATCAAATTCATTTCCCGTTAGAGCCGCTAGATTATGGAACTTGCTCCCAAACGACATACGAGAAATTCAGTCGCTTTTCATATTCAAGAAACGTATCGATGCTTTAGATCTAGTGGCTCTTTGCCGTAAGTAATTGGCTTATTGATTTCAGTATGTATTGTATGATTAAGTATCACTGTGCATTTCTCTATCATTTCTTTCACTTTATCGTTTGAATAAAGTATTATTATTCACTGTAAAACAAAGATTTACTTTGTTTTACAACTTTTTAATCATCTTAAACACTAGAATCTTTAAGTTATCCCTAAAAAGTTACAGTAAAGCACAGTAAAGCAATTTACTTTTTTTTACGTTAAAGACTCTTGAACAATTTTTTTTTTGTTACTTTATTATTTTGTTAACAAAGTTTGAATCAACTTTTTCTTATTTTTCTCCGTTTACTGAACTTCTCATGATTATTTTCAGAATGTAGATGATTCAAGCATCAATTCCAGACATAACAACTCGTTGACTCGTTGAAAGTTGACATTTTCTTGAGCTGAGGCGATGTTTGAGTTTTCTTTTAAATGTGATTTTGTAGAGAATTAGTTAACCATTCTACTCATATCAAACGCATATTATTTCACGAAGTCGAATTGAAGTTTTAGACATTTTTTTGATTTTCGGCGCCGAGTCATAGTCCCCAACCCAATATCTCAAAAAAACACCCATTTTCTCTACTTTAATTTGATACCAAAATGCATAGAAAGAAACGTACTGGTGTCGAGTTATGGGTGTTTGTTTGAGAGGAAACTTTGACTACGCGACGAAACGATAGGGTTCTATTAGATCGTTCCAGGATAAGCCTGGCAAGATTAAAATCAGGTCAAGGCCTAGTTTCTGACTAACTGAATAGACTAGCATCAGTATTTAATGTAAAATTTGCTAAAACAGCTGAACAGCTAAAAAAAGTAGCTGGAAATAAAAATAATGAAAAATCGGCTTTTTTTGCCATTTTTCAATCATTTTTTTCTAAGCGCTGGTTTAAGCTAAAAATAAGTTTTATATCTCAAAAGAACACCCATTTTCTCTACTTTAATTTGATACCAAAATGCATAGAAAGAAACGTACTGGTGTCGAGATATGAGCGTTTGTTTGAGAGTAGACTTAGACTACGCGACGAAACGATAGGATTCTATTAGATCGTTCCATTCTATTAGAGCCTTTATGGTATTTTATTATTCGTAGCTTTAGTAAAAGCCTGGGATTAAATTCTTTACTTATTAGCATTTAAATGAAACGTACTGATGTCGAGATCTGAGCGTTTATTTGTGGATTAAAATTAGACTACGCGACGCGACGATAGGAGCCGTTCTTTTCGAGTTTTTACGGTATTTATTTGTTTTTGAATTTGATGTAAATAAAATAAAATATTTATTGCAATTGAAAGTTGTAGATGAATATGAAAAACGATCGATATGTGACTTATTTCGATAGAAACCATTCAAAAAAAACAATTGCTGCCAGATTTTGAGCTGATTTGGTGAGGATAAAATATAAGAAATTCGTATAAGAAAAATTCGAAAGAGGCACACGACAAAATTTGCATTTTCAAGGCACAATGGGTTACGGGAATTTGAGAAAAAGATATTCAGGCAATAAGAAAATAAGTTTATCAAAAGGAAAGATATTTAGTGATGGCACTTTTTGGCATCTAGCACCAAGTTGGATTTTTTTTTTTGCGTAAATTAGAGAATTGTGAATTGTGAATTGTAGAATTGTGTAAATTGAATAAAATACAAAAAAATAATTTTCATTATAAATGAAAAAAGCATTCAGCGAGGCTCCTAGAAAGAAAAGCTAGGATTTTTTCAAAAAAAAATTTTTGGATGAAGACTAGATTTTGGTTTTAGATTAAATTTGCATAAATGCATAAATGCAAATTTCATTCATCTTGTGGCTGATTCCGGTAGCGAGCCTTGTTCATCTCGGCGAGTTTCACACGGGCTGATTGAAGCTCGCGCTCTTTGCGAAGCACCTGTAATGAATTGTGTAAGGTTGGAAGCTTGGATTTGGTCAAGACTTGAGCTAGGACTTGGGTCAAGACTTGGGTCAAGACTTGAGCTAGGACTTGGATCAAGACTTGGGTCAAGATTTGGGTCAATACTTGAGCCAAGACTTGAGCCAAGACTTGGATCAAGACTTGAGCTAGGACTTGAGCAAAGATTCGAGCCAGGACTTGAGCTAGAACTTGAGCCCAGACTTGAGCCAAGACTTGGATCAAGACTTGAGCTAGGACTTGACCAAGACTTGGGAAGACTTGAGCCAAGACTTGAGCTAGAACTTGAGCCAAGACTTGAGCCAAGACTTGGGTCAAGACTTGAGCTAGGACTTGAGCAAAGATTCGAGCCAGGACTTGAGCTAGAACTTGAGCCAAGACTTGAGCCAAGACTTGAGCCAAGACTTGAGCCAAGACTTGGATCAAGACTTGAGCTAGGACTTGACCCAGACTTGGGAAGACTTGAGCCAGGACTTGAGCTAGAACTTGAGCCAAGACTTGAGCCAAGACGTGGGTCAAGACTTGGATCAAGACTTAAGCCAAGACTTGAGCCAAGACTTGAGCTAGGACTTAGGCCAAGCTATGGACCAAGACCGGATAAGCGTTTGCATATTTCAGATTAGCTTGGAAATCGAACCAAAAACTGACTCAGCCTGGGTAGTTTTAGTTTAAGTAAGTACACTGACTTAAGATATTGTATAATCGATTAAAAGCCGTCAATTGACCTTTTAGATCAATTCGGAACATCAGGATGCTTTAGCTTTTAATCGAATACTACTTTGCAAATGTTTTCCTCACCTCTTCTTGAGCGTCCATCACTTGCGCGATGCCCGAAACCATTCCTTCAGCAATTGCATAATGTCTCTCGTCCTCTGCCGTGGCTGCTTGACGCGCCGCTCGAACCAAACGCTCAGTGGCTGTCTTCACGGCATGGCCTAGGATTCGGTAGATGAGTACGATAGTTTTAGCTTAAGAATAGGCTTGAAATTGTAAAGATATCCGATATGATTCATCAATTTAAAGATGATGTCGTCTATTTTCAACGGCAATTGAAACGCCGATCTTCGAATTCAGGCTAATTACTCGGCTACAAAAGTAGATTTGTAAAGAAAAAAATGTCGGTCCTGTTTTGCCATTGGCAATTTAAGGTTGTTCGTGTTTTTCTGAGCACCGACTCTTTGAATTTGACTATTTTGATTAGCATTTGATGCAGAATAAAATTGTGCATCGAATGATATCAAAATCAACTCAAAATATAATTTCCATGCAAAGTTGTTGGCTAAGAACCAAAACACCGCCGATTATGGGCGGGACTTAACCTTTTACCTCATAACTTTGCATGGATATTATATTTTGAGATAATTTTGGTATCATTCGATGCGCAATTTTATTCTGCATCGAATGATGATTAAAATAGTCGAAATCAAAGGACTGATGCTGAGAAAAACACGAAAAACCTTAAATTGCCAACGGCAAAAAAGAACCGACAGTTTTTTTGTTACAAGCTTAGTATACAGTACCTAATTCTTAAAATCTTAATGTTTAAAGCACTGTTGGACATTTGAACTTTGCAGTACTTTGTAGTGAAGCTGAAATCTGAAACTGACCAGCCGACTGAAGTCTTCCCCTTGCTTGACTGTCACTGTCAGCTTTCACATTGCAAGCGATCAACAGCTGAGCCGTTGAGGCAGCTACCTAAAAAAATCCTGTTACAATATACTATTATAAGATTTAGAAATCGTTTTTTTGAAGATTTATCGCTTACCTGTTTAGCAGCTGAGATCAATTTCTCCTCGCTGGCCTGTCCTTGCACTAAACCATTTGCCGCCTCGCAGAGTTGGTGCACAGCGGCGACAACAAGCTAAAATTGAGGTTTATTTCAAGTTTTAGATTACTATATTTCTAGTGGATAGCTTTTAAATGAAACCTTAGCCGCTGAGACAAGTCCCTCCGACCATTGATAATCCTCTCCACCGCCTGGGCTTCTAGCGTCGATTCTTCCTGAAATTTCAAAACGATAAGCTATTCTTGAGTTAATCTTGTATTTTACTTTAAATATAAAACTTATTAGCTGTTCTATGATTGCTTTGCGCTCATGTGGATATTTTCCGGGTCTTTTGAAAGAATCCTGGTCTTTGAACGGGTCGTCACACTTTTTGAAAGTCTATAACTTTGTCTAGAGATTATATTATTGCTAACTTTTTATATCATTGTACAGAGGACATTTCAGGCTTTCAAATGATACCAAATAGAGCTTGAATGGATTTTTCATTCCCATACAAACAAGGTAACAAGACACTAGAGTTAGATAGGCCATTTGCTCAGAGTTGGCTCTGATTTTCTTGGACTCGATTATTGAATCAAGCTCTATTTGATATCATTTGAAAGGCTGAAATGTCCTCTATTTAACGATATAAAAGGTTAGGAATAATATGATTTCTGGACAAAGTTATAGGTCTTCAAAGCTTGGCGATCTGTTCAAGATCCTGCTCAAAGTTGGCTCTGATTTTCTTGGACTGGATTCTCTGATTTTCTTGGACCAATCAAGCTCTATTTGGTATCATTTGAAAGCCTAAAATGTCCTCTATACAATGATATAAAAAGGTAATCAAAATATGATCTCTGGACAAAGTTATAGGCCGTCAAAGTGTGATGACCCTTCTAAGACCAGGATTCTTTCAAAAGACCCCGATTCTTTCAAAATACCCGGAAGCTACGCAAGAGGCTTGCTTTGTTCTATAATTTTTCTCTAAACAAACCCTGTGCGACGAGTTCCCTTTGCGCACTTCCAGCAGCTCTCACTAGAGTCTGCACGGCATTCGTCACCGATTTAGCGGCTCCCAAAATCTGCTCATCAAACGTCAAATTGTCGTCAACTTTCTGAAAATTGGTTACGATAGAAAAAGCAAAATGTGGTTTTTGTTTGGCACAGAATATAGGAATACAGAAAATCGACAAGGATCAATCGTAGACAAATTGATCGTTCCCAAGTGCTCGGCCGAGAGTTGATAGGTCTGATTCAGGGGTTGCACGTGAATCGGAACCCAAGAATACCAGACATATCTTCCCTTGACGAGCGGTGGAACGATCCGCGATGACAAAACGGGTCAACAAGTCAAAAATGAAAACCTTAGAACTGAAAAATCTAAACAATAACTTTCTAACTTGCTCTCCAATTAGCATAAAAAAAAACATTCTTTTATAGAAATTCTTCTACTGGAAAAGACCAATCAACCGACTTGTTTTCTTATGACAAATAAATAGCTCTAATACTGGACAAGATTGAATGATTGGTACACTATAAAGATCGAAAGACTTAGACTTACTGCATCTTCAATAAGAGCTGACACAGTGCTGGACAATGAAATATCATATTTGAAAAAACGATCGTCACTTTCGCGCATCTGTAACTCGCTTGTTTTTGAGTTTAAACTATTAGTGTTATACATTTTCTGAAAGCTCTTTTTAAGGGCTACACAATGGTAATATTAATATTTAGAAATACGGTAAAGACAAGGGAGTTACAGACGCGCGAAAGTGACGAAAGTGACGATCTTTTTTCAAATATGATATTTCATTGTCCAGTAGTGTAAATAAGCTGATAAATAAGCTAATAAATCCCACAATATCAAATAGATTGCATAGATAAAACAATTCATAACGAATCTAGTTTTAATTTCAACTTACCGGCTGTGGACGTGGCCTCAGCTCGGCCAGCTTCACCGCCGCCGATTCGATTGCGTTCGCGGCGCCGAGTAGCTCGTTTTCAGCGACAACCGTCGGATCGCTTGCGTCTTGCCAATCATCTCCCTAAAAACTTTCATTTGAATTCAATTCTAATCTATTCTAATCTATTCCAATCTATTCAAGCAAAGAAATGAGTGCTTTAAACCTCGTAATAGAATTGATATTCTCTTGCAGGGAATTCCTAAAGTGAAGCAAGAAAAAGATCAGAAAAAAAGGGAAAATTGGCTACCTTGATGGTCCAGTAAAAGAGAAAAGGCTAAATTGGATAAAATGATTTCAAATCCGCATTAGAATCTAGAAAAACAGTAATAATCTTATAGTAAATAGTACGGTCATTTCTTCTTATGCAAATTTACTTAATCAGCTCGAAAATAGGCCTGTTTGAGTAGGGTTTTTCTTGAACTGGAGCACTTTAGATTATGTTTTAGATAAAATTGGTTAGAGATTGTTTAGAGATTGTTTTCTGATTGTTTTCTGATTGTTTCTGTTTGTTTCTGATTGTTTCTAATTGTTTCTGATTATTTTCTGATTGTTTTGACATTCTTTTGATTTTTTTAAGCTATTCTATTCTCTAATCCTTATTATTTTAATAAAACTATCAACCTTTAGCGTTTCAGCGCATCCAGTGAGATCTTTTACAGCTCTGGCGACTCCACGAGCCGAATCCAGCAGCGCTTGTTTAGCCTCGGGATTGTTTCGCTCCAACATTCGATGAAGAGAGCCCAAAAGGTCGCGAACCTGTAATTTTTGATATCTTTTTTGATATCTTTAACTTTTAAGATCTAGAACTTTGAATTTAACTTGCTAAGGATCATTGCCAGTGCTTGCCAGTGCTTGCCAGTGTTTTCCCAAGCCAGGCTATTGGCCAATTAATCCATTTTGGTCCAAATTTGGTTTCTTTCTTTGAAAATGACATTTTATTCTTTTGCTAGTGAAAATGCTAGTGAAATAATATACTTTCAGCTTCTAGCCTCATTTAAAACCTTTTAAAATCAATACAGAAGGAGTTAGACTCTATAAAAATCAATACAGAAGGAGCTATACTCTATAAAAATCTATACAGAAGGAGCTAGACTCTATAAAAATCAATACAGAATATGCTAGATTCTAGAGTCTCAAAATCCCTGCCCAAGAACAACAAAGGCTTCTACAAAGTTCTACAATATCAAAGCAAAGCTAATTCCAACCCTCACATCTTTATCAATGATTTCTTGGCTTTGCTCACCTGTGTAGCGACATCTCTTCCCGCGTCCAGCGTTCTGTAGCGAGCATCCGGCGAATCGGCATCAGCCGCCGCGTTTCTCGCAGTGGCCAACATTCCCGAAACGGCGGTTCTGAAAGAAGTATTTAACCCTTTGCCTGATAATGCAACTATGACAAACCTAGCCAAATTAGCTGCAGCGATCACATCATTTTGGTTGAGCGACGCGGCGGCGTTGGCCAACCGCGAAGTGGCCTGGGTGACGTGACCACCAGCGCGCACCAACTGTTCAGGAGTCACCACTTGTGATGGACCCTCGGTACTGCTCTCGAATGACTAAATAAGACTTTAATAAGTAAATCCTATCATTGGGGCTATCGGAAATAGCCCCGCCCCTTTTGCCATTGGCAATCTAACTTTGAGCTCAAATATCTTGGTGTTGGGTTGCCCAATTTAAATCTTTTTGGTATTATTAGATGCGCCAAGTCTTTCTCTATCGATTGGTACAAAAAGTATTCCAATTGGACAGCTCAACACCAAGATATTTGAGCTCAAAGTTGGATTGCCAATGGCAAAAGGACGGGCGTGTATATAAGCCCCGCCCCTTTGCCATTAGCAATCCAACTTATGCAAATTAGGCTAGTTTTACTTCAAAAAGTTTAAAGTTTTACTTTCTTCAAGCTAAGCTTCAAAACGCACTCTCAATTCCTGATTGATGGCATCAATGGCGGCTTCGAGAGCTCTCGTTCCCTGCATTTGTTCGCTCTCCACCGAGCGAACCGTTTTCAGCAATGAGGTCACATTTGAAACCATCACTTTGGCAGCTTCTTTCAAATTGTTCATCGCTGGATCGTGAAGAGAGCAACCGGTAGCGTTTTTCGTCGCCTGGATCAAAGCGCACAGTGCTGAGGCCACGTCGCGAACCGCGTGAAGAGCAAGTACCTGGAAATGATTGAGATTGGCTACAATGCTTCTTTGAAGAGTTAGGTGGCTCTGATCAGGCGTAGAAATGTTTCAAGAATTTCAGCTTTAAAATACTCTATACTAAGTCGAATTTTGATCGGGGGTTTAGCTGAAACATGGCTTCTGATAAGCTGGGCCGCTACAGCTAACTGGGCCTCCTACAGCTAACTGGACCTCTACAGCTGGGCCTCTACAGCTGGGCCTCTACAGCTAACGGCCCTACAGCTGAAGAGGCTTCGCTGCCCCTACAGCTAACTGGGCCTCCTACAGCTAACTGGACCTCTACAGCTGGGCCTCTACAGCTGGGCCTCTACAGCTAGCTGAGCCTCTACAGCTAACTGGACCTCTACAGCTAACTGGGCCTCTACAGCTGGGCCTCTACAGCTAACTTTTCTTTGCAACTTGTATTACCTGTGCTTCGGAATTTGAATTGCTTAATGAGACGGCTCCATTCTTGACAGCATCTGAAAGCGAGACGATCGTTCGAACCGCATTCTGAGCAGCCACAGCGAGTTGTTCTTGATTCGATGCAGCTCCAGCGACCAAAGCCTGGAATTTCAAAAGGAATATTCAAAATACGGCACAATGGGCTGCACTAATGACGAAATTTTCAAGAAATTTTGGTTTTCAAGGACTTTGGCCATTTTACACTAGTTTTCAAGAGAAAATTCTCATTAAAATAGATAAACAATAGAATTAGCAATAGAGCTAGATAGAGCTAGCAATAGACTACGCAATTGTACGCAATAGACTACGCAATTGTACGCTCAAAATCCCGTGAATATGTTAAAGACAATCTCATAGAAATTTCGAAAGATTTTCTTCAACTAGATTTTCAAGTTCAATTTTCTACTCACTTTTGTATCTTCGACAAGCGCCTTGGCTGTCTTCAAAATTTGATCTCTGTGCTGGGCGAATGTTACATTATCGATAGCGTTTAATGATCCCGAGGTGGCAAAGAGAATCGTTGTATCGAGATCGCCGATGATTCCCGAAACGGTGTTTGCAGCGTTGATGCAAGCCTGAGTTCCCTTTGCGTTCCATGTTTAACACAGCGAGCACCTGGAATTGATTCGATAAAGAAAAAGGCTCAATATCTGCAACAATTATTTAAATCTTATTGATCAAGTTAAAGATCAATTTGTCTACCGATGTTTCTGTACTAGATTTGTCGGGCTTGGTAGGTTTGGAACAACTTCTTCTTTACTTTTACTACTTCTACTACTTACTTCTTCGTTCTAGAGTTGGTTAGAAGGAGGGTATTTCCAGGACTAGAAGGACAACAATTGTTCTAGAGCTAGAAGGACTGTACTTCCAGTACTAGAAGGACTGTACTTCCAGTACTAGAAGGACTGTACTTCCGGTACTAGAAGGACGGTACTTCCAGTATTAGAAGGACAGCAATGGCTCTAGAGCTGGATGGACGGTACTTCCAGTACTAGAAGGACAACAATGGTTCTAGAGCTAGAAGGACTGTACTTCCGGTACTAGACGGATTACACTGGAGTACGGATGAATTATTACGACGAAAAGGATTACGACTGAAGCAAGTTTTCATTAACAAACTGCTGAAATAGCTCACTTCTTGTACGCGTTCAACAACATGCTGTGAATGGTCGAGAAGCTCGCGCTTTGTTCTCATATCAGCTGGATGCGCGCGTCGGTGTCCGGCTTTGATGACAAGCTCGGTGCATGAAGTGCCCAGTTTTTGGACGGCAACCTAGAAATTTGGTTTTGGTAACGATTTGAGTAAAGATTGATTCAAGATTGATTCAAGACCAAGACCAGGCCTAATCTGCTAACCAGGGCCTAGCTTTGTCCGAGCTGAGTCCTTTTCTTTCTTTCTTTCTTTCTTTCTTTCTCTCTTCTTTCTCTTCCTCCTTCTCTTCCTCCTTCTCTTCCTCCTTCTCTTCCTCCTTCTCTTCCTCTTCCTCTTTCCTTCTTTCTCTTAGCAAGTTAAGGTATTAAATAGCTCAATAGTTAGAGCATTTGCCTGGAAAGCAGAAAAGCAAAAGGTCAAAAGTTCAATCCCTCTCCAAAAATCGACTTTCTCTTTCCAATTCTTTCACTTCTTTATTACAGACTTAGATTGTAGCATCTTTAAACTCCATTTAGCAAAGATACCTTCAACTTTGTGGCCAAATCGGGCATGTTCGGGAGCAAGGCTTGAGCTCGAGCACACTCTTGAGCCAACTGATGAAATCGTTCGCTGATATTCAACGACATTGATCCCAAATGTGGTGGCTCAGCGTAAGGCATGTCTAAATGGTTTTGATTTAATTTAAATTTAGATTTAAATAATTTCACGAGTCTATAACGATTCAAATTCAAGTTCAAGAATTAATTTCTATATAGAATTCTTACCAGAAGCCGTTCTCCGGATCTCCTCCAACAAGCGGGTCATTCCCGTTTGCGCATCAGCAAACGAGCCAGAGGTGTGTTGAGCCGACGCCGCTGAGTCAGTGATAGCAATCGATCTCGAGATCGTCTCAATCATTCCCTCAGTGACTCCTTGTTCCGAAGTGATTGCATTCACTGTGTTCCGCATGTCAGTCAACGCCTCGCGATACTGTTGAGCCGATTCTTCGACTCTCGAGTGCGCCTCGGTGGCTCGGGGATTTCCGGCAGAGTCTTTACACGCGTACATCATCTGCAACTCGGCCTCGACAACGGTGCGACACTGAAGTTGCCTTTGTATATTCTATATCCAGCTACAGTATACTTAAGTAGCTACAGTCGGCCCAGCTATTAGCTACAGTACACCCAGCTACTAGCTACCTAACTACTCGCTTTGTATACTAACAAGAGAAGATCAACTGGATCAGCCACCGGACTCGAACCAGAGAGCCCTGGCTCTGGCCCTCGCCTTGTGTCCTAACTCACTACCACTCGGCCACTCCTGCAACTACCAAGCTCGCAAAAGACTGGGTTTTAATGTCGCGACTTGATTTTTGACTTTTTACAACTTTAAACGCGTATAACTTTTGACAGAGAGCTCCATAGTAGAAACGGAAAGCAGATTCAGATTCAGCGTGAAATTCTGCGTCGAATGGCTCATGTGATTTAGCCAGGACATCCAGTTGACCTTCCCTTGTAAGACTTTGAGTCAAACTTTTGACGGTAGCTGTACAGTAAGCTGAACTTTCACTCACCTGATCAAAGAGTTTCAGCTGGCTGTGCGAATCTTGCGATGAGGTGGCCGCTTGAACGGCTGCGTCGACCAACGGTTGCGTAAGTTGCCAGTGCTCATCGACTTGATGCGCCAACTCTTCGCTCTTATCGATGGCTGCCGATCTGAGTGGCTCGACCTTGTCATGGAGATTCTGCGAGTAGTGGAGGATCTGCTGATGAACGCGTTTCTCGACAGTTGTCGAGTGCTTTGCTGGGTTCACTTGCGCGTCCATCATCGATTTGTCAACAGCACGGATCAACTAAATGAATTAGTGAGCTTCGGAAATACTTTGATCGATTGGAAATCGTCTAAACCAACAATTCAAAGCAGCTTACCTCTTCCAATTGTCGAATATTGTGATCAAGTTCCCGTTGCCCAGGTGCCGCATCTCTAATCGCTGTCACGAGGCGTTTAATCGATTCAGACACTCCACGAGAATTGTCGGCTAATTGTTGCCACATTTGTTGATCTCGAGGTGCAGCAGCCAGAAGTTTTGCCGTGCTAAATAATAATTTGATAAGTTTAAAAGCCCAAGCATTTTGTTGTTAAATTCAAGAAAACTTATATATATACGATATTATATACGGTATACGATATTCCCTTTGTATTGGGTTGAAAGGTAAGTTCTGTCCTTGTTTTTGGGTTTTCTTAAACTCAACCAATCTACACGTTTTATAGCTTATTTGATCCCCCTTTTTCCGCCTTGAATTCAGCTTTCGAATGAGCCATAACACGTGTAGATTGGTTGAGTTTAAGAATCTCTTCCAAAAAAAAGGGACAGAACTTACCCTGTATCTTCCAGCCCAATAGTAGCTTAGGGGTTACGGTAGCCTCTCGATCTATGATAGCCTAGGATACTGTAATTTCTCGATGTACGATCAGCCTAGGGTTTACGGTAGCCTCTTGGTGTGCGGTCAGCTAGGGTTTACGGTAGTCCCTCTATTTAGGATAGACTAGAAAACTGTAGCCTCTCCATGTATTAGGTTAGGGCTTACGGTAGCCTAGAGCTTACGGTAGCCTAGGGCTTACGGTAGCCTAGAGCTTACGGTAGCCTAGGGCTTACAGTAGCCTAGAGCTTACGGTAGCCTAGGGTACTGTAGCCTCTCTGTGCACTAGCCTAGGTGTACGGTAACCTAGGGTACTGTAACCTCTCTACATCATAGCCAGGGTACGGTAACCTAGGGTACTGTAGCTTCTCTAAATCATAGCTCAGGGTACGGTAGGCTATCAATATACGGTAACCTAGGGCATACGGTACCATTTCTAATTGTAAGAAGACTCTGTAAGCTGTATGTTAGCGTCAGCCTACCTGAACTGGCTATGAGTTTATAAGTACTGTTCAAAACTCACGAGATCATTTGCGCACTCGTCTCAAGCGTCGATCTGGTGTTGCCAAGAATTGGAATCTGCGCATCCCGTCCAGCCGGACTGATCGTAGCCGGCTTGGCAGCAAAATCCGGATTCTGCACATAAGTCTCCAGCTGTTCTGTGGCCGACCTCAGCTCAGTTGCTGCGTGTGAGCAATGCGTTTGATTCTGTGGGCTAGGCTGTGCGTCCAATTGCTTCACATTGTGAATAAGATCAGCCGTTTTTGAGGCCACTTCCCGCGCACAATTGATGAACTGTTTCTTCACATTCACGTTGTTCGTCCTCTCGCTAGCCGTTCGGCACAAGTTTGCTAGCTGTGAGGTGTGCTTGGCGACAACGGTGGCATCGTCGAGGATCTCAGCCTGAGTGTAGCGCTGTTGCTCGATCCGCTCGCACACCTGAATTGGATGGTTTAGATTTGAGGCACTTTAGCTCAAGCTTTAGCTCAAGCTTTAGCTCAATCTTGAGGCTCAAGCTTTAGCTCCTCTTGAGGCTCAAGCTTTAGCTCCTCTTGAGGCTCAAGCTTTAGCTCAATCTTGAGGCTCAAGCTGTAGCTCAATCTTAAGTAATTTTTATTTTAAAATTACCTGCTTAACAAGTGTGGCCGATCGTGTTACTTTTGGAGCATCGATGAGCGCCGTTGTGCCCCGGATCGATCGTGGATGCGCCACGCCGACGAGATAAGCCGATTGGGTAGCCGATTCGGCGAGTGAGCAAACCGCGTCAGCGGATTGGCGCACCGATTGGCAAAACGATTGATTGTCTTCGTGTTTCGTGCTCCTTGCCAAGCTGTTCATCGCCTCACCGAGACGACGCGCGTGCTCAGTTACCTGAAAAAATGGTGGGATTCATCACGTTGCACTTAGAAAATCATAACGCTAATCATAACGCTAATCATATAATAAAGAAATTTAGTTGAAGATTTCACAGCACTTCTGAAGTTTGAAGCACTTCTGAAGGTTAAATTCAAACTTCAAATATTTTACCGGCTACATTTCGCTGCCCAGATCTATAATTCAACTTGAAGGCCGAAATTCTCCTCTCAAAATGCCAAAAACTAGAACTAGAACTTGGTTTGATCTAATTCTGAACAATTGCTGACTACTTAGAACGAAAAAATTTTTCCGCCCTTTTTTGCCGTTGGCAATTTAAGGTTTTTCGTGTTTTTCTCAGCACCGAGTCCTTTGATTTTGACTAATTTGATTATCACTCGATGCAGAGCAAAATTGCGCATCGAATGATATCAAAATCAACTCAAAATATAATATCCATGCAAAGTTGTCGGCTAAAAACCGAAACACCGCCCATTATGGACATTTTGCCGCATAACTTTGTATGGATATTATATTTTAAGTTAATTTTGATATCATTCGATGCGCAATTTAATTCTGCATTGAATGATAATCAAATTAGTCAAATTCAAAGAGTAGACTAAACTTGTAACGTTTTTTGCCGTTGACCGTTGGTTTTTCCTGTTTTTCTTAACACCAACTATTCTATTTCGACTATTTTGATTATCATTAGATGCAGAATAAAATTGCGCATCGAATGATACCAAAATCAACTTAAAATATAATATCCATACAAAGTTATGAGACAAAAGGTTAAGTCCCGCCGATAAGCGGCGGTGTTCTGGTTTTTAGCCGACAACTTTGCATAGATATTATATTTGAAGTTGATTTTGGTATCATTCGACGCGCAATTTAATTCTGCATCGAATGATAATCAAAATAGTCAAAATAGAAAAATTGATGCTGAGAAAAACACGAAAAACCTTAAATTGCCAATGGCAAAAAGAACCGACAGATAATTTCGTTACTTTGCGTTACACCATTTCTTATTGTTAGCAAAATTCTACATACATCATCGTTAAAACCTTTTCTAGGCTAGGCAAGCCTCGGAAAAAGTCTTGTACAGTAAACTGTTACTGCTGTAATTACGACAAATCCTACTACACCTTTTCCAGTGATGTAAAGTACGAGTCCTCATTAAGCGGCAAGTTTGCTTGATCGGCGGTGGCGGCGGTGGAGTGGATTTGTCGGAGTGCTGCGTCGCACTCGCGTTGCCACGGTTGTTCTCGGGAGACTGATTCGATCAAAGTGTTCACCTGAAAGGAGAAAATTCAAAAAAGGTATTGATTTCTTTACCGTTTCTGTGAGCGTCTTCGTGGCATGAGTGAGCATTTGCGTGTGAGCTGCGTCGCCGTTCGATGAAATGGCGGCCACTCTCGTCAACACTTCGACTGCTCCCTCTCGCGCGTTCTCCAAGTGATCGATGGTGGCCGCGCGTTGTTCCATGTGTGCTTGTTCCTAGAATTTGAGGTTTTATCGTCATTTTAACAAGCCTTGACTAGAATTTTGGTTTGTGTGCGAGACAAGTGTGAGACTCAAAAATGGAAGACTGGACAAAAATGGAGGAATGTCCCAGTTTGAGCACTTTCTTCAAAAGAAACCCATTTTGGTGTCAATAGAAAACTTGTAGAGAATCAAAAATTAGGCTTATAGCCAAATTTCCAAAAAGATACACTTAGTAGTTTCGCTTAAAATGCGAGTTTTGTTGCAAGTTTTGTGAAAATTCGTAAATTTGGCATTTCTTTAAAACCAGTCTTTGAATCGTTCTGAAAATTTGGATATAAGCTTCATTTTTGATCCTCTACAACTTTTCCATTAACACCAAAATGGGTTTCTTTTGAAGAAAGTGCTCAAACTGTTACATATGACAATAGCCCGCAGTTTACTAGTTCTATTTGATGCTAAGGAGATCTTAGAAACTTGATAATTGAGCATTAAATTGAGCAATTGATCAATTGAACTCATAGAGCAGAAGGCTAATGTTACAGTTCTCGATTCAATGACTTAAAAAGTTATATTGTTCACGAGTCCTCAACTTCAATGTCCAAACAACCTCAGTTCTCAGTAAATTTCCCCACCTTGATAGCAGCAATGACAGCTGTATGGAAATCGGTGTACGAGTGCACGAAGACGTTGACACTTTCAGCGTGCGATGGTCGACGAGCAGCGACAAGAAGTGAAGAGGTGGCTTCGACTAGACGAGAAGCCGCCACACGTACATCCGGCTCCCGAACCACCGATGTAGCACCGATTTGACGGACTTGCTAAAAGGAAAAGTTTTAGAGCTACAGTTGGAACAGGTTTGTTCTTTTTTCGACTGAGAATACAAAACAGCCGCAGCTGGGATCCGAACCCGCGATCACCCGCTTACCGGCGAGCGCTCTATCAGCTACGCCTAAGCTACACCGACACCGACAAAACGGCCAAGATCAGGCCTTATCTCTTACTAGCTTTCAACAATAGTTTACCTGAATCGCTCTCTCGATGTGCTGCTTATCGGGGAGACAAGCGATCACTTGTCGAAGTGAGGTGGACACCTAAAGTTTGGCATTGTAAAGCTTGGCATTGCAAAGTTGGCAACAATTCTAGGATCAAGCTATCCTAGACCTAATCCTGGACAAAAAGTAAATGTCCTAGACCTAAGCCTGACAAACCTTAAGCTTTGTCTAATTGTTACAAGATCATCACAAGTTACAACTCCAAGTCCAAGGTCTAATCCCAAGTACCGACACAAGTCAGCCTTCTATTCTCACCTGTTTAGCAACATCAGCCAATTGTTGTGGATGCGCTTCTTCACGACATTTGTCAAAGATTCTTCCCGATTGATCAACAACAGATCGAGATGAGACAATGAATTGATCAACTGGGAAATCTGGTCCACGACTGGCAACCGTCGTGCGAACAGCGTCCGTAAATGTGCGCAATGATTGTGCTGCTTCCACCGCTGAGGCACCGGTGTGTTGACTGAAAATAAAAACGATCTTAGACTGATACAATAGCCTGAGGACTGATACAATTACGTTGAGCTTAGAGCTCTGTAAACGAGCTCTAAGCTTTGAGCTCTGTAAACGTTTGCCTATCATTTTCACTCACCGATCGCGAACTGACGCAGCGGAAACGAGTTGCGCGAGTGTGGCGCCAACTTGTCTCGCGGCTCCAACGAGCTGTGCATTCGCTGTATCGTGTGTGATATTTCTTGGCACTTCTAGCGTTCCCTCATGTGCTCTTCTTTGCACTTCTTTCAACTCTTCATCAAGTTCTTTGATCAATTCTTCCGAGTAAATGAGTTGTTGGCTAAAAGAAGAAATGGTTTAGGCTTAAACAATGGCTTAGGCTTAAACGATGATAAATAGAGTCAAAGTACTCACTCAAAGTTCAACTGTTGCGCATTATTGAGCGCAGTTCGTAGCTCGGCGAGTTGTGTGTGCAGTTGGGTCGAAGTGGCCTGTAGATGAGCGGCCATATGCGGCTCGGGCACATGCACAACGGCTTGATGAGCCACATCAGCCAAACGCGTGGCTGGCTGAAAATTTGCAACTAATCACAGTATTAATAGAGTGTCTACACATTTCTACAGTATCCTTTTTTCATAATAGCTTCATAATAGGTAACCATAATAGCTCTGAATGCATAATTGCCTCAGAAGTCTCAGAACGATCGTTCACTATTTAACGAATGCACAATTTGCTAATCCTTCCAATTACCTCAATGGTCTAGTGGTATTTCACCGTTGCCGAAGCTCCCACTTATACTACACCTCTCAAGACTCTTCACAGAGTCAGACTAGAGTCAAGCTCAGCTCAGCTCAATAGGGTCTTCTTTCCCCGCTGTTTTTGCCAAGCCCATTCCCTTGGCTGTGGTTTCGCTAGATAGTAGATCGCTAGATAGTAGATCGTTACTCCCGCCGTTTATCCGCGCTTACGTGAATTTCTTCACGTTAACATTCAGAGCACTGGGCAGAAATCAGAGACAGTCAACGTCCGCAAAGACTTGCACTTGCATCATTTGCAAACCGCTTTATTAAATCAAACAAAAAGTAGAAAATGATGTCGGCAAGGGGGATTGAACCCGTGCAAAAAAATCGTGGTTCGCTTAGGATGCCGTGGTTCGCCTAGGATGCCGTGGTTCGCTTAGGATGCCGTGGTTCGCCTAGGATGCAAGCGCATTAACCACTAGGCCACTGAGGCAGTTGGAGCAGGTGCTTGAAAAAAGATCTTATGATGCGCTGATATCATTGAAAAAAGATCTTATGATGCGCTGATATCATTGAAAAAGTTGAATATCTATAAAATCATACCTCCAATAAATGATGCGATTGTCGGATGAGTCGTGATTGTGCGCGGAATTTCTGATGTGGCGTTGTCGCTTGTTGACTCTCGCGAATCGATGGGATCACCTGGAAAGGAAAAAAGATATATACAGTTGGATCTAAATAGTTCTTCTAGTTTTTCTAGTTTTTCTAGCTTTTCTAGTTCTTCTAGTTCTTCTAGCTTTTCAAGTTTTTCTAGTTCTTCTAGCTTTTCTAGTTTTTCTAGTTCTTCTAGCTTTTCTAGTTTTTCTAGTTTTTCTAGTTCCTTACTTAGCTAAAACACAGCTAGCAGGGTATTGTAATTGTTGTAAAATACTTAACTAATTGTAACTTTTGAATACGATAAACTAGCAGAGCACAAGTTCTTTCAGTTCAACAAGAGACAACAGATCATTTCAAGTATCGTAAACTTAAGAAGAAAATTGTTAAATTTTAACCCGTAACTATTGTAGCTCAACTACCGTAATCCTCAACTATCGTACTCCAACTATTCAAGTTCTTATTATCTTTATTTGAGTGTGTTTCAAGTATCGTAGGGCTAGAAGTTGGGGTACTGTAGCTGAAGTACTGTAGCTGAAGTACTGTAGCTAAAGTACTGTAGCTGAAGTACTGTAGTTAAAGTACTGTAGTTAAAGTACTGCAGCTAATAGAAGTACTCAACTAGTCGTAAGTTAAATTTTAACCCGTAACTATTGTAGCTCAACTACCGTAATCCTCAACTACCGTACTCCAACTATTCAAGTTCTTATTATCTTTATTAGAGTGTGTTCCTCTCCAGAAATAGTGTGAAATAAGAAACGACTTAGGTCGAAAAGAACGGAATTTCTTAAATATCTTCTACAATTTGTAAGTTATTCAATTTTAAATAAACTCGTTTCCTATTTTGCACTATTTCTTGAGAAGAAACACTTGAAAAGAACACTCTAATCTTTAACACCAAATCATAGCTACCAAATCATAGCCAGCTAGCAAAAAACACTCTAATCAATAGCTCATTATCTTTTTCATCTTTATAATTAGCTAAATAAAACTCTAGATCTAAATAACAGTCTAGATCTAGACACCAAATCTTCGTCGACTGTAACTTTCTTTGTAAACTCACATGTTGTAGTTGATTGGCCGTCTCAGTGCACTCAACAATCAATGTCTCGGTGACAGTCTTTGTTTTGATCAGCTCCTAAAATCATAAATCAATTTTTAAAATGAAATTTTTAAAGAAAACATGCTAATAGTGACACTTCAGGGTTTAAGATTTCTTGCTGAAAGAAAGTGATAACTTGAAAGACTGAAGAACTGGTTTAGAATTAAGGAAATAACTGAATTAGGGCTTTGCAAAGGGATAACTTGAAAGACTGAATTCTTATTGAATAACTGGTTTAGAATTAAAGAAATAACTGAATTAGGGCTTTGCAAAGCATGCACTTTGTGCTCTTGTAAACGCACGCTTTCTGGCAAAGGTCAGAGATGCGATGAAAAGAATGCCAGAGATGAAAACAAGGATGCAACAGAGCGAGCGTTTATGTCAGGGCAGAAAGAAGAGGCTAAATGAGGGGCGACGACCAACAGCTTGGTTGGTCTATTGGTTAAACACTAGCCTCTCAGGAAACCGAGACCCTCCAGGTGACCCTGGTTCGATTCCTGGCTCGGTCAAAGTTTTCTACTTTTTCCTTTTCAAGTTTACACTTTCTTTGGTTTTGTTAGTGGCACAGAGTGTTGCTTCGTTTCGTTCGTTCAAAAAAAAAAAATAGAGGCAAATCGGAGGAGACAAAACTAATAAAAATTGGATGAATGAGAACACACCACAAGAAAACTTACGTACAGTTTTGAGGATTTTTATGGTTTTTTGAGAGAATTTTGAGAGAATTTCTGATTTATTCGAAAAAAACAGATAAATGTTGTAGTTAAATTTAGAAATTTGATATGATTTTGATAAGTAAAGGCAGTTTTAAAAATGGGAAATTGCAAAAGAAGCGTAGAAGAAGCTTAAAAGAGGCTTAAAAGAAGCGTAAAAGAGTCAAGTTCAAGTGTTTTTGACTGTCAAAAATGACTGGCTTTCTCTTTTGAACTTGATTCTCTGAAAAAAAAGATGGTAGAGAGGGGAAAAAATGAGATGAACTGAAGATTTTAGCTAGTGCAATACGTTGAAAAGATAGAGTCAGCTTAGTAGTCAAGCTTTAGTAGTGAAACTCATGGCTTTAGTTGCCTTTCAACTCCTCAGCTCCAGCTCCAGCTCCAGCTCCAGCTCCAGCTCCAGCTCCAGCTCCAGCTCCAGCTCCAGCAACAGCTGCAGTATCCTATTGGGGAACAGAAAGTTTAGCGACTATAGCAGTTAACTATAGCTACAGTAGTACAATACAATACTACAATGCTACAATACTCCAATATAATACAGTACTAGAAAAACCCTAGTACAGTACTCTATTCCACAACTAATTAATATTATGTTTAGTTAAATTTAGCCCCCGTAATTAGTAGAATTCCTTTTCTATACTATAAAGGAACTAAATAGGAACTATAAAGGAACTAAAAGTAAATCGAAAATTTTCGCTGCTTTAACTTTTCTTAACCCATTCGAAACCGCAGCGTTTTTTCTTTTTTTTCGTCTACGGACCAAGCCCTTTTTTGACATTTTTGACTCCGAAGCAGTTTATTTATGGTTGGAAAGATGTAAGAGAGTCTTCTACACCATTTATTTTTGATGAAGAACGATTTGGATTTGACTTCAGTACTTTTCAAGATCCTATCGATTATTGTTCTTATTTTATCGACGACAATATTTTAGTAGGCGAATCTAATAAACATGGAAAAAGGAAAACAAACTGGCAGGATTTCGATGCAAAATCTTTCAAGCTCTTCTTGGCTTTAAATGGGAATCGTCAAATTACCGAGGATTCGTGACTGCTGGAGTAGCAGGCCTGGATTAGGGGGATTTTCCCACATGTCCCACATTATGTCAAGAGCAAAATTCGAATCTATTCTTCGCAACCTGCGTTTTTGTGATAATGAACTGGATCCTGCAGGAGATCGGCTTTATAAGATTAGAGCTATTATGGAACATTTCAATGCAAAACCAGAGACTGCATTGATTCCGGGTAAATATGAAACATCTTTTTTGCCCACGTAATTTGTAGATCTGTTACAATTGGAATATACATGTAATGCTGAAAAACAGCAAAAAAAAGCAATTAATTGAATGAAAATAGCTCAATTAGCGCTGCAGCGAATAATCGAATAATCGGTCCGTTCCTGAGTTTTTGTTGCAGCGATTATTCGCTGCAGAAGTTTCGAATGGGTTAATAACTTTGAGGAATCTTTTCTTAATGAAGGATCTTTTCGTTAAAAATAAACACGTTACAGATCTTTTTTCGCTAAACTTTAAGGGATTTACCGTTTTGTTATATTCGTTTTTGTTGAGGAACGGTTTATTGTAAGATATAATCCGTTGAAAGCCTTTAGCTTTTGATAGCCTTTAGCTTTTGAAAGCTTGCCTTTTTACTTACCGTAAATACTGCAATAGTACCCCACGCCCATAATGACGGTGCGGAGTGTTGCGTAGTCTAGGTTTGAACGCGTTTTTCTCGACACTGGTTTATGCTACAATGCGCGCTTAAATATCAAAAAATAGCCCTGAATTTCAGCTATTTTTTGATACCAAAGAAACATTTTTTGAAAGTACGGGCGCTTTGAAAAAAAAGAAATATTAAAAAACTTTTGCGACTACGCGACTGTACGAGGGGAGTGGGGTACTATTACAGTATTTACGGTAGATATAACGATTTTCAATATAACAATTCCAATTCGCGATCAAATTTCCCGACAGAATCGCTTTATCGAGAGTCGACTGTATTCTTTTTTTCATTACGAATAGCTACAGTACACAAGGATTACTCGATTAGTTTATTTAGCTTTAGCTCTAGCTCTAGAGTTCACCAAAATCGAGTTACAGGACGCTGACTAACACTGAGAGTACCCCAGTAGCCTGGATGATACTAGTAAACTCAAGTAAAGTAAACTCAAGTAAACTCAAGTAAACTCAAGCTACCGTACTAACCCTTACAGCTACAGTATTCTTTGAAACATGTTTATAAAGCAAAAAGCAAAGAATCCAGCTAAAAGTCTCGTCTTGAGTCTCGAAAATCTCGAAAGTTCACCTCTCTATTTTCCCCTCTCTCAAATATCAAAGCAAAAGCAAGAATACAGAAATTTGGCTTTAGAAAAAGCTGGCAAATGAAAAATGAAATGAATCGTGTTCAATTTGTTCGATAATAGGTTGTGTGCGCTTTCTTGATCGGCACGATGAGCACCTGGTGATCGTCATCGATCAACAACTCCTCAGTGACTTCAGTTCGTCGATGGCGCTTCTCTTTTTCCTATTTTCGGATACGATACTTCGTATGATTTTTGGAAAAAAAAAAGAAACGAACGAACGTTGAAACACTCTGTGTAAAAAAATCGAAATTTGGGTTAGAGAAGAAGAAATTTGATGGAATTGATGGAAATTTGTGAATAGAAATTGTCACTGATTTTCTGTAACTGTAACTTTTAAGGTTTCTAAGGCTTACAATTAAAAACTACAATACAGTAAGCCTTAAGGCTGTCTAAATAACAAAATAACAACGCTTTCTGGTGCACTGAATTCTTCATTTCCTTTAGGTTTTGGGATATTTGATACGCTTCCACTTTTGGCAATCCAACATTGGCAATCCAACTTTAAGCTCAAATTTCTTTGCGTTGAGCTGTCCAATTGAAATACTTTTTATACCAATCGATAGAGAAAGACTTGGCGCATCTAATGAGATCAAAAATATCTAAATTGAACAGCCCGACACCAAGATATTTGAGCTTAAAGTTAGCAAAAGAGACCAGGCGCTTATTAAATGTTCAATAGTTGCTCAAAAGCGCATCCCGACTACCGTAATCCTTGTCTTTACACTGTAAACCATCGTACATCGTTTTCTTTGCATTTGCATAAGTTGGATTGCCAATGGCAAAGAGGCGGGGCTTATATACACGCGGTCCCTTTGCCATTGGCAATCCAACTTTGAGCTCAAATTTCTTGGGGTTGAGCTGTCGAATTGAAATACTTTTTGTACCAGTCGATAGAGAAAGACTTGGCGCATCTAATGAGATCAAGAATACTAAAATTGGACAGTTCAGCACCAAGATATTTGAGCTCAAAGTTAGCTTGGCAAAAGGGGCGGAGCTAGAGAGATCTTTTATACACGCTGCGCCTCCTTTGCTATTGGCAATCCAACTTTAAGCTCAAATTTCCTTGTGTTGAGCTATTCAATTAAAATAGTTTTTCTACCAATCGATAGAGAAAGACTTGACGAATCCAATGCAATCAAGAATATTTCCATTGGATAACTCAACACCAAGATATTTGACTTCAAAGTCAGATTGCCAATGGCAAAAGGAGCGGGACGTCAATGAAATGTTCAAGCTTTTCTTCAATCTGTCATAAAGGATTCAGTACACCAGATGGCACGTTTCAACTCTCGAGCACAAAGTACAATAGAGGTCAAACATTTGCACCCACCTTCACTTGATGAGCTGCGGTGACAGTTTGTGTCGCATGATAGACAGCATCTTTTGCCGCTTGCTCCAATCTTTCCATCGTTTTCTTCTCTTGTTGATCGGCTGTGGCCTCATTTGTGACAGTGACGAGTCTTTCGGCCGCCGAGCGAACCGCCATTTGCGATTCGGTAGCGTTCGGGCGATTTTCGCATTCCTAGAAGAGTTTTTTTTATAGATTTATCATCATTTATGCTGATTAATTTATCGTTATCATTCATAGATTTGTTTATAGAAGTGTTGTTGATAGATTTGTTGATAGAGTTGTTGATAGATTTATCATTCTAAGCTATGATTTATCATAGATTTTTATCCACTAGTAGGTTAGTAGATCGGGCTTGAGTTGGGACAAAAATTAGAGCCACATCTGTTTCTCGTTTCACAGTACGGCTAGAGTACAGTACGGCTAGAGTACAGTACGGCTAGAGTACAGTACGGCTAGAGTACAGTACGGCTACAATAGAGTACCGCTACAATAGAGTACGGCTACAATAGAGTACGGCTACAATAGAGTACAGTGCGGCTACAGTACAGTACGGCTATAGTACAGTACGGCTAGAGTACGGCTAGAGTACAGTACGGCTAGAGTACCATACGGCTAAAGTACAGTACGGCTACAGCCCAGTACGGCTACAGCCCAGTACGGCTACAGTACAGTACGGCTACAGTACAGTACGGCTACAGTACAGTACAGTACCATTTCCAGGCTTGAACTTGGTCTTAGGCTAAGCCCGGGTTATGGTAGTGAAAAACTAAAACCGGATTCAAATTCTCTACTCCAAAGTGCAAATTTTCAGATCGCCTATCAGCTGAAAGGTAAATCAAATCAAAAAATGCATTTAAACCAACTAATAAACACCCATTGTTCTTTTCAAATGCTATTTCTTTTAGCTGAATATCTTTACAAACTTTTGTCGCATCGATCATATTGCTAGTGGCTGAGGCGACTTTTCGAGCCGCGTCGAGGAGACGATCCTTGTGCTCGGGATGTTGAGCCGCCTTTGACTCGAATTCCTCGACGAGAAGCTGGGAGTGACGGACGACACTTTCGCTTTGTTTGACGAGATCCTAGAATGATTCACAGATCACAGATGATTCTGTTCGCATGTTCTGATCACATGTTCTGAGGACAGACGCAGAATTCAGAAAATCTAGAACTAGAGGCCAGGAATAGAACAGAAATAGAACCAAAGATAGAACATAAATAGAACCAAAGATAGAACAGAAATAGAAGCCAGAAATAGAACCAAGCCTATAACTGTTGCAAAGCCAACAAACCTGTGACGGTCCTTGGTGTGAGACCAATCGATTCGATGAGCGCAGCACTCTTTCCCACTCTTGTTCCTCGTGTTTCTGCTCACCCTTTGGTGAGGTTTTCACATGATCCAGTAAATCATCCAAAGCAGCGGTCACTTGACGTGCCGCTTCGTGCAAATCACCCAAAGTCTGGAAAAAGTTTTCATAAAATTCAGCTCTAATCCTCGCGATTTCTTTAGCAATTGTATTTCTATGTTTCTAGAAAATTCCAGCCACAAAATGCCACAAAATGCCGCACCTGATGTCCACGTTGTACTGTTTGAACGGCGTAATTCGATTCGTGAAGGAGATCCTCGACAGCGGTGGCCACCTCCTTGGCAGCTTGTGTCAACTGTTCTTGACAAGCTTTGTTCTCGATGGTTGGCGCCACCACACGCGAGCATGACACCTGGAAATTGATTGGTTGCTGTTGAACTGTTGTTGCGATAAAGATTCCAAGCTGAACCTAATTTCACCTACGTTTCCTCGACCTTAGCTTTTTGGGATTCTTGGCTTAGAATTCTTGGGATTCTTGGCTTAGGGCTCTTGGGATTCTTGGCTTGGCAATTGCTCTGCAATTTTGTCTACAAGCAGAGAATGTTGATTTCTATTTGTAAACAGAATTTCGAAAGAATCAGTTAAGAATCGGCGAAGAATTGGCCAAGAATCGGTCAAGAATTGGCCAAGAATCAGCCAAGAATCGGTCAAGAATTGGCCAGGAATCAGCCAAGAATCGGTCAAGAATTGGCCAAGAATCAGTCAAGGATTGGCCAAGAATTGGCTAAGAAAACAAAGGTGAAATTAGGTTCGGCTTGGAATTCTCCTGTGTCAAATCAGGTTAAAGATCATTCTTAATGAATTAAATTCAAAATCAGTACAGTAAAGTTACGCCAGTCTAGTCTAAGCCAGTCAGTATATTCAAATATTAAGCCTTGCACAGAAAGAACCCAGTCTCAGTACAATAGACAGAAGAAAACATTAAAACAAAGCCTAAATTTTAATCTTTTTCAAGATCTTCAGCTTTTGATCTGTAGAAAGGCTTGGATTCGATCTGTAGAAAGACTTGGAGAGGGAGTTGAATTGTTTTAGTATTCGTAAACTTTACCACACTTTAGCTTTACCTAGACTTTAGCTTTACCTACCTAGAGACCAATCTAACTCAAAGATCTCCCTCAAAGATACTATTAACTATTGAAAGATTTGAAAGATTCCTTCATTATGTAAATTTTTCGATTCAAATTTATCAACTCACCAATTGTGATGTGGCAAAAGCGCATTGTGTGGCCGATCGAATCACCCGATCCTGCACTTGCTCGTTCTCCTTGCATTCCGCGGCAACGGTTTTTGCTCTGGAAAAAAATTGATTGATTGATTAGATCTTATTAGATCTTATTAGATCTTATTACATTTATTTTATAAAACAAACAAACAAAAAAACCCTTATCTTCTTTTAAAAGCTTTACAAAACATAAAAATCTAGAAATTTTTCAAAGCAATTAGCAATATTTCAAAGCAATAAACACTCATTGATTTGGAAAAACAAAAAAAAAGAGTCAGAGCGAGAGTGGACTCTTATCGACTCAGTTTCTCTTTTCCTAAAAACTTCTTTTCTTTTTTTTTGATCGTATCGTAAATTTAGTGAGGGAGAAAAGTGAAGACTGGAACGTTCGAAAGGGAAATATTTTGGCGGGAAAATTTTTGAGTTTTCAGTTAAGCAAGGGGATTGAAGAGGGGATTGAAGAGAGGATTTTGAAGGAAATTTTCAAATAAAATTGATGCAAAGGTTTGGCATTAGCTATTAAAATATATATTGGATATTAAAGGTAAATATCTATTGGATATGTAATGCTCGTGGTGTAATGGTTAGCACAGTTGCTCGGGAAGTGAAAGGTGGCGGGTTTGAGTCCCGGCAGCGAAGAGGTTTTTGAGCTTTCCTAGTTCCAACTATATCTTAACGTTTTTGATCTACCCTAGTTCCAACTGGCGATCTTTCGCTAGTGCCTCGCCGGAACTTGTGCCTCGCCGGGACTCGAACTCGATCCGCGAACTATCCAATGAACTATCCAATGAACTACCCAATGAGCTATCCAATGAACTATCCAATGAACTATCCAATGAACTATCCAATGAACTACCCAATGAACTATTCAATGAACTACCCAATGAACTATTCAATGAACTATCAATGAACTCAATGAACTACCCAATGAACTCAATGAACTCAATGAACTCAATGAACTATCCAATAAACTATCCAATGAACCTTCAACTATCAAAATAATCCAAAGAATCAACCTCACTCCCGGCATTTGCCATTGATTTCTCTGCGATCGAATCAAACGCTCCGATTCGAAAGGCCGCAAATAGTAGTCTAATGGCGGGAATTTCGCATGTCCTTGTTTAGAATTATTTCTTGTTTCAAATCTCTTTCCAAAATAGTTTCGATTCACAGACGAAGTTGATCGAAATGATCGCGTTGAATCGCTGATATATCCACTTTTCGAGCTTGGCACATATCTTTCCACATCGATCTCCAAAATTAGTGGAGTAGAGTGCGAGAGATTCGGGCGTGGGGCCATGGATTACGATAGGCAAGGAATAGGCTGGTACTCTAGCGGAAAGAGTACGGTAATGCCGGTGGAATGGGTGGGGAACTAAAGCTAGTAGTACTTTGTACTTTGTGCTAGTAGTTACAGTACTTTCTTCACTACAGAATACTAAAACTATTCAGCTAATTAGATCTTTTCTGATGAAGATATTCAGTTTTAAAGCCTGACTATGGCATGCTGTAGTCAGAAAGTACTGTAACTTTGTAATAAGCTTAAATTTGATACTCTTGTCTGCAATTGTTGAAGGATGACTGATGAAAAATGGTACAGTAAGCCGGTACAAGCTACTGTATCATCTAGATTTCATAATTGATTCCTATTTTATTCCTACTAGTTCCTATTGGTTTCCTATTGGTTTCCCATTGGTTCCCCATTGGTTTCCCATTGGTTCCCCATTGGTTGCCCATTGGTTGCCCATTGGTTGCCCATTGGTTCCCCATTGGTTCCCCATTGGTTCCCCATTGGTTGCCCATTGGTTGCCCATTGGTTCCCCATTGGTTGCCCATTGGTTCCCCATTGGTTCCCCATTGGTTCCCCATTGGTTGCCCTTGGTTCCCCATTGGTTCCCCATTGGTTGCCCATTGGTTCCCCATTGGTTCCCCATTGGTTCCCCATTGGTTCCCCATTGGTTCCCCATTGGTTCCCCATTGGTTGCCCATTGGTTGCCCATTGGTTCCCTATTGGTTCCCCATTGGTTCCTATTTGATTCCTATTGGTTCCCCATTGGTTCCCCATTGGTTCCTATTTGATTCCTATTGGATTCCTATTTTATTCCTACTAGTTCCTATTTGGTTCCTATTTGGTTCATATATGGTGCCTACTGGTTCCTATTTGGTTCTTATTTTATTCCTACTAGTTATTCCTACTGGTTATTCCTACTATTCCTATTTAATTCCTATTTTTCCTTTGAAATTTTCGGCTGGAATGTTCGGCTTGAAATTTTTCTATGCCTAAGTCTTTCTATGTCTAGGGAAATTAACCTTATTAACTGAATACTTTTAGGAATACTGTAAGAAGACAATTTAGACTACAGTAGACAATTTAGACTACAGTAAACAAGTCAGATGTGAATAAAGTCACCAAAAGTCAACCTTAATCAACAAATGCCAGACAAAAGTATCAAATTTTGGGTGAAAAGAACTGGAATGAAGAGAATGGGATTGGTGAATGATTGAGTGAATGGATTGGGTGAATGGGAAAGAGGCTTCACTCTTCTCTTTGATCTTCACCGATGCTCCTCTTGTGGAATGATGGGTGGGGGAAAGATTTCACTTTCTTTATCATCAACGGAGTGTCACCAATGGCAGATTCATCGCCCATTTTCAGTGATTTGTTTGGGGGAAAAGACGGACTTTATCCAGTTTATCCAGTGCACCAGATAGAGTATGTTTACAGAGGAAGCACAAAGTATATCACAGACGTAAACGCAGCCACTCTGGTACACTAAAATCTGATAGATAAACCAGTAGAAAAACTAAAGAAACAGGCAGAAAAACCAGCAGAAAAACCCGCCTAATCCCTTTAAGTGCGAGTTTTTTTGGGGGAGACAGGTTGTTGCCGTGGCGCAGTCGGGAGGGCGTTTGTCGACGGCTGTTGGGAGGGGTCCGGGTTCGACCCCCCGCAGTGCCAGATCAAATCGTTTTTTACAAAAATTCATTGGAAATTGATCTCAGAACCCTATATAAAGCCTTCAATGCACTAGAAAAGATGCGTTTTCAATTATTAAACAACAATAAACAATAGTAGATGTACTTTTCCTCTGTTTCTGACCTTTCTTTTCTTTAGCATCTTTACTGTCATCTTTTTCTAACCGTACTTCAGCAAATACTGTATAAAATACTGTATACTGTATAAAAGTTTCCTTTCTGTCTCACGATTCTCAAGTCGTAATACGTGAGATTCCTGTTTGCAGAAGGAATGATGTAGCAGAGAACAGAGAACTTAATTTCTGCAAAACTCAAAGAATTATCCCATTAAGAGTGTGATTTCCTCTAATGGAAGTGGAAGGGAAAAGAGAAAGAAGTTTGAAAACTGAAGAAAAAACAGCGAAATCTCGTAATTTCAAATGTAACAAGCTAGAGAATCTATTTTCTAATGTTCTATCGAATTCTAGCGAATTCTTATAGTTGAAAATTTGGAAACAAACCCTTTCTGGGTGATTTGTTGCTGTTTTTCTCGAGTTTTCTGAGAAAAAGCAAGAGTGCGCAAGAAAGCAAGTGCGCAAGAAAGCAAGTGCGCAAGAAAGCAAGTGCGCAAGAAAGCAAGTGCGCAAGAAAGCAAGTGCGCAAGAAAGCAGAGTGCGCAAGAAAGCAAGAGTGCGCAAGAAAGCAAGTGCGCAAGAAAGCTTCTGTTTACAGATTTAAGCACAAAGAACAAGCTAGCTCTATCAATAAATTGAATTTCTTTAGATGAAGCTGGGCAAATGACCGATCAGAGCGCCATATGGCTATTAAAAGCTAATTGAAGTGCTCGTTAAAGACTTTGATGAGGCAATTGTGATCAATTGGAATAAACGAGTTGAACAAATTGAATAAGAGCGCAATGGGGATGGTGATTGGGGAAAAGTGCTTTAAAGGCAAGTGCTTCAAAGATAAGTGCTTTAAAGCTGAAGAGATCTAACGAGACAATTCAGGGGCCTTAATGAAGCTCAAAAACTGTGCAAAAACTGCTCAAAAACTGTATAAAACTTTAAAAATAAGCGAATTCTGTCTTTTAATCTTTTCTATAAAGAATTTGAATGAATTGCTGGCCATTACCACTCATCAATCTTCAAATTTTTGGCAGACAGATGGCCAAGAGTCCTCTCTCCACCTCATGAATACGATTTTAGATCAAGATTTTCATTTAGTAAGAATAGATCGACACAAATCGATCGATACAACCAAAATCTAACAATAGAAAGTCATAAAAAGCCATAAAAAGCCATAGAAAGCCATAGAAAGCCATAGAAACAGCCCTAGAAATAGAAAACAATAAAATAGAAAAGACAGAAAACAAATTGCATCCAAGAAAACGAAGAAAACCAAGAGGAAGAAAACCAAGAAAGAGCAAGTGTTTAACCAATAAAACACCAAGGAAACGAGTCGAAAAACCCGCTTAACCCGCTTAACTACAAGTTTTTCTGACCCCATGATCCCGTTACATATCCGGATCTTTAACTAACAAAATCCAGATTCCACGGATATTGGCGCAGTCAGGAGTACCCTTGTCTACAGCTCACACTATCCGGGTTCGATCCCCCGTAGAGCCACTCAAGCTCAATCGTTTCCCAAGCCACTCAAGCTCAATCGTTTCCCGCAGAGGGCAGCTACGCAGAAAATGCGCTTTAGAATCGTTATATAGAAATTTTCGGTCCTTTATCGTTATAGTCAAGTTCAACTGTTCATTTATTAAAATGTACTAGTAAAAAGCTTATAGGATAACTAGGATAACTCCGACAAATCCGATAATAAGACGTGTCAAGGAGGAGAGAAGAATGGCGCCTAGGACCCTAGGGGCGAGGCTGGAGAGGAGCTAGGAGCGTTGGGTCCGCCCCTTTCACCCCTCCTATTCTCTAGACTCTAACAACCGAGTCTGGGGATCTGGGGATCTGGAAATTTGGGAATAAACCTGGGAATTGTGTATGTGATTATATGTAAATCGTTTTCTACAAAAGCTTTAATCAAGTCTATTGTGTAGAAAAATTTGCTACCAAAGACAAGCCAGTCCAGGTTCAGGTCAAACACAAGACAAGCCAGTCCAGGTCCAGGTCAAACACAAGACAAGCCAGTCCAGGTCCAGGTCAAACACAAGACCTGGACCTGGACTTGGATTGGAAATAAGATTTGGAATCTGAATTTTGTTAGTTAAAGATCCGGATATTTAAGGCAAATGCTTGTTTGAGAATAGTGAATCATCGAAATGATTAATATTTGCAAGTTTGGCTCAGCTACGGTATTCTAATGAGATTTTAGTATGGTCTAGATACGCAATCTAGATCTGCGAATAAAACATTGAGAGAAAAACAAAGCAAAGGTTAGAGAAGTTTTTTCGATCTTAGTTTAGCTGGACAAGCCTAGAAATCACTTACAGCTTATCTTAAGCATCTTATCTAAATATTTAAGTTAATGACAAAGCAAAGAACAAAGCAAAGAACAAAGCAAAGAATTAAGCAAAGATTAGAGTTCTTTTCGATCTTATTAGGGAAGAGAACTAGGTCAAGACAAACATTTATAGATTTGGTGGAATAAAATCAAGAGTCTGGATGCAATTCCATATGAAAACCAAGCATAAATAAAACAAAGATACTATAAGAATTTGTGAAAAAGAAACAGCAAAAGCTCGACAAGTCGGGGATTTGAACCCACCCCTCTAAAGCATTCGACCCGTTTTGTAGACAAGCACACTATCCACTACACCACCACGGCCGCTGAGAGGGGTCTCGTAAACTCGAGCTGAAAGGTCGCTGGTCGCGTAAACTCGACCTCGACCCGAACTCGACCCAAACTTGACCCAAGAATATAGGAAAAACTTCGATGCCAGAAATCTTACGTTTCCAAACCATTCAACAGATTTTGATTACAGATTCGGATTCCGCGTTTGATTTTCTATCGATTTTGAGCTGGATCTTCCTAGTATTCTTCCTTAGTCCATAGCTAGGCAAGCCCAGGAATCCAATTCTCCCCCTTCACCTCCTTGAATAGTCGCTTCTCGCCCCGGGATGCCAAGCACCAATTTACATAAATTTGCATTCAGGCCCTTTCCTTTTCTTCTAAATGTAGGAGACAAATGGCTTAGCGGCGCCCTATAGAGACCCCAAAGGGACCATTGACCTCCTCTCTTGAGGCCTTCACTCTTTCAAAAGAGCATGTTGCCTTGGTTGCCTTTTCGGGGCTTAGTTGGGCCGTCTGTCCCTTTCGTTCGTCAAACCCAATCATAAAGGCGCAGATGTAGCTTGGCTCTTTGCTTTAAGCCTAGGAAGATTTGCGAGACCGTCGGGAATTCGTTCTCGCAGAGACAATGCTATTCTTGGAGTTCAGAGCTGTTGGCTTTAGTTGGCTTTGGTTCAACGTTCTTCAGTGTACTCTGTGCTTTAGTGGAAAAGCTCGATGCACTTGTTTACCGTACTCAAAGGCTACTAAACTACATGGAAGATGTACGATACTTTACTATAAGAGTGCTGTACTATAAGAGTACTTTACTATAAGAGTGCTGTACTATAAGAGTACTTTACTATAAGAGTACTGTACTATAAGAGTACTGTGCTAAGGATACTGTACTTTGAGGGTATTGTAAGGGATACTACTGCAGCAGTTAAATCAGGCGGAAACGGCAGCCTTCTGGTGCACTCGATTTTCGACTACTGTAGGCTACCGTACTTCTGTACTACAAAGACTACTGTACTCTAGGACTACTTTATTCTAAGACTACTGTACTACAAGGCTACTGTACTCTAAGGATACTGTACTTTAAAGATACTGTACTTTAAAGATACTGGGCTTTAAAGCTACTGTACTCTAGGGTTATTGTACTCTAAGACTACTGTACTACAAGTCTACTCTACTCTAAGGCTACTGTACTTTAAGGAGATTGTACTTTAAGTAGATTGTACCATAAGGGATTAGGCTACTGTATCAGATACAGTTACAGTAACCCGATACAACCGTAGATCGGAGACAGTACTTGTCAAGGTTATAAACAGCACTCTACTACCTAGTATTAGCTAAAGTTTTGCAAAAATTGATAAATATATATTGATATTGAGGTTTACGCCGAGTTTAGATGAGAAAAATCACTTGTAATTTCAATTCAATTGTAATTTCAATTCTTTAACCACAAACTATAGCTTTACTAAAATCTAGAGCAAATCTCTTTCTATATCTTTGCTCACTTCCCCATTGGCTAACTGTTGTCGAAGATTGGTGGGACGGAGTCCCAAGGGGAATTGCTGCAAGGATTGCCAAAGATGAGCCTCCACTTCTCCATTTTCGAACACGAAGAAAGACAAGCGATTTAAAGGGGAAAGATGGATGGGGAAGATTTGGGGAAAAGGAGACTTTTCAATGGAAATAGGGAAACAAGGAAAATTTCCGCATTTTGAAGAAATGAAAGCAACTTTAGCTAAAGAAAGATACTGTTAAAGTTACTAAAGTTATCGCTTTGCAATATACGATTCAAACGATAGACTGAATATCTTTCAAAATAGGTATTTTAATTGAGAATAAAGATATTAGCAAAATTTAAGTTTTCTAACTTTCAATTTAAGCAAAATATTGACTTTACAGCTTTGTTTTAAAGCTTTTGATTGATCAAAAAAAAGATTGATATAAAAATATAAAAAAATATATAACGCTCTTGCGTAGTTTTCGGATGTTTTGAAAGAATCGGGGTCTTTTGAAGGAATCCGGGTCTTTTGAAGGAATCCGGGTCTTTTGAAAGAGTCCTGGTCTTCAGGAATCCTCGTCACACTTTGAAGGCCTATAACTTTGTCCAAAGATCATATTTTGATTAACTTTTTATATCATTGTATAAAGGACATTACAGGCTTTCAAATACTACCAAATAGAGCTTGATTGATCCAAGAAATTAGAGAATCCAGTCCACGAAAATCAGAGCCAACTTTGAGCAGGATCTTGAACAGATCGCCAAGCTTTGAAGACCTATAACTTTGTCCAGAAATCATATTATTCCTAACCTTTTATATCGTTAAATAGAGGACATTTCAGCCTTTCAAATGATATCAAATAGAGCTTGATTCAATAATCGAGTCCAAGAAAATCAGAGCCAACTCTGAGCAAATGGCCTATCTAACTCTAGTGTCTTGTTACCTTGTTTGTATGGGAATGAAAAATCCATTCAAGCTCTATTTGGTATCATTTGAAAGCTTGAAATGTCCTCTGTACAATGGTATAAAAAGTTAATCAAAATATAATCTCTGGACAAAGTTATATGCCTTCAAAGTGTGACGACCCGTTCTAAGACCAGTAGGCCTCATTGGCTCAGAGTTGGCTCTGATTTTCTTGGACTGGATTCTCTAATTTCTTGGACCAATCCAGCTCTATTTGATATCATTTGAAAGCCTGAAATGTCCTCTATACAATGATATAAAAAGTTAGTCAAAATATTATTTCTAGGCAAAGTTATAGGCCTTCAAACTCTGACAGGATTCCCGAAGACCAGGATTCTTTCAAAAGACCAGGATTCTTTCAAAAGGCCAGGGTTCTTTCAAAATACCCGAAAACTACGCAAGAGCCAAATATCAATATAAAAATAGAGAAACTCCTAACCTGAGCACAAGTTGAGCCGTTGATGTAGCGACAGTTTTTGACTTTTGCACGAGTTCTGAATGGAAAGTTGTTTCCTGTGAGGTCGGCTCTTCGATTGTTGTGATTACCTAAACAATATTAAAAGAAATAGTTTGGAAAAAATAGTTTGAAAATCTAATAATCAAAAATTTACCTCACGCGAAGCCTCTCCAACTCTGCCGGCCGCTGCCAACACCGTTGTTCTCTTCTCTTCGTGTTCTGGATTGACCGAAGTGAGGAAATCGCCGAAAGCGCCGCAAAGACGACGAGCCGCATCTAAAAGCCAGTCGTTACTTTTATTTTATATTGTTTTTCCACTCACCAATAAGATCTCCACGATTCGGCAAAAGGACGGCTAAATCGCGCACATCGCGACCCATCTCAGGCAAATTTCCTCCAATTGTGGCAATCGCTGAGCCGACTCGATCATCGTATTCCTCTTGTACGGCTGTCCATTGAACAACCTGAAAAATTGAGTCTGTTTTTGTCTTATCTCTAATCAATCAATCAATGTCTAATCAAGTTTTGTCAATCAGTCAATCTGTCTAATCAGTTTTTGTCTTATCAAATCAGATTAAACTCGATCAAGTCTAGATTTTTATTCTATATAATCTATGTTCACTATTTTCTTGATTAAACTTTGATTTGCCTGAATTGGCACAGCTGAAATATCGTTTTAATCTATTTTTTTGATCGTTTTTCATCTATTTACAGTACGTTTTGTATTGTACTATTCTGTATTTTGTATTGTACTAAAAACTTATTCTCTGGATACCTTATAGTATCAAAATTTCCATACTAATACGTTATCTTAATCCTAGGAAAAACCTTTGCCATGGCTGACTGGCTAAGAACCCTTGTATCTTAAAAGAGAAAGTCAAATGAATGAGCCATAGACGATTCGACGCAGAATTTCACGCTGAATCTGAATCTGCTTTCCGTTTCTGCTATGGAGCACTCCGTCAAAAGTTATACGCGTTTAAAGTTGTAAGGAATTTTAAGAAGCATATCCAGATTTCCCAGGGTTATAACCAGATTTCCCAGGGGTTTTAAGCATCAGTGGTGGCCGAGTGGCAGTGAGTTAGAATACAAGGCAAAGCTTCTCTAGTTCGAGTCCACTGTTCTGCTTTTTTGAATTTGCAAAGTTGCAAAGTTCATTGTTCTCCATTTGTTTTTCAATATCGTCGATGAAAAGAGCATGGTTTGACTACAGTTACGGCAAGACATAAAAGCCAAAGACAAATCCAAAAAAGAAGAGCGGTGGACTCGAACTAGAGTGACTTTGCCTTGTATTCTAACTCACTGCCACTCAGCCACCACTGCTTTTTCAACTGGGAAATCGGCTTCTAAACTCCGAGTGGGGTTTTTGAAATCCCAAACAAACTTTGCATTCTTTTAACTTTTGACAGAGTGCTCCATAGCAGAAACGGAAAGCAGATTCCGATTCAGCGTGAAATTCTGCGTCGAATCGTCTATGGCTCATGTCAGCACATCCAGTTGACCTTCGTCTATGGCTCATTCATTTGACAAGCAGACCCAATTGACCATCGGACCAGTTGGATTTTGATACTTGTGTATTGCTTTTACCAAATTATTCGTGTAAATAAATATATTTTAAAGAGAATTCTCTCGATTGCTGTGCTCACCTGTGCAGTGGCGGCTCCCATGGCCGCCAAGCGCTCGTTGACGTTCTCTTTGCCGACCTCGCGTTGACGCTCGACCCATCTAAAAATGGAGACTCAAATGTGACAAAGAAATCGAATCATGCAGCTTTAAGCTATGCCATTTTCTTCCTTTTTTGTGTTTTCCAGTTTTATCAACAAACCTTCTTGAGTTCGGATCCTCGGGGAATTTCGGTAGCTCGATTTCCGGTTCTTTCTGCAGTTCCTCTTCGGCTTCATCGACTGCTCGAATTGAGGCTTCGATTGTGCCAATAAGGGCTCGTTGTGGATGTTCTTGACTTTGCACGACGCGCACACGTTCACCCTAAAATATTGAATTGCATATTGCTATATTGCTATAAATATTGCTTTTGAACTGATGTCACTAGACCAAAACTAAACTAGGGTCAATCAGGCTCAGACCAGGATCTAGCTAGTTTAAGGCCACGCCAAAAAGTAAAGGGTTAAACCAGAAGTAAAGGGTTTCCAGAAGTTAGTCGGAGTTAAACCAGAACTAGATCAGGGCCAGGTATAGCTAAACCAGAGGCAAAGTAAGCCAAATCTGAATCAGTTAAACCCAGGCTAAACCTGGGTCGATCTGGGTCAAGTCCTATACCTATACCAGTCCTATACCAGAGCTAAACCAGGACTAGGGGCTATGGCTAAGGCAAGGTCCAAGGTTAGGTCCAAGGCTAAATTAGGGTCATACCAAGGCCAGCTCAAGTCTAGGTCAAGCCATGACGAAACCAGAGTTAAGCCAAACCAGGTTAGCCAGAAGCGAAGCCAGGCAAGCCCACGTCAGCCGGCAGCCAGTAAGCCAGGCAGCCGGCGCCAGGCGCCAGGCAAGCGCCAGCGCCCAGTCAAGCCAGCCAAGCCAGTCAAGCCAGGCAAGCCAGTCAAGCCAGACAAGCCAGTCAAGCCAGGCAAGCCAGTCAAGCCAGTCAAGCAAAGCAAAGCCTCTACTTGTCCGACTATTTTGCCTACACATTGACACGAATTCAATCCGTTACCAGATTTATTCTACAATTTTGCTTCAAGCTTCTATTCTCAAAAGGATTAAGGACTCTCTATCTCTTCAATTCATCTTACTTGTGAATGGGAAATAGGGACTAGAACCAAAATAAGGCCCTCTCCTCGAGCCTCAAGTGCAATCATTTCCCAAATCTTTTCCTTTTCCCCAAAATTTCCTATCCACCTTCCATTGTTATCTCAAACAATGTGTCGCCTAGGGTACCCGTTGTGATCTCTTTTCTATTCTTTTCTCTCTTCTTTTCTTTCTTCTTTTCTTCTTCTTCTTTTCTTCCTCTTTTCTTCTTCTTTTCTCTCTTTTCTTTCTTTTCCCTTTCTTTTCCCTTTCTTCATCCTCCTCCAGGTGCCCTTCTTCCCCACTTCTAAGCGTTTTCAATAGACCCCGCGGGCACGCATTTGTAAATTCTTCTCCAATCCCAAATTATTAATGCTATTCCCTTGGCAGCTGGGGGGGATTTTTGGGATCTTAGTTAAAAGTTTGCAAATATTTTAGTCAATGCTAGAAGAATTGCTAGAAGAAAGAAGGGTTAGAAGCTTAGAAGCTTAGAATTCAATCAAGGTAAATCAAGTAAATCTAATTGTTGCTAATAAAGTAAATCAAGTTGCTTATCAAATTGATAAGCAAATTGATAAGATTATCTAACTCCAGCTCTAACATTTATCTAGTTCTAGTTGTAAAAAAACACAGCAAACTGCCTGGCCGATAAGGGGGCGTCAAGCGGGAAAGAAGAAAGAGCAGCGGTAGCTTAAGGGAAAGTGTGCTAGTCTACGAAACTATTCTCGCGGGCTCAGTTCCACTCTCAGCCAAACTCTTTACTCTTTTCCTGAAACATAGTTGTTTTTAAGAAGATTTAAGTGTTTTAAAGCTTTCAAAGACCTCTTTTGGAGCTTCCAAAGTTCTTTTCTGCAAACTCTTGAGGAAAGGCTTGCAGTTAACAGCACTATTGTTAAGTAGAGAACGAAAAACCCAAAAGATTCAATGAATCAGTTCCACTTGGGTCTAACAGTAAGTGGATCGGCTCTATCGATAAGCCAGTTTTGCCAGCTCACCCGTGGCATGCTCTGTCCAATGATTTGCCCAGAAACGGCTCCATATTGAGCTCCATTGATGCCATATCCTGATGGAGAAGCAGTCGAGCGGAGTACTCCAGGCACAACCACGTTTCCGTGCACCGCCGATTGTTGTCCGTTTCCGATTTGACCGTGAGCCACCTGGAAATCAAATTTGATATGTTTAAGTGTTTAAGATTAAGATTTCCATAGATTTCCACTATCGTATCCCAAAAACCAACTAAAGTAGCTCTTGCCGGTGCGACCATATCCTCCAACATCGTCGATCCCTCATCTCCCTCAATACCGCGGTGGTCAACCGTTCGCCGCTTCTTCAAAATGATGTCGATGTAGCTGAAATTGAGAGTAGTTTAGATTAGTTTAGATTTGATATTAGATAGGCAAAGTGTTTATCAATTTATCATCTTTCTCCTCTCTAAAGTCTAACAAGTTTTCAGGTTTCTGTAAAAGCTAAGTTAAAAGTTAAACTTCCCAAATTTATCTCAAAGTTTAGGCAAATTGAGTCGAGTTTCGATTGGTAGCCGCAAAATGAATCGATTGCTCAAATTTGCTCAAAGCTTTGAGATCAATTTTTCCCTTCTGATCTGAATTTTTAGCGGTTCCCTAGTTAGAATCTAATCAAATTCTATTTGATATCATTTGAAAGCTCAATCCAACGATATATTCAAGCACAAAGCAGCATTTCAAAGAATAAAAATACTAGAATCTAGAAGCTAGCTTTAAAAAACTATCCTAAAATCTACCCAGCAATAAGCGCGGCGACTCGTTCTCCCTCTGGTGTTTGCACTGAATAGTAGCCTTCTTGATAGTCACCAAAGTCCTGAAATGATAAGTATAAGCTTTAAGAATAGGTTTAAGAATAGGTTTAGGAATAGGTTTAAGAATAGATTTATAAATAAATTTATGAATAGATTTAAGAATAGATTTAAGAATAGGTTTAAGAATAGATCTAACACTAGATCCAGAGCTTAGATTCAGAGCTTAGATCAAGAGCTTAGATTCAGAGCTTAGATCTAGGGCTTAGATCTAGAACTTGGATCTAGAGCTTAGATCTAGAGCTTAGATCCAAGGCTCTAGATCTAGAGCTTAGATCCAGAGCTTAGATTCAGAGCTTAGATCTAGAGCTTAGATCTAGAACTTGGATCTAGAGCTTAGATTCAGAGCTTAGATCTAGAGCTTAGATTCAGAGCTTAGATCTAGGGCTTAGATCTAGAACTTGGATCTAGAGCTTAGATCTAGAGCTTAGATCTAGAGCTTAGATCCAAGGCTCTAGATCTAGAACTTGGATCTAGAGCTTAGATCTAGAGCTTAGATCCAGAGCTTAGATCTAGAGCTTAGATCCAAGGCTCTAGATCTAGAGCTTAGATCCAGAGCTTAGATTCAGAGCTTAGATCTAGAGCTTAGATTCAGAGCTTAGATTCAGAGCTTAGATCTAGAGCTTAGATCTAGAACTTGGATCTAGAGCTTAGATCTAGAGTTTAGATCTAGAGCTTAGATCTAGAGCTTAGATTCAGAGCTTATACCTAGAGCTTAGATCCAGAGCTTAGATCTAGAGCTTAGCTTTTTAAAACAGAAACCCACCAGCGAGAACGTGTTCCCAGTGTTTCCCCAGCGTCTCACTTGCTCTAGCGGCCATTCTTTGATAATATCCTTTGTCTTCTCATCGACACGCATGACCTTCAATTATTAACTCAAATAATTTTCTATTTAAGAAGATTTTAGATTTAGATAATAGCTCTTAAATTAAAAATAAAGATTACTTTTTACAAATCTCTTACCGAATCTTTATTGACACCGAGAAGTCGTGGCACAAGCTTGTTCTTTCCAAGGACTTTCTCTGGAAGATTTTAATTCTTTTAAATGATTATTCACGTTATATATAATTAGAAGTAGGCTATGAGTAGCAATTTGTACCGTAATACTGTGTTTTTTTTCATTTTTTCCAAATTTGAACTTTTTAAATAGCTTTTTAAATAACTTTTTCAATAGCTTTTCTTTAGAAACTTTTTTCACCCAAATTTCAACCAAATTTGACTCAAATCTTTGCCAAATGAGCTGTTACTATCAAATTTGACTCAAATTTCACCCAAACTCTACCCAAATGAGCTGTTACTATCAAATTTGACTCAAATTTCACCCAAATTCTACCTAAATTTCACCCAAAAGAGCTGTCACTACAGAATACAAGAAGTATCTTATATATTTTTATAATCAGAAAGCCTATATTCAAGCATATAAAGCGTATACTCTAGAGGGAAAACTTTAGAACATCGTTTTTTATGGAAATTTTATGCAAAACACTTCTGATATGCAAATATTTCCATATATTAATATTAATATTAATATTAATATCTAAAATATTAATATTTGCCTCATCTAATCGATCTTTAGCATCTTTAGCTTCAATTTGGCACATTTACAATGATACAGCCCACCTTTTAGCTATATTAATGACGATTATTTCACTATCAACTCAGAGAACCAGGATTTTGTTATATATTTCGCAAAAAAGTTTTTAGTAACTTTACAGGGTGCGGCAAAAGTTCCGACACTTTTTGTAAACGGGCTTCGGCTGTCGACTTGGAAAAAACGCGATTTTTGAAAAACTAACACCGGATTATAAAAATTCAGATGTTAATATACTTTTTTACACAAAAATTGCCATCTAAACAACCTTTTGATGAGGATTTTTAAAGGTCGTTACAGCAGTTTTTTTTTTTGCTGTTGAGATTTGGGTGCCCTTCGTAGAATCGCTTGAAAATCTTTCTTTTTTGAGATATAAAGTTTTTTTGTGGCTTGTTTTCAAGAAAAAAAACTCAGTTCTATCAAATGGTAACAGCAGTTTTTGGAAAAAATTTCATTCTGCAAAGTTTAAGTCAACTTTCGCAAAAATCTTCAGCGACCAGACCGGGATATAAAAAATTCTCGTCAAAAAGTTATTGAGAGTTGAAAGCTTCTTATGAAAATGGCTACATTGGGGTGAAACTACCTAAATTTTTAGAATCCGGCGTTACTTTTTTGAAATTCACGGGTTTTTGAAGCCAAAAAAAATTACTGCTTACAGAAAAAGTGTCAGAACTTTTGCCGCACCCTGTATACTAGTTTTTAATAGAAGATTCAGAGCTCTTCGAAGATCAGCTATCGAATGACTGTAAGAGTTTTTTACTAGAATTTGGCCTTGAATTATTTGGCCTTGAATTTACACAAAATTATCAGTAGAATAGTTAACGACTACGTGACTGGACGCTCAAAATCCCGTTAAAATCCTGTTAAAGTATGGCCATTTATGAAACAAAGCCATTTTTCTATACTCAATCCCTTTTGCAAGCATGCAAGCAGCCTTTATCGAGCTTTTGAAGAAAAAAAAAACTTTCGCAAAAAAAGCTGAAATCTTGTTTTCCAACGAGTCTACACACTAACTACGCGAAAACGAATTTCAATGTGAGGCAAGGGCAACTGAATTTTTTTTCCCTCTCTTTCCCACTAAATTGCTCCCTTTTTCGAAGCTTTTCGAAGCTTTCCGAATTTTATTCTTTTTTGACTAAACGGGAAATAAGGTTTGTGACTTTGGAAGGAGAAGAGAAAACTTTTGCGAAGAAAACTTTACAGCTGATAAAAGATCTCTAAAAGTTTTGATGATTTAGATTTATATTAATCTAAAGGTTATCTAACTGGATTACTGGATTAGTAAGCTTTCAAGGTTCTAGAGACTGTAAGGTATACTAATCTGTAAGTCATACTAGTCTGTAAGTCGTACTAGTCTGTAAGGCATACTAGTCTGTAAGACATACTAGTCTGTTAGTCTGTAAGACATACTAGTCTGTTAGTCTGTAAGACATACTAGTCTGTAAGTCGTACTAGTCTGTAAAACATACTAGTCTGTAAGTCGTACTAGTCTGTTAGTCTGTAAGACATACTAGTCTGTAAGTCATACTAGTCTGTAAGTCATACTAGGCTGCAAGTCGTACTAGTCTGCTAGTCTGCAAGTCATCCTACCTAAAAGCTAGTCTAGGCAAGGTTAGGGTTTACAAAAGAGTCAAACAACTCAAACAAAAGTCAAAGAGTCTAGCGCAATCAAGCCAAAGTCAAGGTTTTAACGGTAGATTGAAATTCTGGCTTGTCAATTTGGCGGTGAGCTGCCACTGGTTGACCTTTTGTCAATTTGGCTCTAGTCTTGGTCTAGTTTCAGAAGAACCTACAACAAAAAAAGAACCAGAACAAGGTTTTGACATTATAATGTTTTCTAAAGTATTGCAAAGAGCTTTTGAGTGTTTCTACGTAGTCTACTGTTTCTACGTGTTTGCATTGTGCACAGGGTAGCCTAGCCTGATCATTGTAATCTAATTCCTGATGAATTGTCAAATAATTTCAAAAACATTACCCAAATCTTATCCAATCATTATAACTAACCATAAGAGTTGTAGTTGTTCTCATTTTAATATCAACATTCGACGGAAAATTGGAAAAGCATGAGAATGGGAATAGAAAATTGGTCTAGAGTCTAGATTTGCGAGGGAGAAGGGGTGCTCTATGTGGTGCGATCAAGCGTGAATCGCTCCGACGATGAATGGATTGGATGGATTGGATGGATTGGATGGATTGGATGGATGAAAATGGATGAAAATGGATAGAAATGAAAGGGGAACACATCAACTAGACCCTTATCTACGATTTTCGACATTTTTTATCGATTTATCGATTTTTTCAACTAGGACCTACTTTTTAGCTACTTTGTCCCTTTTGAGCTCAGCGTTTTGATCTCTAAACGACTAGTTTACTGTAGAGATTTAAGCCAGTTTCTGAGCTGACTTCTCACTAGAGAACACTTAAGATAAAGCTTGTTTCACCTGCTTACAGACCCGGATTATGATAGCTTTTCTTCCAGAGCGCACGACGACGGTTTTTTGGGCATAAAGCCACGTAGGATCGTCCAAAGATTACGGTAACTATCGTTTAGGATTACGGTAACTATCGTCCCAGGATTACGGTAACTATCGGCTTAGGATTACGGCAACTATCGTCGCAGGATTACGATAACCGTCGTCCTAGGATTACGGTAAAGTATACCAGGCACAGTTACGGGTCTTTCGACAAATGAACAACTCTACTATGCAAAGTTTAGCTATTTTTATGTTTATTCTATTCTTATCAACAATATTTATCTAAATTTCGATTAAACGAACCCTTGACAACAAAGAAAGTGACTCCATAGGTCTTGAGTCCACGACAAAGATGAACATAGCGACTCTTAGCATCCAATTCCGGTGTTCCCGATAGCTCCTTGTACATCTAAAGAGAATAGATATAAATAAATAGTATTCAGTTATCAATTATTATACAGGGTGACCAAGAATTACCGCAACAACTTTTTGAACAAGTATCTGGAAAATGTCGAATTTATTTCAAAAGTGGCAAGTCTTATACAGAGAATTGTAGGCCTAATTCTCGGCAACATTTATCTACCAAAAACATCCCGATTGGACTTATACAACTCATTTAACAAGCACTTGAATGAGCGCTAGTCGACATCTCTTCGGCGAATCTGTCATTTGACCACTTTTCTCTTGAAACTGAACCACTTGAAATCAATTAGACATTTCCCAGATACATGTCCAAAAAGTTGTTGCGGTAATTCTTGGTCACCCTGTAGACTGATCACACACACACCTGAGTAATATCTTTCTCATAGTCGGAACGTTTCTTCTCATACTCTTTCGGCAACAGATCACGAGCACTGAAAGTTGAAAGAATTGTAAAGAATTGTAAAGAATTATTATAGAATCGGAATTATTATATAGAAATTTGATGGCTTTTAAAGCTTAGCTTAAAGCTTAGCTTAAGGCCTAGCTTAAAGCTTAGCTTAAGGCCTAGCTTAAGGCCTAGCTTAAAGCTTAGCTTAAGGCCTAGCTTAAGGCCTAGCTTAAAGCTTAGCTTAAGGCCTAGCTTAAAGCTTAGCTTAAGGCTTAGCTTAAGGCCTAGCTTAAAGCTTAGCTTGAGGCCTAGCTTAAGGCCTAGCTTAAGGCTTGGCTTAAAGCTTAGCTTAAAACTTCAAAAGACTAGTTCTGTCGATTGTTTACAAGATGGAAAAGTGAAAAGAGTGAAAAGAAAACGGAGAAGAATTAGGGAGAACGGGAAAAACGGGGAAAATCGGCGCTTTTCAGCATTTTTTCAGCATTTTCTCAAAGCCTCAATTGAAAATAGATAAAAATCGAATTAAAAAACAAGTTTACTTTCGAGAATTACAGAAAGAATCCAATAGAAATCTTGAACGAGATCAGGATTGGGTAATCTTGGTTTTGTACCAAGATTACCCGATCCTGATCTCGTTCAAGATTTCTATTGTCTACAAGCATTGACTTTATAGTAATTTTCCATCTACTTACTGTAATTTTTAGGTAGATGAGATAAACAGAAAATTGATTTTATCTAGTATTGCCCTGCGGGGAAACTATGAATGATGAAATTATTATTAATTTTTTAGACTACGAAAAGATAATTGAGATTTATCTTTTGGACTACAGAAAGTTCAGAGTTCTTTCTTTCCCAAGCCAGATTCTGGTCAGCTTTTGATCTTGTCTTACTGGCTTTCTTGGAAACCTAGTTTAGAGAAGCCCAAGTCAGCCAAAGATCACTTGAAGCCTAGTTTAAGGAAGTTGAGTCAGCCAAAGTCACTGGAAGCCTGGTTTAAGGAAGTTTAAGTCACCGAAAGATCACTGGAAGCCTAGTTTAGAGAAGCCAAAGTCACTGGAAGCCTAGTTTAAAGAAACTTAAGTCACCCAAAGTCACTGGAAGCCTAGTTTAGAGAAGCCTAAGTCACCCAAAGTCACTGGAAGCCTAGTTTAGAGAAGCCTAAGTCACCCAAAGTCACTGGAAGCCTAGTTTAGAGAAGCCTAAGTCACCCAAAGTCACTGGAAGCCTAGTTTAGAGAAGCCTAAGTCACCCAAAGTCACTGGAAGCCTAGTTTAGAGAAGCCTAAGTCACCCAAAGTCACTGGAAGCCTAGTTTAGAGAAGCCTAAGTCACCCAAAGTCACTGGAAGCCTAGTTTAGAGAAGCCTAAGTCACCCAAAGTCACTGGAAGCCTAGTTTAGAGAAGCCTAAGTCACCCAAAGTCACTGGAAGCCTAGTTTAGAGAAGCCTAAGTCACCCAAAGTCACTGGAAGCCTAGTTTAGAGAAGCCTAAGTCACCCAAAGTCACTGGAAGCCTAGTTTAGAGAAGCCTAAGTCACCCAAAGTCACTGGAAGCCTAGTTTAGAGAAGCCTAAGTCACCCAAAGTCACTGGAAGCCTAGTTTAGAGAAGCCTAAGTCACCCAAAGTCACTGGAAGCCTAGTTTAGAGAAGCCTAAGTCACCCAAAGTCACTGGAAGCCTAGTTTAAAGAAGCCAAAGTTCAGATTTAGACCAACTTTGCCCTGGCTCGGCGAAAGCTTTGAAAGCTATGAAAAACTTTTGAAAGTGAACGGAAAATGCTTTAAAAGTGAACGTTGGAAAGCTTTCGCTGAAAAACTTTAAAGAAAGCTCATCCAAAGTGAGGAGCAGCTCAAGCGGGTAAAGAAGAAAAGAAGAAAAGAAGAGAAGAAGGGTCGAGGGTCCTTTACTCCTAAATGGACCCTCTTCTACCCTTCACTGGCTTTAGCATCTTTTTCCCTTTCTTCAAAATGATCGAATCGAGTCTTAGAGAAAGATTAGAAGATCTTTTTTCTCTATTTCTGCGAAATGTCATTCAACTTTGCTTTTTTGGGATCACTTTGAGAGATTCTCCAAGATTTGATTGGATGGATCTTGTACTTTCTCGGATCCATTCACTATTCAATTCAGCACTAACTAAACTTCATAAACAGCTCACCAGAAGTCAGATCCGGCTTTTAGACTGATTCTGCCTCTAGCTCTTGACTCTGGCTTCTAAACCAGTCTTGGCCTGAACTTGGCCTGGCTAGTCTTGGCCCAACTTGGCTTGGCCAGTCTTGGCCTGAACTTGGCTTGGCCAGTCTTGGCCTGAAGGATCCTCCAGCTCGCCACCACTGATCGCCAGACGCCCAAATAGAAGTTATATTAGCAATTTTCTTTATTTATAGAAGAGAAAATGAAAAGTAACAACATATATTTGTATTAGTTTCGTTAAAATCAAAAAAACAAAAAATTGTGGAAGGCGAGGACTCGAACCCCAGGTAAACAATGAAGAGCCCGCTTTGTATACAACCACCTTATCCACTAGGCCATCACCCCACATAGAAGAGACGCGAGAAAAGCGTTTTAACCAAGATGTTGAAAAGTATAGAAGTTCCTGTGAGAAGTTCAAATATCTACTTTTGTAGCTACTTTTTGCGACATTTTGATCAGCTTAGTCGGTTTTAAACTTCTTGGGTGTCTGGCGATCGATCGGCGAGTTAGGGTTGACTCTTGTGAGTTGACTTGGATGGACTTGGACTTGGATCTTGATCCCAATAAATCAAAAACAGGCAAGCAAAGTCAGGCTTTTTTTTATTTCCTATTTAGAAAGTATGTGTGCTTCGGAGCAATTTTAGACACAGTTCATAGCAAGTTAAAAACTTCTTTTGTCTGCCCCAACTTCCTAAGCCTAAGCCTAAGCCTAAGCCTCAGCCAAAAGCTTTAAGCCTTAGCCAAAAGCTTTAACCCTCAGCCAAAAGCTTTAAGCCTTAGCCAAAAGCTTTAAGCCTTAGCCAAAAGCTTTAAGCCTTAGCCAAAAGCTCCCAAAAGCAATCCCTATCAAAAAACTCACTCGATAACGAATTTCGGCTTGTTCTCAGGGAAATCTCCATACTGAATCTGGCACTGAAGAGCGGCGAGAGTCATGGCGGTGTCTTTTTGAACGGGATGAGCGCCCTGAAATTTGTATAGACTATTTGATTAGATTATATGATTAAAACTCTATATAGACTATATCTAGATCACTAAATAGCAGATATTTTCACTTACCGAAAGCACACCATCTCTACATTGCACATAGAGAAGATTCAACTGAACGGGATCTCGACTGTCCACATTTGTGTCCGAGAAGAAGTAGCGTCTTTTGAGAAGAAGAGTCTCGTCTTCTCCTGAAAAGATTCTTTTGAAATGATAGTTGACTGGCTAAGAGTCCTCTATCTTAATCGCAAGGTCGAGGGTCAAAGCCAAAGCTAGAAAAGCCAAAACCAGTGGCTTGGGATTGGCATTGGTTTAAATTCTGAGCTAATTTGGCTTTGTTTCAAGCCGAAGCTAAAGCCAAGCATTGGCTGACTTGTCTCGTAAATTGAGGGCTATCCTGCTGGCTTTATATTGTACTCTTGTACTCTTGCACTCTTGTACTCTTGCTCTCTTGTTCTCTTATACTCTTGTACTATTGTACTCTTACTATTGTACTCTTGTACTATTGTTCCTACCTTGTACTCTTGTACTCTTGTACTCTTGTACTATTGTCCTATTCTACTATTGTCCTATTGTACTCTTGTTCTCTTGTACTCTTGTACTCTTGTACTTCTTACCTTGCTCTTGTACCTTCTTGTACCTCTTGACCTTTCCCTTGGACCTTTTTGACTTGTACATTTTACTTTGTCTTGTTCTCTTGTACTCTTGTACTAATAGAATTCCACAACTCACCGATTCCTTGTTCACGCAAAGTTTTGTGATGATCCACCCAGGCGATCTCCTCGTCGGTGTGAAGTTTTTGTCTGAAATAGAATATCGATCGTTGCAAATGGAAAGCTCATGTTTAACCGTTTAGATCTCGGTTCCTAGAACACCTATCAATCTGTAAATTGTTTCATTGGAAAGCCAAGAATGTCAGCTTTTCATTGCCATCTCACACATAGCAAATTCTCATAGTTCAGAGCCTTAAAAAGTTGCTCGATACTCAAATGCCAATGCTCGATACTCAAATCTCGAGAAGCTTATCGATAATCGATACTTTTGATATCGATAAGCCTCTCATCAACCTCATCAACCTCATCAACATCAAAAAAACATAGCTACAGCTTTTCACCAACAGCTTTTCATCATCATTAACAGCTTTTCATCATCATCAACAGCTTTTCCTCATTATCAACAGCTTTTCATCATCATCATCAAGCTTTTCAAACATAAACTCTTACCTAAGTTGTTCCATTTTTTGTTCTTTCTTTCTCCCAAGAGTTCCCGAAATAATCCCCTTGTCTTTCTTTTGATTTTCCTCTTGTGCCCGATCTCTTATATCTCGAAGATTATGCTGTGAGCGTCCCTTTCCATCTTTTTGATCAGATTCACGAACCTGGAAATGATTTGGATTCATTTTAATCGTCTTCTGACTCACCAAGCTATACTCATCACAATTACTGATGCCAATCTTTGCGCAAATTGTCGTCATGAGCTGCTGAACGGGTTGACTCTCATCAACGGGCACAGTTTTGATCGCTTGATCCAGCATTCGCACCTGATAAATTGCGAGTACAAGGATTTGACTACAATCCTCCAAAAGATAGCTCTTGTTTTGGACTTTGAACTTTGACTTTGAGCTTTGACTTTCAATCTTTTAGAAACAAACTTTCAACAATCGAATCTTTCTCCTGTACTCAACGGTGTCTTGATTTCGAACGAGGTAGTGCTCAAGAGATCTGAAAACTTTCTTAGTGAAGTAAAGATTGATAGATTTTGATTGACTGAATGGCTGATTGAATTGAATGACTTAAAATTGTCATGACATTTCATTTATTGCTTTAAAAGTCATAGAGAAATACTAGCTAAATCAAAAATCGTCTCACAAATCGTCAAATCTTGTTTTTGCTATTGGTTTTAGTTTAAGAATAATTATTTCTGTTGCAATTGCTTTTCCAATCATTCCAATCATTCCAATCATTCCAATTGCTTTTCCAATCATTCCAACTGCTTTTCCAATCATTCCAATCATTCCAATTGCAATTACAATTACAATTACAATTACAATTGCTGTGAATACTTAAGAATCACGCTACATTAACAGTAATCCTGCTGGGAAGCAGTAATCCTACTGGGAAGCAGTAATCCTGCTGGGAAGCAGTAATCCTGCTGGGAAGCAGTAATCCTGCTGGGAAGCAGTAATCTTGCTGGGAAGCAGTAATCCTTTAACACATTTATGACGGTTTTTTTGATCAAAACAATGAGGTTATTTCCCTCTCAGTTTGTTTAAAAAGATTCAGCAGATTTACTTAAACTAGACCTCAAAATGAAGAGAAATCTTCACGAATCATTTATCTGAAAATAGATTCAAGAAATGTTGAGTTTAAAGAAAGTTTCGAATGTTTTAGCATAATGAACAAGGCATTATGCAAATGAATCCTTTGAATGCAAAGGATTCATTTGCATTCAAAGGCTCATAACTCTCCTCAAGGCAATAGTTTTCTCAAACACTTTCCAGAGCATGATTCGCTTATATTTCTCTTCACTTTGACGCTTAGTTTAAGCAAATTTAAGCAAATTGATTGCTTGTAAACGTTTTTAGACAAGCTGGAAGGGAAATAAACTCGTAAAAATTTAGAAAAAACCTCGTTGTGAATGTGTTAAATGCGTTAAAATGTGTTAAAACTTCATCCACCTTCCCGAATCCATCCAAACGCATTTCGTCTCCTCGTCTGCCACTTTGAGAAGTCCGTATTCTGTGTCTAAAACGATTTTTTTACTAAATTTTTGTTTAAAACATTTCATTTGTCTTTAGGATTAATAAAAGATAAAAAGAAAAGATAATGCTGAAAAAATAATGCTCAGAGATTGAAAAAGTTGTTTTATTTATCGCCTATTCTTTTGGCAAACAGCTAATCTTTTGCCTCAAAGGATCAGAGAGATTTCACAAGTCCAGGCAAAGATCTTTAAGTTAAAAATAGAACAAATCAAAAAAAACCGGACAAATCAAAAACCTATGCACCGCCGGGAGTCGAACCCGCGACCTTCCGCTTACCGAGCCAACTGCGCTAACCATTACACCACAGAGCACTTGATCTCCCTCGCTTCAAAAGGAGTTAAGTAAATCCTCTATAAATCCCTCCTCAAAAAGTGTGGTTCCTCTGGTCCGGAGGGAACTTAACTCCCTCTGGAGGCCAGACGGTCGAGCCCCTTGTGGTGTAATGGTTAGTACAGTTGACTGGTAATCGGAAGGTCGGGGGTTCGAGTCCCGGCGGTGCATAAGCCTCTAGTTTCAACTTTTACAATTTATCTACTTTTAACTTTTAACTTTTAACTACCAATCTTCAATGGTTAACTATTTCACATAGTTTCTTTCAGTTTCTCTCTTCCAAATCTTTTCTTTTTCCCGAATCAAATTGGTGGTCATTTGGGGGCCATTCAAAGGGTATATCGGATGCAATTTGGGAAGAAAAAGAGAAAGAGAAAAGGGAAATGGGCTCACTCTTTGGTCCTTTATAGTTAGATTCGGCTTCTTTATAGTTAAAGACTCTAAAGCACTCTTCCAATAAGAATTGTAGGCTAATTGACTATTGAGGCTTGACTTGACCTGGCTTGTTCTTTGGGTGTACTTTAGCTGAATCGATTGTAAACACAGCTTCCTGGTGCACTTAATTCCTTGTTTTCTTTGCAAGAAAAAGCATAGCTATAGGAAAATGCATTTTGCAAAAAAGAGTATTTGCTTTTTTTGAGCTAAAAGTTGCTAGAGTTGTTTCGATTCTTACTAGTTACTAGGATTTCGGTCTTTCTTAGGATTCTTAGGATTCAGGATTCTTAGGATTCAAGTTGCTTAGGATTCAGGATTCTTATGAGTCAAGATTCTTAGGATTCAGGATTCTTAGGATTCAAGATTCTTAGGATTCAGGATGTCTTAGGAGTCAAGATTCATTGGATTCAGGATTCTTAGGATTCAGGATTCTTAGGATTCAAGTTTGGGTTTCAGGATTCTTATGAGTCAAGATTCTTTGGATTCAGGATTCTTAGGATTCAAGATTCTTAGGATTCAGGATGTCTTAGGAGTCAAGATTCATTGGATTCAGGATTCTTAGGATTCAGGATTCTTAGGATTCAAGTGGCTTAGGATTCAGGATTCTTATGAGTCAAGATTCTTTGGATTCAGGATTCTTAGGATTCAAGATTCTTAGGATTCAGGATGTCTTAGGAGTCAAGATTCATGGATTCAGGATTCTTGGTTCAGGATTCTTAGGATTCAGTGGCTTAGGATTCAGGATTCTTTGGTCAAGATTCTTTGGATTCAGGATTCTTAGGATTCAAGATTCTTGGATTCAGGATGTCTTAGGAGTCAAGATTCATTGGTTCAGGATTCTTGGATTCAGGATTCTTGGATTCAAGTGGCTTAGGATTCAGGATTCTTTGAGTCAAGATTCTTTGGATTCAGGATTCTTGGATTCAAGATTCTTGGATTCAGGATGTCTTGGAGTCAAGATTCATTGGATTCAGGATTCTTGGATTCAGGATTCTTAGGATTCAAGTGGCTTAGGATTCAGGATTCTTATGAGTCAAGATTCTTTGGATTCAGGATTCTTAGGATTCAAGATTCTTAGGATTCAGGATGTCTTAGGCGTCAAGATTCATTGGATTCAGGATTCTTAGGATTCAGGATTCTTAGGATTCATGATTCTTAGGATTCAGGATTCTTAAGATTCAGGATTCTTAAGATTCAAGTTTCTTAGGATTCAGGATTCTTAGGATTCTTAGAATTCTTAGGGCTTTTAAGAATCCTAGGATTCATGATTCTTAGGACTCTTAGGGCCCTTAGGAATCCTAGGATTCAGGATTCTTAGGATCCTTAGGATTCTAAATCCCCATAGCAAATTCCACAATTTATCAAAAAAATTCTAGACGCACTCTGTTTTTTCCTAGTTGCAGCGCCGACTTGAATCTTGAAAAGATCTTAAAAATATGCCTACAAGGAAGCAAGCAATATTCGAGCGTGAATGAGCTCAAGAAAGTCATTTAAGTCTTTAAGAAGACTTTAAGAAGCCTTTAAGAAGTCTTTAAGAAGACTTGAGCCGACAGCGCTTGAAAACCTTGTCTCTTCGACGCCAAGACGTCTTTTTGAAGTTAGACTAAAGCGAGCAGGGTTCACAAGTTTCTAATTTATGATGCTGAAAGAGAATTTTATCATTCTTCACTTTGATTTGTTCTGATTTGTTCTGATAAATCGTCCATTTACAAAAAAAAAGGTTTCCCCCCAAATCCCCACGTCAAACAATTTACTTAAAAGCCCGGCTGGTACATCTATAAATCATCAGCTCTCTCGAAAAACTCTCTAGAAAAAAAAGGCCACCATATTGAGCCACCATTGAGCTTAAAAAGTGTTCGAAAAGTTTTGAACTTTTCAAATCTTCATTGAAAGCTTGATAACTTATTTTCTGATCTGAAGATCACAAAATCTGAAGATCTGATTTGAAAAAGTTCCCTTATTCGGTCCTTAAAAGTTCCCAAAAATATTCTCAGGGGAGGATTTTGATGGAAAATGCGGTTATCCGAGAAAAATGAATGCTCATTTTACCCCTGGGATTTCAGGGAATTGTGAAAGGAAATGGATAAATGTGAAAGGAAATGGATAAATGTAAAAAGCCAACATTTCTTTCACTTTTTAAACTCACGTTTAATATCACGAAGACCGAGCTTCTCGCGGATCATCTTGTTCACGTCAAAGACAAGCATTTTTGGGTCAAACTGAAATTGTTGATAATTGGTAACAATTGTTGATTCAACAAGCCTGAATCTAACAGCCAGATTCTGGCTTCTTTTCTTTAGAATAATCCAGTTTAGGTTTCTTTTTTGGATTTCTTATCCCTTCGATTTTCAGTATCTTTTGAGTAAACGATTTCAAAGCTTACTATAAATCTTACTATAAATCTTACTTACTTCAAAGCTTACTAGAAAAAGTGAGCTTTTATTGACTTTAAAAGCCTTGTAAGGTTCTGAGAATTTTCGTATTTATGCGCGACTTTCACAAGATCAAATTTCTCTATATTTTTTGATGTTATGATCATTATCTTTTATTAAAACCCTAACTTATTATTAAAACCCTAGCTTGTTTCATTTTTAAAACCGTAAAGAATAAGAAACTTGAGTCATTAGGCTTATTTGATTTGAGATTAGTTTAAAACTTTTTTCCAAACAGTTCCAACAAGAGCTAGGTCAGGCTTTTGACTTTTTTGACTTCTAAATGGCTAGCCTGGGTCAATTCGTGGAAAATCACTGGATCAGACCTTGCTGGTTTGCTGAAAATATAGCTCTACTGATGTCTAGGCATGGTTGGATCTGATAGCTCTTGAAATAGGACCTAGTTCTTGATTTGAAAGCTTTGCTCTAATTTACAGTCGACTCTCGATTCACGATTTGTTCGGGACCAAAAATTTCGATTTAACGACTCTAAAAAGTGCTCGAAATTTCTTGCGTAGCTGCCCAGAACGACCAACGAGGCTGGACAGCCACGCAGAAACCAATGACGTGTTTAAAATTTCAATTGTATCAATAGTCGTTAAATCGAGAGTCGACTATATAAAAGCAGTGTTTGTCTGTCCGTCCGTCCGTCTATACGGGCTTTTTCTCAGCCGTCTTTGGGCTAAATAAACTGAAGTCTTAAAGAGACAATATAATTCTATATAATACTTTTTTTAAAGTCTTAAAATACAATATAATTATGTCATGTAAAATCAAAAATTGAAAAATCGAGGTTGAGTGGCACTACTGGGGGTCGAACCCGGATCGTGTGAGCGGTAGAAAAGCCTGCCCCACTGCGCCACGACGACTATGAATGCCTGCCAAAAATCCAGCTAGAAAAACCCCAGCGGCGGGTTTTCCGACTTGTAAGAATCACACAACTGTAGAGCTATTAGTAAAGACAACTGTAGAGCTCTATCAGCAGATTTAACTCTCTCTGGAGCCAGGGAGATCAAGTGCGTTGTGGTGTAATGGTTAGTACAGTTGACCGGTAGGCGGAAGGTCGGGGTTCGACTCCGACCTTCCGCCGACGCCGACGCCGACGGCTTTTTGATCTGCCTTAATTCCAACTGGCCACGGAAGCAACTGTGCCGGGACTCGAACCCGCGACCTTTCGCTTACCGGTGCAACTGTACTAACCATTGCACCACAGGGCACTTGATCTCCCATACTCCAGAGGGAGTTAACTATCGAATCTTATTAGATCTAACATTTCCATTCGAAATTTCTCTCAAATTTCAACGATTCCTCACCTGCATCGTCTTCTTCGTCGTCTCTCCATCTTTCCAAAGCACATTCACCGTCAGTACTCCCATGATTTATGGAGATTTGGTGCAAAAACGCTTTCGACCAAATGGCCCGGACCCTCTCGGGTGAGTTCTTTCTGGAAAAATTAAATAAAAACAAAAACAAAAACAGAGATCAAGGCAAGCTAGTTATTATGAAAGAAAAAGGAATTTCAAAAGAAAGAAAGAAAGAAAGAAATTTCACAAAAAGAATTTTTAGCAAAGAAAATCTCTTCCGTATATCGCTGAAACAAAGAAAAACAAAAAAAAAGAAAGAAATCAAAAAGGAATTTAAAGACATAAATGGAGTCATCCATATCGATTTTGAGTCAATTTTTTTGGGGAAAAGAGAGGGGTATTCTAAGAGAAAAATGCAAAGCGATGACTCATTTTGTAAAGAAAATGAGAAAAGAAAGCGGAAAAATGAGAATTGAGACAAAATATTCGAAAGATGTCGCCAAGAAATTTAGAAATTCTTCTCTCTTTTATCAGTTTTCCCGAAAATTCTCCACTTTACAGGATTCGGCTGCGGCTGCGGATGGCGGCTTTGTTTTTGGCCCTTTTTTTGTGGTGACGCTTAACTTGTAAGCGTAACTTGTAAGCGTAACTTGTAAACGAGTTTTGAAGCGAGTTTTGAAGCGAATTTTGAAGCGAGTTTTGAAGCGAATTTTGCACCACATATGTTCTTTGTGCTCAAATTTGTAAACAAAATCTCCCTGGCGCACTTAATTCCTCGTTTCTCTACTGTACTGATTTGTTGGTGTAAGCAAATTTTTGGCCGAAAGAATACGCAACAAAAAAAAATACAGCAAAACGCTTTTTGGGATGTATTGGGTTGATGGAAAAGTCGTTTCCGATTTTTCGGGAGAGTACCTTATTTTTTGTTTGTCTATTTGTCGAATTTTGACGTTTTATAGCTCATCCTAAAGCTGAATTCAAGACGGATCGATTGGTAAAAACCGTTTTGAGATATCTCTTTTCTAAAAGTTTTTACAGCTATTTTAGTAAAGGGCGGCAGATCCAAAATAGCCAAAAAATGGCTGTTTTCACGTTTCGTTAGTTTTCCTTGCAGAAACCTAGGCTAAAAACATGTGTTTCGTGATCAGCGTCAAAAATAACACCTAGAGACGTTATTTTCAGAATCCAACTGAAAGATGATCAAAAAAATTTTTCGAAATCCTTATCAAATCTCATGAATAAATCGAAAATATTGGATTTCTATAGACAAATATTAAAAAAGATAAGATAACACTATCTTAGAGTTCTATAGAGTCTATAGAGAGTTCTATAGAGTCTATAGAGTCTATAGAGTCTCTATAGAGTTAGATAAAGCTTGGTTCCCAAGCAGCAATCAAAAAAAACAGCACAGGAGGTGAAAGAGTGACCCACAGGGGTCGAAAAGAATGCTCTATATGAGTGCTTTTAGGCCGATCACTGAACAGGGAAAGAATCGGGTTGAGAAGGGGAAAGGATGTGCACCAGTTGTGCATTTGTTGGGTGGGGGTCTTGCCCTTAACGTCCGTATGCTGTGCTGTGTGGGTGAAAAAGGGGATGCTTGGGGGGCCGAATATTGATTCGATCAGGGGAGAGCCCCTCCCTTTTCACCCCAACACTACATCCCTCTTTCTCTTTCTCTTCCTCTTCCTCTTTCTCTTCCTCTTTCTCTTTCTCTTTCTCTTCCTCCTTGTCTTCCTCCTTCTCTTTCTCTTTCTCTTTCTCTTCTTCTTCCCCTCTTCCACCCCAAATGATACCCTTTTTTGGATAATATAGAATCTTTTTGAGAATGATTCTCTATAGAATGATTGATTCTCTATAGAATGATCAATTAAAATTCAAGATTCTGGCTTGATTAGGCAAGATAAGCGAAAAATTCAAACATTTCATATTTCTCTATAGATTTTCCTACTAGATCTGGATTTCTTGAAAAGCGTAAAGTCTGGTAGTCGGCTTATGAAGTAACGAAAAACTCAAGTATTTGATCGACAGGTTTTTAAATTGAATACGAATTGCTTTGAATACGAAATAGAATATTTAGAATAGTATTAGATTGACAAATATGTCTTTTCAGTTCCTTTTCATCCGTTCGTCCGTTTAAAATCAACTACCCCAAAGGAAATACGGCTTTTTTTTTCATTAGAATTCATTAGAAATACGGTTCATTGAGCTTTCCATTCATTAGAAAGCATTTTATTAGAACTACGCTTTGTTTCATTCATTATTTTTTTGCAAAACACATTAGAACGGATGAAAATGACTTATATCTGGATTTCTTGAAGAGCGTAAAGTCTGGTAGTCGGCTCAATCCGGCTCAATGCGGCTCAATCCGGCTCAATCCGGCTCAATCCAGCTCAATCCGGCTCAATGCGGCTCAATGCGGCTCAATCCGGCTCAATGCGGTTCAATCCGGCTCAATCCGGCTCAATGCGCCAATCGGCTCAGCGCCCCGGCTCACCAGCTCAATCCGGCTCAATCCGGCTCAGCGGTTCAATCCGGCTCAATCCGGCTCATCCAGCCCCGGCTCATCCGGCCATCCGGCCATCCGGCCTCCAGCTCATCCAGCCTCCGCTCAATCCAGCTCAATCCGGCTCAATCCGGCTCAATGCGGCTCAATCCGGCTCAATCCGGCTCAATCCGTCTCAATGATACAATTTAGAAACTTTAGCTAAGGAAACCTATCTTCGTGTCAATAGATAAAAGATAGAGCATAAAAAGTTTAGTATATAGCGAAATTTTCAGAGAAATTCATTCAGTCAATCTCTTTGTAGAGGTTTTTATAGATTTCTATGAAAAAAAAACGAAAAACCCGCTCGAATTCGCTTGAAAGTGAATCAAAATTAGCTTAAAAAGATGAAAATTAAACAAGAAACACTTTTTATTTAGAGAAAATGATAGGTTATTAGGTGAAAATGAAAATAAAAACATATCAGACTATTGCTACAAGAGAAACAAAGAAATGAGTACATAAAAAAATTGCTGAGCAACTGGAAATATCGAAAAATATCGGAAAATATCGGAGTTCAGCCATAAGCTATAAACGGATCTCATAGACAGACAGATTACCATTAAATAGATGAATTAATTCTGCTCTAAACGAATCCCCTTCTAGTTTATCAAGTTCGAAAGTTCTTCTTCTCAAATATCAAGGTGATCTAGACACTAGAAATAGACAAAAAAAGTTAAGCAAAATTCATGAATGTTGAAGGTCAAAAGGTAAACAAAAATACTAGATTTGAAACACAAAAAAGAGAAAGATTTATGGAAGAGAAAAGAGCAGCCCTGAGGAGTGCCATCGTTTGAAAGAAGGAGAAAGAAGGAGAAAGATGGAGAAAGATGGAGAAAGAGACACAGATGGCCGACGCCCCGACTTTACAATCGCTCCTCTGAGGCTGTGATGGGACTCCCCATTCCTCACACCAAGCACTCCTCAGCTTCCGTTCTTGAGGCTAATATTGGCTACGATCTGTATCTAGTGACGGTTACTATTTGGACAGAAAGAAAGACTGAAATGAAGAAGGCTGAAATGAAGAAAGAATGAAATAAAGATTTGATTTGAACCGTTACGATTTGATAAAAAGCATACGATCCAAATAAGTTACTGCATTATAATCCTACCAGCGAAAACCTATTTGGGGCCTTTGGGACGAGTTCGTGGAGTTTAAAGGGCTTAGGCTTAGGCTTAGGCTTAGGCTTAGGCTTAGGCTTAGGCTTAGGCTTAGGCTTAGGCTTAGGCTTAGGCTTAGGCTTAGGCTTAGATTGTAAAGTACCATCCGCTAATGATATCTGGCTATTTCTTAAGCCATGATTGTTGAGCTCTCTTCGGACATACTCAACCCGTTCCTGTTAGCTTTCTTTCTTTCTTTCAAATCACTAAAACTACCGTAACCCATGTTAAACCCTCTCCTTTTTAAAAATGGACTTAAAATTCAGATTCCTCATAGCCGAAAACCCCCTGGGAGCAAAATATCACTCGCAAAAGCTAAATACTTTATCATTTAACCGATCGTAAGCGCAACTCGCCATAACTCTCTTCTAAGTCGATCAATCTTTATGATGTTGGTGTCCTTTTGTTGCATTTGTTGAGATCTACAAAATGAAACCAAAATCACAAAGATTGGTCCACTTAGAAGAAAGTTGTGGCGAGTTGCGCAAATGACCCAGTTGCGCAAAGAAAAATTGCGGAAATTAGCCTACCCCGGTTTTTCAAAAACAATGGGAATTTCCCACCAAATCAGTTAAACGGTTGAGTATCTTTAAAAAGTGTCGTATATAATGTAGGGCTCGTCATTTTTGCGTCATTTTTTTGCAATAATTTTTACGGTAATTGACGGTAAAGAGTACGGTAATTTTTTCCCAAGTTTGCGTTTTAAAAAACGCATTACTCGCGAGGAAAACACTCTAATTATTAATCAAAATTTCATTCTGCAAAGACGGTGTTTTAGGTACAGCGTACAGCCAGTTTAAGTCCAACTTCAGCAACAAAAATCTTCAGCAACTAGATGTCAACATTGTTAAAAGTTAAACAACTTGTTAAAAGTTCAATTTTTTATATAAAAATCGACCGATTGAGGTAAAAATAGGTGAATTTTTAAAATTCGCCATTAGTGTTTCGTCGAAAATTACTTTTTACAGAAAAGAAAAAGACAAATCTGATCGATATCCAGGATTTTTCAAATTTTACAAGTTAAATAACAAATTGCTAGACTTACTAATAGAATCAGCAGCTCAAATAACTTAAATTCAAGCCCAAGCTTCTCAAAAAAAAGTACAAAAAACCTTTCTTTAGCTTTTTGTAAAACTTTGAAAACGGAAACTTTGAAAAAAGCGCAAAATATCTTTCTGATAGCAAACAAGGAATGCAAGAACGCCGTAAACGACCGAGAAACAAGAATATTATATAGTTTTTGATATTTCTAAGATTATGATCAAGTGAGTGACAGGACAAAATGGAATTTACTAATGGAATGGAAAGTGAAAAGAGAATGACCGCCTACACAGCTTTCTTTTCTTTTTTCTCAACAACCAACAGCTGT